AGGGTTTCGTTGCCGTTTTAAAAGAGAGTTCCGGTTGCTGTTTATTGGGTTTCGGTTGCTGGTCGAGAGTTTAAGGCAGTTAGTTCCTGACTCGAGACAACTCAGAGGGTTTAAGGCAGTTAGTCCTGATCCAACGAGTATAAACTCTCCGGGCATCGTATTGGCGCTTCTCTATTGCTGAGTTTCGTCGATAGTACGCTTTGGGGCACAACAAATCAACGTTTTTCGCAAGAAACTCGTATCAACCCTACAACCTTACACATTTGTGCCAAGGCTCTGTTCACAGGGGTCTGTTCTCGCACAAGGAGTCGACGATATTTTGGGTTTTGTGACTTTCCCTACTCGACATTATACAACTTTCTCTCTATCTCAAGTGGAGTTTTGGTTGTTTTTGTTAGTTTGGTTAGTTAGAGGCTCATTTGCTTTGTCCCCACTCCGCACTCATCACCGCCTAAACACAGACCAAGACCAGCGGCTATGCTGAGCCTACCGCCTCTGACCGAGCCTCTGCCAACCTCTTTGAGGTAAGTTGTCAGCGTGCTGGAGCGACACGCGAAGGATATCGCGTGCGGGGTCCCAGGATAGTTGATGTACATGTACATAGAAGAGAGTAATTTCATTCAAAATAATTGAATACATATGACTATTTGCTGTTCTCCAGCACAGACCAAGGCCAGCAACATACCAATAGTAGCTGAACGTGCCCAGTAACCACTTCAACAATAACATGCGAGTTGTCAAAGTGTGCATGCCTGCATGCATAGTACCGTAGTAGGTGAGTGCTCCTAGCTTGAACGAAGCTCAGAGCAGTCGTTGGGGATGGTATATAGGAGCATGTCCATGTTCAAAAGACAACACTATCAGATGTAGTGTGAGTGAAGGAGGTTGAATTTGAGAACAGACGCACTAATTGACCCTCATGTGAGCTCTGCAGCCTAGAGACTCGAATCTCAATGTAGAATTCCCGCTTTCCATCTCCTCCAGCCTCGTGGTATCCAGCCACAAATCGAATCATTCTCGGGCCCGATTAACGACGAGGGATATTGAGCATCGATAGCGAGGACTCGGAGATGGAGGGGTCGTCTGAGAGAATGGGAGTCGTGGGTATGTACAGAGTGTGCGTGGCCTCCATAGACAGGGAGGAAACGTGTCACGCGATGCAAGTGGCCGGTCGAATCATCAGTCTGAGTTGCCTGGAGTGTTGAAGCCACGTACATAGTGTGGGACAAGGCCGCGTTGGATGTTGCTGGGTGGTAAGGGAGAGATGAGTGCTGTTGTCAACGTAGATCGCGTGTTGCGAGAGCGAGCTGGCGATGTGGGTTCCCAAAGTGGACTACTACCGGTACGGTTCCTGCCATGCTTGTTGAGTGTTGAGAGATGGGCATAGAAAGAGGGCTTGGAGGGTGCATGAGGAGACTTCTGTGTCTTGATTTGCCGCCCAAGGCGAGGTCTCGCGTCTTGAGAGCAAGAAAGCGGGGAGTGTGAGCCAAGCGAAAGCACGATCGATCACGTCACAGTCACCTCGGAGACGAGCGGAACAGCTCGGATCGTCTCGTCCTTGGCCAGAATCGCCGAAGCTGTCCAACGTTTGATTCTCATTGGCTGGGGCTTATCTCTTTTCGGCAGTCGTCCAAAAAGAGCACCCAAAAGAGATAGGCTTGATATTTTCCATCAGCCCGCCAAACACAGCCTTTGATATTTTGAGCTTTTGAGCTCTCGGGTGCCCCAAAGGCGTAAAATTAAGCCTAAAATTCGATGCTATGAGGTAGCCAAGATTCAAGTAGATACAGGTATGATTTTTCTCTCTTTCCCCCTCTCTTCTCTTGATATTTTTTGATATTTTTTGTCTCGACAACAGACATAAGCCATGAGCCGTTCATAACCCGCCAGGTGAATTTGACGTGATGGGCCGACGTCTATCACTGTTACTCGAGCTCGGCTCTCGCGGTGTGCGGGGTCCTGAGGACTGCGTGACCGGACCGTCGGCAGCTCTACCAGAAACCACGGCAAGGGCGTGAAAGAAGGCTGGCATAGGCAAGTAGTTGGCTGCAAGCCAGCTTGTAGTGCCTCAGTTTCAGATTTGATGGAGTCCGCCTTCCTTCCCGAAGGACATGAGAACCGCCAAGAAGTCATCAGGAGACACTTGACTACCGTCACTGTCGGCAATGATCCGCTCCGGCCATTCAGCCTGCCACAAGCTCCGGGACTCTGCGCTGGCAGCGCCGACGGATCGCCAGTCTATCTGCCGCCTGATGGAAATGTGCCGAGAGCTCAGCTGTCATTTTGGTGGACTTCCGGCCTCGGCGAGGCGGATGTACCACCTATTGGCCCTCACAACTCGGGCTTCAAACAAATCTCACTGCCTTTTGCTTGTTTTTCTTCAGTTTTTCTTCCATTAATGCTCAATATCATCGAGTTTAAGCTCCGCTTGAACTCCAATCATTGTCACATCAAGACCCCAGGCCGGCTAGGACAGCCGCCAGCTGATTGGATAACAATCCATCATGTCAAATTGACCTGGCGGGTAATGAACACCGTACATCTGCATCTGTATTGTTTTTTGAAATGCGACTAGATATCCATGATCAAGGTGTCAACAGGATAGCGATGAGAAAAGTACCGAGTTGGAATAGAATTATTATACCTGCCATGAGGTCGATCTCAATGGTTTGATAGCATCTGGGAGACAGGAATAGAATGATCGAGGAGAACAAGACCGGGACCGTGGGCCAAATCAAGGCAGGGGGGTTTGGATTGACGAGAGGAAGGATGAGATTAATCGAAAGGAAGAGCAAGAAGAATATGGGCCCATAAGCTTTGTGACGACGCGACGTTGTGGGCAGCGGTTCGTGCGTGAGAGGGGCTAGATTACTCCATGGTATCAGAGTCTGGGAGAGGCGGGCCCAAAAGCCTTTCACAAGGACATCCATGAAGTGTGATTAATTAGGCACGTGCCTCGTGACCGCGGTCAAGCTGTGTCGTGTGACAGCCCGAGTTTCCTTGGCACTCATCGATGGAGTGGGCTGCAGATCTCATACACCGCTCTTGGGCCCATGTTCTCCAATTGTTCATCCCCTGGAGTGGACTAACTCCACTCGTCTGTCCACCACCGTCCTCTCCATCAATCCATAATCAGGGGGCGACCGATTCCTGTGCTTCGTCTGCTCTCTAGCATGCCAGGCAGGCCTCCCCTTTCTGAATATAGACCCACCATCGCTTGGATGGACATTGTTACCCCTGCCATGGATACCAATCCTCTGGGTTTTACCTCCCAAAGAGTACGAGACATTATTGGTTGCCGATGCTGTTGCAATCATAACAATATTTTGTCAAATTGGTGTGTAATTTCTCTCACTTGACCTTGACATAACTTGAACCTCTGTGTAGCGGCGTTCCATAAGGTCATATTGGCGAATGTCGCACAAGCCATAGTTTTTACCATCATCATCATCCTGCACTCATACCTCAGTTGCACTTTGACGTTGTTTGCGTCTGCCCCCCATGCATATTGGTTGCATCTCCGTGCCAACCCTGATGAGCCTGTTGCTGGTTCTTATGACGATGGCTTCTTAATCATGTGCTGCAAAGGGGTCAAGTCGGCTTGTTGCTGAGCGTGCAAGTGAGTTGTTGTTGTTCCACCATCTGCAGTAGTAGGTGCTAAAACTTCAAAAAGAGAGGTTTCATCACATCTTGTAATTCTTGGTTGTTGCACCTTGTCGGTTTTGTTCTAAGTAGGAACACAATACATTCCCGCGGCTTCACTGACATTACGGCCTCAGATATTCAACGTGTCCGCGCCGTTTTATTCATCAGGATGGGGTACATCGATCCGAACCCCACGACGGCCAGGGCGACGGCACTCTTCTTTCATCGTGTTATGCGCTCGACGAGCGCCTACCTCCGACCCTTTCTCGAGCCTGGGATTACTTTTTTTTTGTGTGGCACGTTAGGTGGTGGTAGACAATCACTTTCGCTCCCCAGTAGCTTGCCGTAGTTCTCTTGCGAGATTCCATCAAGCGTCCCGGGCCGACATCGGTCATCCACCACCCGTGAGTTGTGAGGCGGGGACTTGATCCGGCTGGCGGGTCTTGAAACCCCGCCAGCCGGATCAAAACCACTCGAGGAAAATGCCATACAACGATCTACACCTTCGCCTACCGAATCGCCGAGCTCACGAAGCAACTATACTGTGTAGAGCTCCCACAATAACTAAAGGGTTACTGTGTCAGACAAGTTAATAACATCTCCAAATTGGCACTGCATAAAACACAGTAACGTAACCACTTCAAGAAGGTCGTACATATACTTTGCGACCAATGCAATTGATACTCACTCGAAAACCATCGCTTGAATCGAGATTATTAATACCTCGTCCTGTCGAGTATAGTAGTTTTGTTGCCTGAAGTGTGACTAGCGCGTGACAGTCAACAGAGTCAAGGTTTATTGGCCTGTACAGGGATCATGTCACACTATCCGATCATTTGATCGATGATTGACACACTGTCAGCGAACAATGCAAACAAACAATGCTCCATTGCACCTCTGCTCTTGCCACCACCTGCTTGTCGCGCTCGCTGCCCCCACCCGTGCCCCACCTGCTCGTCACTGCACCCCGCTCTCACCCCTCCATTAGTGCTTGGCAATGGCGCTCATAGCTCTTGCCCAATAGCATCCCCTGCCTTGCCAGCGTAGGGCAGAGCAGGATTGTGTAGGTGGCTACAGAGGATATTGAAGATTTTAAATTTGTGGTGGTGTGGTAGCTACTCCCGCCATGTATAGTAGCTGAGAATGATGATAATGATAGTCTATCTAGGCTGGGGTCAATCAAGAGGCAGCAGTTGTATGTGGCCACTTAGATTAGATTCATAAAAAAGACTTTTTTATTTCTCCAAGATCTATCGTGACCTACCAAACTTGTACCAAACGGGGCGGACAATGGATCGAACAATGGATCGGGGACCCGAGGTAAGGGAAAGGCACGTGATGTCACAAGCTCCCTGTACAAGCCAGAACGCCCAGAGTCAACAGTCAACATGGAGGTTGCTCGCGACTCTGTCGCCGCCATCCTTGCCCATTTTGACCTCTCTCCTGGTGTCTTCCCTTTCACCGACGGATGCTGCGAGGAAATTGAGAGCCGGCGCGACCTGCTTGGTGAACTGCTCTTATTCGACATTCTCCTTCGGTCGGGGAACATTCGTGATTTACCTGGGACGCTTTACCCACCCCGCGACATCGACACCTTTCACCTCCTCCTCGAGAAAATTACACTCTCCTCCTATGACCGGCTCAAGCAGGACTGCCTTGTCTATTTCCTGCTGAAATGGTACCGTGATGGGCGGGAAGAACGCTTCAAGACGGAGCGTTGTATTCCACCTCACTTTGCAGCTCTGTCAGACGCGTATTGGAATCTAGATGCGGGGGTCAACGTTCCAGTGCGTGTCATGCCCTCTTTTCATATCCTCATACTCACAACCAACTTCCGTAGCAAGCCGTGTCCACACTGGCCGACTCGCGTTTGAACACCGACTACGCCTCGAAAATCTTACAAGCTATATCCTTGGCGGAAAATCCCATGCCATTAATTCTGAAATATGTCAGAACTGCGAAACCTCTTCTCATTGAGCCTGATGACATCGACCTCTACACTCTTGCGCTCGCCGAATCAAATCTTTCTGAAGCATGGCGCTTCCAACGAACCTTCAATGAGCAAAACCCCACTCGCTCTCGTCTTGTGGAGAAAATAATTGATTGGTCGCTGAATCGTATGTGTTTCTTGTCCTAATTGCTGTCAACAAGCTCAAGTTGATAGCCCCACGTCGAAACGCTCTTCAACAACTTCTGGGAATTGCCCTTTCCCCCTTTGAGCAAAATATCGTGGAAAAATACGCGACTCCGCCGTCCACGACGCTCTCCCCAACTGGCATTGCCACGCTCCAAAATTTGCTTTGCGTTCGCCTCGTCCAGACTGGACTGTTTGCAGACGCAATCAAACTCGACAGGAGATTTTCCGGTGCATCAAGTGCAAATCTACCACTGCAGAAAGAGCGCACGAAGATGATGGACGAAGTTTACGCTGCTTTGCCACTCGCAGAACGGACGATGTTGGATGTGGAGTTGGCAACTCCACCTACAAAGCAAAATATACCGACTAATGGTACTCGTTCAAATCGAGAGATGGACACGAGCATGTCGTGGGAGGACCTACGCGACTCCCGGCCATCTATCATGCAAGCAACTCCGCAGAAGCAACCATTATTTGCTTCCCTCAATGGCAAGCTGCAAGACACGCCCAAATTCGCTGGATTTGGAATCCCTGTCAATCATACTCCGAGCACCTTCCCGCTGGTGGCCTCGACTTCCGTTTCAAAACCTGTCGTTCCTCCAATTAGCTCTAACACGCCGCAAAATGCCTTCTCATCACTCACACAATCTACTATGAGACCCATAGGCCCTCCCTCTCGCACAAGCCCACCGAAAACTCTCTTCGAGTCTGCCAACCGGAGGCAGAATGCATTCTACCGTCCTCCTGTCGCGACCCCAGCATCGACATCGGTGTTTCGTGATAGTAAAGTGGCAGATAATGGGATACCTCCCTTGTCAATACCGCAGAACATCGACATTGAAATGGCTGATCAGAGTGTTGTTGGTGTTGAGCCGGCAGTTGCTGAATCAGTATCTGTGGTTGACCCCGACGATGAAGAGCTGGCAGAGGAGGAAGAAGGAGAAGATGCAGATGCAAGCCTTGCATATTCCGTATTCTCAAGCAAACCATTAGCGCGACCTAAACAAACAGCGCCAACGGCTAATAAACGATCTCGACAATCCAAAACAGCGCCAAAACGACCTAAAAGGCGGCCACCAGGGGCGTTCACGAGCGATGACGACCATGAAGAGGTGGCTGCTGACCTGCCAGCGCAGCCACCTCCACCAGCAAGGCAAACACGTAAATCTACCAAGAGCACTGCGGCATATGAACCAGAACAGCCCCCGATAAAAAGCACGCGGCGACGGGCAAAAGAGAAGAAGGACCAGGGACATCGGTTGAGTCGGACGTTGCCTGGTTCACTCATGGCGTCCGAAGATGATGAGGATGATGGGTCAGAAGAGCAAACAGAGGAAGCGGACAGTGTGGGTCCTCTTCCCCCAAGAGCTGAGGCTTCTTCCACGGCCAGCAACGGGCCGGGAATGCAAACGAGAAGGCGGTCGTCGCGGCTGAGCTCTGTCGAGTCAGCCTCGGCAAGTGTCAAAGCCTCTCGAACGAAATCGGCGTCGACAGGTCGGAAGCGACGGACCGATTCGTAGCACGGGTTTCAGATTAGAGGAACCGAACCGCGGAAATCATGGTTGTACTTGGCGCAACTAGAGACGTGATATTGTTGTAGTCCTTACACAATGTTGCTATTTACTGGTAAATAATGCGCGGGAGGCTTCAGTGAGACGGAGTTGGCATTTGAAGCAGTTGCAATGCCCCAGTGGGCCGTACGCGTCACAGTTCTGCGAGACTTGTCAATGGTCATAAAAGCACAATGGGAGAACTGAAGGTGTCGTACCGAAAGAGCTATGAGAATACCCGCAGATCTTTTGTAACTCATGATGAACATTCCCCAGCGCCCCAGTTCTTCGGGCTTGTTGGAGGTGCTGATTGCAACGAGAAAGGAGATCAGCGCGAGCGGATTGGTCATTGACGCATTCCAGATCAGGCGATTGTAATCCTGCACTGACAGCGACACCTGCAAGTCCCCGCGCCGATGTGCGTGGCAACACCCACTTTACTCGTCGCAAGTCTAAGATCAGCCAAGGCCGCGAAAAAAAGGACGATGCACTCATGTAAAGCACGTTCAAGAATATGAACAGTAGGACATATGCCCGTTTGAACCCGCTCGAGTGGCGTTGGGCTAGACAGGCAAGCAGAGCACATTTCATGAGGAATACCCCAGACAGCTCTGCGTCCGGCATAAAGGCGACCACCAGAAGAAAGATATAGCAGGAAAAGGTGTTGGGCAACATTTGGGACATAGCTGAAACCAGCCCAAGGCATTTTATTCAGAGAAAGGAGTTGTCTTTGTCTCGAAGAGATCCCCTTATATTTCAGCATAATTCTGTTCACATGGGTCGTAGTGTGTTAGTGGTTAAAGTCGCTCTTCGCTCTCAATGCCGCTCCGCGGTAGTATATGTAGATAGGACTGAGCTCGATGCATCAGCGTTTGACAGACCAGCCGGAGGACGACTCACAATGGAATTCCCAGACATATCGCGCAGACTGTTGAGTAAAATGAGGAACCAGGTCACTCAGCGAGGACGAAGCTTACTTGCGAGCATCGAAAAGCCCCATCCATATCCGAGCTTCGCGAAGATCTCGTGTCCAAAGAGCGGGAAGGAAAACCCGAGCAGTGAACGGAAGAGCTGATCAATTGGTGAGCAAAAGGGGGTAAAACGAAGCCGTGGGAACGAACAAAAGCAGCGGACAGTGCGCTGGCGGCGTATTGGAACGAGTCGACGAGGTATAATTGGATTGGAAGGCTACACAGGTTCAGCGGGCGTCCGTGATGGTCTGAAGACACCCACAAGGAGATCATCATGCCAAAGCCGAATAAACCCGACCCGACGACAGGCATGATCCAAGGCAATTTAGTCTCTGCGGACCAGCCGTACCATCTGCAAAATGGGGTCAATTCATGAAGGTTGAGAGGTTAGATGAATACGAACAGGAGCCCAAGCGGAACGAAGAAGGATCCCACGAGAATGGGAGGAATACGCATTTCTGGTTCGCCCTTGCCTCCGTTCTTGTCCGAGAGCTATCGAGAAAATGCTCCGAAGACGTCAAAACAGGTGGACATGGCAACATACGCGTTGATAAAGGGCATTAGAGAATTTTGCGCCGGAGCACGTAGCCAGGACAAAGCCTACGCCGAGCCCAGCGTACATTAAACCCGCAATACCAGTTGAAAACCCATATGTGCTCATAAAGAAACCTATAATTTTAATTGGCGGGTGATATGCAAGGTGTTGGACCACGTACCATTGAAAGTGACGAAGAAAAGATAGTAGATGCTTTAAAGATATGAGCGCTAAACTCGCAGTTGAGTCTTTTTGACTTGCCCGTATAAGCTTTGAACTGGTCAACACGAGGAAACGGATTGACAGCAGCACTCACAAGGCCATGTACAGACTCAGAATAAAGCAAATGAAGCTGTGCGTGAGGAGATAAACGGGCCGGCTAAAGTTGATCCACAGAAAGTAAAGTTTTCCTGTGATATTAGCCGGCCGAGGTTTCTCGACGGTGTCAAGAGCCTTTTCTTGATCAACAGCGCTAGCAGCAATGCGAAGCTTTATCAAGGGCGCATATGTTTCACTAGGAAAGCCCATTCAGCTTCAGTGGCTACATGATGGAGTGCGCTTACCGCAGGAAAGGAAGGCCAATGAAGCTCGCAAAAGTTGTGACTCCTAAGATGGTAATGAGCGGCGTCCGATGAAAGCCTGTCATTCGATAGTTCCTACCTGCCAATGCGAAATAGACGTATTGGACGCCAACCTTCTGTGCGATAAAACCTGTACCCACACATCAGCAAATCAATGTCTGGAGCAGTGGGTTAATTATACCGCCAGCAATGGGCCCAATGACTACGGAGGAAAGAGTTAGAAACAATCAATCCTGCTCAATAAAACAGCAGACCTGGTCCAAGAAGTGGGCCTAAACTGTAGAGAGCCATTGCAGAGGCTCTTTCCCGTTCGGAAAATAAGTCGCTAACAACGGCGCCGCCACAAGCAACAGGGGCGCTTCCCGAAAGACCAGCTGATATAGAGGCGATCAGTTAGTTTCGTCAAACAGAAGAAAATCCAAGTTAACCCATGAAACGAAACCCAATGAGAGCGGCCGTATTTGGTGCAAATGCACAACCCAGATGAAATAAAATACTGAAAATATTCCCAATGTGAAGGACCTAGGATGACAATTCAGTGAAGGGGACCATGTGCTGATGAGTAGTCGGACGAACCCATTTCCTATAGAGCGTGGTTTGGATGTTGAAGTCAAAGACGGGCCACGATTCATACCTTCCATACATTTCCTGTTGCGGCCGTTAGTTATCAAGAGTAATGGCAAATAGAGATGGCTCACAGACACCGGGGCCAAAACCAAGGGCTATTTGATTTACGTGAGTCGAATATTTGTTAGAGGCATTCAAGCTCACCCCCATCCCAAAAGAAAGCAAAAAGATAGAAAGCGTCATGGCGAGGATCGACTGGTTCGTGATGCCATATCGAGCCGCGATTTGCGCTTCACCGGGAGCCATGGTCGAGCTAGACAGCGGGGAAACAAACATATAAAGAGCAACCTAACAGTGTGTCATCAAATACCGTCACCACAAGTCAGAAAACTACTAACAATTGCGGTTGTGCACCATTTAGTGCAAGCCGACCAGTTTCTGGGATTCCGCGGGTCGAAGAACCAGTCGTCGTGGGCGTCCGTTGTCACGGGAGCGAGAGTCACACACGATTGGGACGGCGGAACAGAAAAGTTGGAGTATTTCGGAATGCCGTCGTGGTCCAAACATGCCGGAAGTTTGGACCCCTGCTCAGACTCTTCGGGTTCATGAAGAGTGAACGACGAACGAGCCGACGACATATTGTTTGCAAAGGGTAGGACAAGAGTGATCCAAGGGTCGTCCGAGCGAATGGGAAGGCGGAGGAGGGTAGTGGAGAGAAAGGGCGACTTCCAATGCTTTATAGTGGGGACAGGGTATTGAGGGAATACAGCGGTCTCTGGGCATCTTGGTCAAAACTGCGGGCTCAAAATAACGTGCAGACTAGGTCTGATTGGACGCCGTCTGGCCATTCGCGAAATTGAAGCTACATCCATAGTTGGCGCGGCGCCCTGAGGGCGTGCATGCGTTGTGTCGGGACCAACTGCTGCTGGGAGGTCAGTCGTGGGCTGATAAACAGATCCAGGAACATTTTCATCCGTGTTTGAAGAAAGGACCAACTTGTTGAGCATCGGCCGTTCGGTGATGAAAGTGTTTTGAAGGTCCAGCAGTAGTCTACTTTGTTCTGCAGACTCCAGAACAGGCCCTGGCCGGCGGATGGAAACCTAAACAGAACTTCATTCCGCACTCAGCATCAAGATAGAGATAAAGGCACACTTATCGCAGCCGAAAGGGTTGAACAGTACAAAGTTTGAGCATCGATGGATTCGGAAGTGGCCATGAAACAAATTCAGGAAAAAGCATGTCGGATGTCGAGTTGCGACTGTCCTCCTAGATGACTGCTTCTGAAGGGTCGAGGAAGACGACACCAGAATACAGAGGTCTAAGCAGCACTGTGGTAGCGGCAATTTTGGGATTGGTGGTGAACAGAAAACGCCCAATGCTATCACCTGAATGCCATGAGACCATGATGTTACAGCCAGTACTTCATGGACAACACGTCGAGATCTTCTCCCGCGGGTAATCGAATGGACAAGAAAAGAAAAGCTAGCACCGCCGTTTACATTTTGTCAGGGCAGTTCAGGTCAAGTAGAGCGCATCGCTAAGAAATTAAGTGTGGTCAAATCGGTGTCGGCAGACCGAGACCGAGGCGGTCTATGAGCAAAACGACGCAAACCACGAGGCTTATTAATTAATAAGTAGATTACTGAGCGGAAAAAAAAGGAAGCTGTTCTTGACTTTTTTTGGTTTTTTTCTTTGTGGGTGTGGGTGAACGTGGGTGCTTGCGACACTCGGAAGACTTCGAATTCGATCTAGGGTTGCATTGAACGAGATGGTGCACCAGCAGAGGAATTAGGATATTCCGCTCCAACCCTCATGGCTGTTGCGAACAAGTTGTTCATGCGAGTGTGACCACTCATTCGAGTCGCGACTTTCATCCAACGTTGAACGACATAATCTTCACTTGGCACGCGTTCAACACCTGAAGACCACTCGCAGCGTCGTCGATTGTGTCGTCGGTGCAGAATTGTTCGCTTCAAACTCCGCCTTTGCGCCACCCATCACCGGCACCTTCGCGACCCTGTCTTTCTCTTTTCTTGTCTTTTGAAGACTATCTGGCACTGCGTTCCGCACTATGCGATGGACTTCTCCACCCACGCGCCGTGAAATCTCACTGGTCATATTCTGCTTGACCGTCTTCACCCTTTCGTATAACATCGACTCGTCAATACGGCTGGTTGGCCTCAATCGTGAAAACGCAGTGCTAAGCAAACTTGGCCTCGTACGAGCGGAGGTCGGTCCCGACGGGCGACGTCCCCTAAAGAGCCGAGATGCCCTCGAAAGTATGATATATGGAGACTGGGATTGGGAAGAGGGAAGGATTGCTGGTGATGGAACGGAAAGAAGTCAACCGAAGGGTGTTGGGAGGCATGGGGCGATGTGGGTTGAAAGAGACGAGATTGGGGACTTGGGAGGCCCGACTTTGGGCGAAACAACAGTGACAGACGCGTTTCAACGATGGGGAGAGAATGTACCCCGAAGCCGTTTGGTCAAGCATACTCCCGGTGCGCTCCATTACTCGAAACTTTCGGTCTGTTTCTTAGGCTGCGCAGGCTATACAATTGTCGACAACATTATTCTTTTCAATGGAAGTATGACCCTCGTAACAGAAGAACCAGAGACTTTCCCGCCATTACATGAAATGATCCTTCCAGCCGACTTGAACCGTTGGCGCATTCTTTCACCTCAGCAAGCTCGAAAGGTTATTCTTCCCTACGGCGGAAGGTTTGTTTCACAGGTCTTGTCTCCGCGTGTGGCTGACTCGCTGCGGCAGGATACGAGGAGTAACTTGGATGGCTGCCGATTCCTCACCACACAACTCCACTCTCTTGGCATTGTGGAGAACCTATAGTGCGCTGGACTCTGAAATAAACTCGAATGGGGCAACAACCCTTACTCCTCCTCGACGCTTGATGTTTCCATACTACGGATTCTTCACGGACCCGAATCCCGAGCACGCGGATGTCACAACTCGTCGACAACGAGTGGTGAACGGATTCCACCCTGAACTAGTCAAGGCAGCATTCCCGTTCATGACTGTCATGTATTATGCGGACTGGGAGGACTACCACAAGATGCAAGTGCCGTTTGTCATTGAACGTCTCGTGGTTGCGGACAGAACTGCAGCATCGTATGGGGTCGACTCCCATGAACCGATCTATGCACCCGCTTTCAGAAAGACTGATGGGTTATCGGAGCACTGGTGGGAGCCCATACGACTCAACCTTGCCTCGTATTTCGGAGTCAACGGAGACAAAGCACCTAAAAATGGCATCACTTATGTGCATCGTCAGTCGCATTCGAATGGTTTGAAGTTGAACGATGAAGACCACGCGGCACTTGTGGAGGCTCTGCAAAAGCTACAACAAGACTATGGGTACGAGGTTCATATAGTCTCCAACATCGACGAAGAAATGTCCTGGACCGACCGGCTCGGGGCGATTACCCGGTCAACTGTGTGTTGGTTTTACTACTCCTGAAGTCTATCGTGCTCATCTGACTCTAGCTAATGCTGGGCGTTCACGATAGCGACTTGATCGACTGTGCTTACATGCAACGGAATCCACACACCACTCTCATGGAGTTCTTCCCCCCGCAAACGTTTGCGCTTGAGCAGCAACTGGTTGCCAAATCCTTGGGCATGCGATATGTTGCCTGGTGGAAAGAAAGGCGTGTGCTAGTCTTTTACAACGTGTCATTTTGTCTTACGCCAATTCACAGACGACTCTCCCAAGACGAGCTACCCTCTGTTTCACGCCCAACAGATGGGCAAGCAGTTCCCATTGACGTTTCTGAGATTGTCAAAGCTATTCGGGAGGTTCTGCAGTAATAAAACTGGACATTATTATTATAAGACTCAGATATGTAGAGCTAGAATTCGCATAATATCTGCATTAGGCGGGCTTATTTCTTTATGTCCTTCCCTGAAGCGCGTCACCGAACTTGATATCGACGACGTGTCGCATGTGATCAGTTTTCGTGGCCGCATCAATACATTCCCTGTTCTCGCCCGCCATGGCTTCTGCAAACGACTCGCTGCCTCCTGGCTGGATTGCTGAGTGGTGAGTCTCTTTGCGCGCGTTTTAAGCTGATCTGAACTCCATTCGAGGAACGAAGCCAACCAGCGATACCTTTTCATCGGTGAGCGTCAACGTGGTGCTTTTTTCGTGACTGACGCGGCATTAGATACGACTACAAACCACACACAATGGGAAGAGCCATCTGCAAGTGTCCCGCCCCCCGCAGAAACTATAGCAGCTCCGACTGGTGGGGGCCACGGAAAGAGACGGCAATATGCTGCTGGTCAGACCCAAGCGTATTATGGTGGAGGAGACACGTTGGCCTCTGCACCAGATGCTGGCTACTACGGTGGTGCGGTGGACCCCAATCAGCAAGCACAGCAGCAACAACCAGCGGCGGGGGGTCAGCTTTTCACACCAGGATATGCTGCAGAGGGTGGTTTCGCTGGTCAACAAGGACAACCAGCGTATTATCAACCAGACGCGCCGGCCTATGCCCAGCAGTCGCAACAGCAACCTCAATTCGGTAACAACAACGTCGATGGACTCGCGAATCAATTCAGCGGGATGAACATGGGTCAAAAACAGTTCACGCTCAACACCATAAATGTCCTCACTGCCCCACCCGACCCTCGCGACCTTCATGCCCCCCCGCCAGAAATTCGCCTGCCCCCTGGCTCATGCTTGTCGCCAGCGCCTACCGCGACTGCCGATCCATCTTACCAGCGATTAACTATCAACGCAGTCCCAACGACATCTTCCCTCCTTGGGAAGTCCAAGCTTCCCCTCGCGCTAGTTCTCACGCCCTACCGCACTCTCGATGAAGGTGACGATGCCATCCCGCTCGTGACCGACGTCATTGCTCGTTGTCGGCGTTGTCGCATGTACATCAACCCGTATGTGCAGTTCATTGACGGTGGAAATCGCTGGCGTTGCTGCATGTGTAACATGTCAAATGAGGTCCCCCAGATGTTCGACTGGGACCAGGCCCGTAACCAGCCTGGTGATCGCTGGGCCCGCGCTGAACTCAACCATTCTGTGGTTGAGTTTGTTGCCCCCACCGAATATATGGTCCGCGCCCCACAACCGGCCGTCTACGTCTTCCTCATCGACGTAAGCCACCCTGCCGTTCAGTCTGGTATGGTCGCGACTGCGACCCGTGCACTTTTGGAAAACCTCGACCGCATTCCCGACGACGACAAAATCACCAAGATAGGCATTATCTGCTATGACACGTCGCTCTACTTCTTCTCAATGGCTGTATGTTTTATCTTCATTTGTGAGCGCATCCGATACTGATATGGTTGCAGCCAGGAACAACAGATTCGACCATGCTTGTTGTCTCCGACATTGACGACGTCTTCCTTCCGAAACCGACCGACTTGCTTGTTAACCTTTCCGAAGCGCGTCCCGCGCTCGAGTCGCTACTTAGCAGGCTTGGTGATATGTTCCAAGACAACAACGCCATCGGAAGCGCTTTGGGTCCTGCTTTACAGGCTGGGTCGAAGTTAATGGCGCGTGAAATCCATTTTTTCTGACTGTTCATATTTTTAACACCCCTTTTAGGCACCCATTGGAGGCAAACTCATTGCCCTCTCTGCGAGCTTGCCTTCTGTTGGCGAGGGTGCGCTCAAGAATCGTGAAGATCCCAAGGTTCTTGGCACAGCCAAGGAATCTGCTCTCCTTCAAGCAGCCAACTCGTTCTACAAGACCTTTGCCATTGACTGCTCGCGGGCGCAAGTCACTGTGGACATGTTCCTCTTCAGCTCGGGCTACCAGGATGTGGCCAGTCTTGGTGTGTATTCATTCGCCTGATATTTGTTCTTCTGCTCATGGTTGTAGCCAACCTCCCGCATTACACTACGGGTAACACATACTACTATCCTGCCTTCAATGCTGCCCGGTCCGAAGACGCCATCAAGTTTGCAAAAGAGTTTGGCGATGTGGTCGCGCAGCCCATAATGTTGGAATGCATTACTCGTGTGCGAGCATCTCGAGGTAACCAAAAGTACTAATCCTCATGTTTATCGTTAATCCTTTGTTTTCTTAGGCCTTCGAATGGCTTCTTTCCACGGCAACTTCTTCGTCCGGTCAACAGATCTTCTTGCAATGCCGACTGTCCCTCAAAACCAGTCTTACGCAATCGAAATTGAGATCGAAGACACCCTAACCGCGCCGTTTGTGGTTCTTCAAACTGGTATGCTGCATACCACTTGTTTCGGTAAGTTTCTTTGGGCCGTCTTCCTGGTTCTCTTTACTCACGGAAACTTAGGCGAGCGTCGTTTGCGTGTCGTCACCACAGCCTACCCTACCACAAGTAACCTTTCGGAAATCTTTGCGTCGGCCGACCAAATTGCTCTCACCACTCTGTTCGCCAATAAGGCGGTCGAACGTTCATTATCGTATCGCCTTGAGGACGCACGTGACTATATATTCAAACGGCTGGTCGATATTTTCATCGCATACAAGACGAGCATGACTGCTGGTGGAGCTGGAGCCAGCGCACAGCTGGCTTTCGCGGACAACCTGAAGATGCTCCCCGTATTGATCTTGGCACTTTTGAAGAACGTTGGCATAAGGCAAAGTGCCCAAATTCCCCCGGATATTCGAGCATACTCCCAGGCGCTGTTGACTTCGCTGCCATCACAACTTCTGATTCCTTATCTTTATCCTTCGTTCTACTCTCTGCATACAATGCCTCCCGAAGTGAGTTTTTATTTCATCTCGACTGAAAATGAAATGACGAATTTCCAGGCTGGAACTGTTGGCGAACATGGTGTTATCATGCCCCCGGCGATGCCTTTGACCTCTGAACGACTGGAGCGCCATGGTCTCTTCTTGATCGAAGATGGACAGACTATCTTCCTCTTTGTCGGGCGTGATGCTGTGCCGCAGCTCATCATGGACGTGTTCGACTTGCCAAACTACGAAGTATTACGTGGCGGCAAGACTACCCTTCCGGTGTTGGACAACCCCTTCTCGCAGCGGGTCAATGCTATCATCCAAAAGACGAGGGAAATGCGGCGCGGTGTTTACTACCCCCACGTTTACGTCGTCAAGGAGGACGGAGAGGCGCCGTTGCGTTTGTGGGCACTCAGCGCGCTCATTCAGGACCGGGCGGACGTGCTGCCGAGCTACCAGCAGTTCATCAACACCGTCAAAGAGAAGGTGCGTTATTTTCGCTATTTTTTGATTTTTTTTTTGCTCATACCTTGCAGGTCAACGGTGTTGGCTACTGATCGCTGTCGTCTGCGTCCAAAAACTAGAAGGGCTAGTAGGTGCTCGAATGTAACGCGGGTGTATGATATCTTTTCTTGCGATCTAGTAGTTAGCAACCCTTCCCGCATCGCGCTCATTGGGCACTTACCTACCTACGTAACCTTTTCGGCACTCTGAAGTATATATTTGCATATAATTGCAGTTTTCACTCTTCCCTTTGCCTTGGGCCTTTTTTTTCTTTGAAGGTGATGTGACCTCCTATTTGCTCACACTTCAATGAGTGATGCAAACCAGGACCTCAAGTTTGTCATTGACGCAGAGAATCCCTACAACTATCAGCCACAGGGATTCCATCCTATCCATATTGGTGACTCTTTCTCAGATGGACGATACACCGTCTTACACAAGCTTGGCCATGGCAAATCATCCACAATTTGGGTCGTCCATGACGCCAACGACAATAGCTTGAAGTCGCTCAAAGTCGTCGCTGCGTGGAGATCTGACACTGAGGTCCAGGTTCTGCGACACTTGGAGGCCAATTTCGACGAACAGGAGGAGGGCAGCCAACATGTTGCGCGTATGTTTGACGCCTTCATCCACGAGGGCCCCAATGGCAGGCACCAGTGCATTGTCGGCGAGGTACTCGGCCCAAACTTGGCATCCTACGTTGGCAATTTTTGGGCTTCGGAACGCTTCCCGCCAGAGATGGTTCGACGAATGTTTGGTCAAATTGCATTGGGAGTTCGATATTTGCACAAGCGAGACGTTGCCCATGGCGATCTCCACCAGGGAAACATTCTCCTCCGTCTCCCTATAACCTGGCGGACCGCTTCGGATGTCGAGCAAGACCTGGGCGTGGCCGGCGAACACGAATATGGCGCAGACTTGACATCACCGCATCAGCCACGATACCTCGTCCCTGGAATGTGCGATGACCCATATCTACTCCAACTCTGCCTCCGTCAACCACATATCAAGATTTGCGATTTCAGCGAGTCGAGTATTCCCACTCTAACTGATCCACCGTATCTTGCCTCACCATTGATACTCCGTCCACCCGAAGCTATACTTGGCTTTCTGGAGCATCCCACTCTCCAGAGCGACATCTGGGCTCTTGCCGTACTCTGTCATCTTTTATTCGCAAATGGTCGCAGTCTATTTTACAGAGGCGACAAAATGCTCCTCGACATGGTCCTCAACCTTGGGAAACTCCCCGAGGAATTATGGACAAGTTGGCCTGGCCATACAGACTTTGACGACCAAGGACGGGCAATCCGCGGACCGAATGTGTCGATTTTCTTGAAGTTTGGGTTTGAAACTATACCGGAAGGAAAAGAGCGAAAGGTCTTGGAAACGTTGCTCAGGTCGATGGTATGCTATGACACACAAAAACGGCTTACCGCCGAGCAAGTAGTCGTTAGCGAGTGGGTCGCGGAGTACTGCCGGCCACAGATGGGCCCCGAGGTAACATATGTCGTGGAGAACATGGATGAGTAGCCATAGTCTCAAACCCGACACTCAGGCCACCTCCAACAGGCGCGCCAGCCGCGGTTTTCCAACCTGGACCCCGACCAGGGCTGGACCCACCCTGCCCGAGCTGCCGCTTGCTGTCGGAGCCTCCTCTCCCTTTTCATCCATTTTTTTTGGCTGCAATGTGGCTTTAATACTAGTAATTGCGCTCCGAACCCCACGCTGCCGCTCGCTGCATCATCCCTTGTCGTAGCATCAAAAGCTGGGGTGTCGGCCTTGAACAAAATTCTGCCAATCAATTCCCCAAATCGGTATGTGTTGTACTTGAATGTGGAGCGAGTCGGGGTGTCGTGAGTGCCATGAGCTACCCTGTCGAGTTGAATTGCGACATTGTGCTAAAATAGCTTGACCAGTCGTCGAGACTGCACGACATGAGCAAACGCCTGTCAAATCAACTTGCTTACTTCAATCCCGTTGGCAAGGACGCCCCCCATATGGCCATAACGTCTTCGTCGGTCTCCCAGGGGGCCATCGGCGCGTCGCGGTCCGGCAACCCAAACGGGCTGGTCGCGGTCATTTCCTTGAAATGCGAGAGCCACTCGTGCACCTCATTCGTCGCGGGTTTGGCGCTGTGGCCAGCAGCCATCGCGTGTGTCAACCCGTCCCGGCCGAACGGTGTTGGCACTGAAGCCGTGGTCCTGGCTTCCGACGAGTGCCTGCCGCGTTTCTTCGACGGCATTGCGGTTGGACTATTCGAGAGCGCCTTTGGGGGCTCTGGCACTGAGGCGAGTTCAGAGAGAATGTCACTGTTGCATAGCTTAGTTGTGAACAACGTTTAGGGCAATGCTTACTAGAACAGTCCTGCGACTAGCCATCTGAGTCAGATGTCAACAAAACAGCTGTGAAATATAACAACACGACTGACCTGTCCTCACAAACCCGCACGACTTCGATGAGTTGCTGGACCTGCTCTATTGTGCTGTTCATGTGTGGCGGGAGTCCAGCTGTGTGGCTTGCACTCCAGACATTGATGACCAGAATGAGCCCGGCAGCAAATGCGAAAGGCTACACCATTGTTTGTTAATGTCAAACAAATCGGCTGAGAAAGTGGGCACACGGTGACTTCTGGGACCGGTCGACCTTTGTTCCGCTCGCGCTGGACATGGAGAATCCGGCTTGTCGCCCGCGATGCATTGGTGCAAATTGCTAGCGAAGGCAATGTCTACGAATTCAAATCAGTGCAATTCAAGGTCAGATAGATGCCACCAACCTGGACAGAATCGCGGGTGCGCTTCCTGACCATCGGTAGGTATTGGCAGTGGACGTAGATTTGAAGACAATAGAACGATGCGTGGAGCATTGCTGACTGCTCGAAGAAAATCGCATCCTCAGGACTCGGGTCAGCTTTTGGATGTGCAAAGTTATCCCATCGCACTAAGGAGACACATTTAGTCGAAGGAAACAAATGACCTGAGAAACCCACGATGTTCCGGCGTCGTTGCAATCCAGGCATTCAGTGCAGAGTCGAGTTCGGCAACGACCTTCTCCTGCCATTGGCTGTCGCGGATGGCAAAGAGCGCTTGACATTTTTCGAGCCCATATTACCCCGCGTCTCCGGCGGAAGTCCAGCTCTGTGGCTTGCATTCCAAACAAGCCACTGTTCCACCGTCCGAACCGCACAGCTCCCGCCTCTTCTTTGCAAGTCACACACATTCAACGCAAAAGTCATTATATTGACAACTACAGCAACAAATCTGCAGCGATATTAGCGTTGTTAGCTTCATCGAGAAACAGACCAAAAAACTTACCTGGTAGCGTGAATCTCGATATGCCGCGCCAAACTCTGAAGAACTCTGCAACAACATAAATATGATAGGAAACACACGCAACACAAGCTTACCTTGTTTAGCTACCGGCACTCGCAGACGAGGCATTCTCTCCACCTACCGCTTGCGTTGTGCGTAACCACTGCAGTTCGGCACGCTCGCCCGCCTTGACAACTTGTTGAAAACCCACCGCGAGCCAACAGAGGTTCATTGCCGAATGTGTCCCCGCTCAAGGTGGCCTGAAGTGTCCGGCAAGATAAGGCCACTGTTCAAGTATGTCAGCGCCGACCAACAAAGCTAAAGATGAGGACTGACCGTCAAGCGCCGCGATTATTCAAGACGAGCTGACGCTGCTCAGCGGCCAACAGTAGAACTGGTTGCAAACGGGTCAGGAGTAGAAGAAAAAAGAAGTTGTAATACATACTTACCGTCAACCGAAGCCAGCGCGACTCGCGCTTGACCTACATGAAGGACGGACTGCAGAGAAAAGTTTTCGGTGTGCACGTGCGTCACACGGCCCGCCCGCCCGCCGCGGCCGATCACCGATCGATCACAGGCCAATCTCCAACCTGGACCACCACTTGCAAAATAGCACAATCTCGCGCAAGCTCCGGCGACACTCAGCACGGGCATCAAGACAGCAGCAACCAGCAACGAGCGGCCACTCACCAACGATGACGTCCCTGGCTCGGCGCGATTTCTCCGACAGCACAAACCGCCGTGCGCTGCCTCTGGCTTCAAACAACAAAGACTTATTTAATGGCGACTTCAAACGGCCGCGCGGCATCTGCTTCAAAATTTCAGCCGCTTGCAACAACCACGACATGGCCGGCGCGGATCCGCCCAGCTCCGTCCCTCTTGTTCCCAAACGGCAACCTCGATGCTGACCGGGGAAATGAGCGCATATGACGACTGTCACCAACAACTTCAACGGCTTGCGACCACGACGGCTGGCGCGGATCCGCGCCCAAGCCCAACACCCTCTTGTTTCCAAATGCTGAGTGGGCGAATGAGCGCAAGAATAGCGGCAGCGCTATGATGACTCACCAGCCGCAATGCTGCCCTTGACAATGGTCTGCCAACCTCAAACTGGTCGCGACAGTCTGCGCGCGCAATGGGGACCACGCGCGCCAATGTTGTTCTTCGACATCTGGCTTAAAGCCGTCGGCGCCTGCCTACACGACTTAGCAAGACAACGAAGATCAATAAACCCGACTTACTTTTGCCGTCCATGCCAACAATTTGGCCGATTACACGGCAACAACCCCCGAACTGGCCAGCACGACTGCTGAGCAAGATGCCGTGGCAATCCCGGTCCAGCTCACATGCGCCGCCGTCCGACGGAACTACAAACAGACAGCCCTCATTCCCCATCGCAAACACCGGCACGCAGAGAGGTGGGCTGGAACAAGTCAGGCACCGTCTGAGGGAAATGCAGCGGCGACTCACTTGGCAAGAACGGCAAGTCACGCCCCGCGCGCCTCAATCTTTTGGTCAAGGTAAGAACATAAAATTGTGAATAATGACAACTTACCAGGATCAGATTTGGAGCCGCGCTGCGCTATCGGCTTCATGGCCTCCGACCATATTCTGAAGAGCGCAACACGGCCCCAAGCTCGGCTGAGCCTAGCTCTAAGACTGCGGCAAGAACTAATGAGCAAGATGCCGAGATAATCAAGAACACGACTCACCTTCGCCGTCTCCCGCAACGACAAACAACACCTAGCCGACAATCAAGCGGACTGGAACAAGGTTGACGTCGTTGGGAGGATTGTGCAGGGCGGAGGTTGTTAACGACAACCGCAGCTTTGAGCGGGGGGTTCAACGACGGCAGCGGTGTCCCGGGAGGGGATCCCGCCGTCTGTAATGATGTGAGTTGGTTGTCTACAACAACGGTAAGCCTTGATCTCTGCGACTTGAACTACCACTCACCGTTGAACAGCTCGTGAAGGACAACCACAACAATACCTCGCTTGCTACAACGTTGTCGCGGCCGATGTTAGGACTGCAGTCCGCGCTGTTTGGCAACGACGACAAGCCCGATCAGCCCAAAGGACGGCAACAAGCCTGCTGAACGCGCCGAAAGCTTTCGGTCAGCAAGATGCCGAGATAATCAAGAATCCGACCTACCTTTGCCATACAAACGCCTCAAGCCACCCGCACCTACAGACAGCTCGGGCTGGAACGAGGCTGACAACGAAGGAGCGGCAACTGCAACACAGCCGAGTCTAGTGCCGAAACCCTTTTAGTTAAGGTGAGCGCGAAGAATGACATAACTTACTATGATTGGATTCGAAACTGAACACTGCCAGTCACTTTCGACGAAGGGTGCGGGAACGACGGCCCGGGCTTGCGAACGCGACGACTCAGCAAGATGACAAGAATATCAACCAGCCCACTCACCTTTGCAACTCCAAACGAGTCACCAATGGCGGCGAGGACGGCGGCGGCACGAGGACGGCGACGAAGACAATAGCAACATTGTTAGCGTGGACTTGAGGAGAAGGAAGTGGGAGAGAGGAAAAGGCCCGGGGAGGGAAGGGGAATGATGGCAATGTCAGATTGGGGCTGGGTTTTATACCCAGTGCCCGTCGGCGCGCGGCATAAGCGAGTTACGATATGCAAGACGATTATTTGCCGGCTAGACTGACAGTTGGACTTGGAGGGCGATCCCGCCACTGCCGGTAAGGGTGTGATATCTGGTTTGCAGACAGCGTCCTGGTCAGGTAACTGGCAGGTAGCTTGTGAAGGTATATGAATTACAATGCTATTGCATGTTCAGATGAGTTTTAGACTGATAACCCGCCGCAAGAGAGCAAGGTTCGAAAAATGAAGGTGGGGAGTTGGAAGTTGAAATACGACATTCCCAGACAGCGGAGCGCCCGAGTTTGCAAGCGAGCGACATCAGGGGTGATGGTGCCTTGATGCCCAGCGTGTTTCAGGCAGAAATGGCGTGAGTTTCCTGTTGAGAAACACAGATGTTTGGGGTGATAAATGAAATTCCGGCGGAGCGAGGGATTCCTTGGGGAATCGAAAGCGGCCAGGTGGACGGGGGGGTCTGGCATGGGAAGTACTGAAATTTCGGAGGAAATCGGACCATCCCCTGGCTCAGAATGCCAGGAATCAGCGAAACAACACACCTGGGCAAGATCACATATTTAGTGAGGTATTTCCCTACCGATGAAAGGCTAGTTCAACAGGGCGCTTACGTAAGCACATCCTCCTGAAATTTCAGCTGAATCGGAGCAGTTTTAGCTATAGAACAGCGGTTGAATTGAGAATTTCCCTTTTGGGTCGCGGGCGTTAGCACGCGATAAGGTCACGTGACTGTCCAGCGGAGCCCGTGTTCTCCGACCAAACTTTGCATTATGAGACTTTTGACACCTGTCCAACTGCCAATAAGATGTTTCCTCTAAATATTTAATGCTTATAGATTTCTCGGTTGGGATTTTCAAGAAGTTCATTTTATGATACTTTTTGTTATTGGCCCATGAGAATGATGACTACTGTACTATTTCATTTAATTTGGCCAGATCACCACTTGAATCAAAAGTTGATCAAAAATATGAAAAATTATTCCTAGTGTCTCTGAAAAATCGGGTGTGACTGTGACATGCCAAAGTGATCAAAATAGTACCAGCTGGTTTAACCTCTCTATAGATGGTACCATATATTGAAACTATACTGTTCTTGTTAAAGTTTTGATAGTCATATGTGTGACTCACTGAGAACCTTCTTCTTTGCACTGACTGATCAGTAGAATATACTAGAAAATGTACAAATAGTATATAAACAGAATTATGATTGCAAACTGAATATTGCTACTTCTGATCCCATCGACCACTCAGATCACACTAGAAGTTCTGCCATATCACTCTGGTACACAGCTGCATATTACTTATCTGATCTTGCTTAGTCAGCATTACAGCAAGATCTTTACCTATTTTCTACTGACCACCTGTTTTGGCTGATGTCAAAAATTGTAAATTACTATGAAAAGTTGTTTTTTATTTGTTCTTATTCTAAATATGTAGCTATCACTGAGTATATCAATTCAAAAGTTTTTATTCAATTTTTACCTACTTTTTATTGGGACTAATTGGACTGCAGTATAGATTTATCAAAGTCTGAGCTGAATGTGAAAAATTGATTTTTGCTGTCAGGGGAACCCCCACCTTGGCATCTGTCCATCGCATCTTGGCATCAGATACCTGTCCATCAATTACCTACGTGATGCCCAAGCGACCGTCGTTTTGTCCACCGATAGGAATCAACGTAGGTAATGCATCAGGATCTGCAAGAAGATCCTCCTGGGACCTGGCGTGCGACATGGCGCGGGCATATTGCATGGAGCAACGATTATTCTTGGCACATCAAGAGCGCGGTATATAGTTGGCTACCTGGCAGGTGGACCCTCAGAGTTTCTTCTCTTGGGATCCTCCCCTGCCAGGTCAGCCTTGTTTGTATTCATCTACCCTTATTCACTCTTTGGATCCTCCCCTGCCAGGACCTTGATCTCAGGCCTCCGGGGTTGCCCTTACATTTGCCTACATTTACTGGAATAATTGCTAGCCAGAACCTGTTTTGATTTGCCTGCCCAAACACCAAGAATAGATTTTATTGTATTTTTACCTACTTTTACGTCAGATTGAGTTAAGTATAAACAGCATAAACATCAAACTTCACTCTAAAAGTTTTATTTGATTTTTTACCCACTTTTTATTTTCCCGAAAATTACTATTCTGGGAAGTGATCCATGCCAAATCGCACCCAATAGGTCCAGAAATGTCAAGAACTTACCACTTTGGGTAGTGGTTAAGTTCTAAATCTTGATAGTAGATCAAGTTTGCTTATTTCATTTTTACCCACTTTTTATTTTTTCGAAAAATTACCATTTGGGGAAGTGATTCAAGCCAAATCTCCTCAGCAGGTTCAGAGATGTCAAGGGATTACCAGTTAAGTCTGAAATCTCAATAGTAACTCCAGTTTTTTTATTTCATTTTTACCCATATTTTATTGGGATTGAGTCCTATTCTGGCTGAAGATTTGCCAAAGCCAAATACTGTCCCATTTCAATCAACTGTCCGCGTTACCGCGTTACAGGCGGTCGCGGCTGGATTCTGATCAAAAACAGGCTTAAAAAGGCAATTTTTTTGTTCTGGCTGACGCTGGAGTTGCCTTTTATAGTAACCCGGACACCTTGTCCGGCGGACAGCTTGTGTTACGTGTTACATGCCCCGGACAGTTGATTGAAATGGGACAGTATAATGATTTCTTTTACGTATTTGATTTTTTACCCACTTTTTATTGGCCTCATTGTCTAGTTTTGTCTGACATATCGGCATTATCATACGCATCATAATTTCTGTCAAGAAAACTTTTTTAAATTGATTTTTACTCACTTTTCATTTTCTGGAAATCCAACTTGCCATAGAAATTACTTCAAAGCTAGGTATTTGATTTTTACCCACTTTTTATTGGAATGTTTGGTTTACACTAAGCACCCATGATGATTTCTTTTATCTACTTTTTATTTTCCATTGTAGGTAGTCAGGCCTGGAATTGCCATTTTGGGAGTGTTAAGCCAGTATAAGTGTGACACAAATCCATATGATCACAGGTTTTGTTCAGTTCTCAGGCCAGTACCATCTTAAGTTTTATGTGACTGACTCACCCACTCTTCTGTAGAATTCAACAATTGTCAGGCAACGAGTTGAACTCATGACCAGCCTGAAACACACCATAACATAATATCAAGGTCCCATCAAATATTCCGTGAATTAGGTGACGCCAAGTGGTCACACTTATGGCCTCTTCCTCTTTCCCCCGTCGTTGTGTTTTTTTTTCCCTTCGTGGTGGTGAGTACTGCTGCCCTGACATTGGCTACAAGCTCACTGCTCTAGACCCAATGCTGAGTTGTCCCTGCTTTGGTCCCAAGTCTCTTCCCCCGTTGTTGTGTTTTTCCCCTTCGTGGTGGTGAGTGCTGTTGCGCCATACTTGGCTACAAGCTCACTGCTCTAAACCCAATGCTGTTACTTCAAAGAGTGGTCCTAGTGAGTGTTATGTCATCCCTTTTTTTTTTGTTGCCCTTGCTGCACCTACCTTCGGGAGGGGAAACCCTGGCCCGGGGTTGAAGAAAGTGCAGAATGGGCATGGGTACCGGGAGCACGCATCAGAATCTCTTAATTGACGCGATTTTGGGTACACCTCAAATTTTCTCCAGCCAAAACATATGGATTATTGTTAAAATCGCGCAAGTCCGAAATTAAACGCGACGCACGTGACCGCGTGGACTTGGGCGTGGAGCCAAGGGCGTGCGACGTGGGACGTGGGACGCAGATGCCGTACAGGACGCGGCGCAGGGACACGCCGCATATATATATATATATATATACAATTATTACAACGATAGCGAGTGAGACCTCGGCGTGCCCGGCGCAGACTTGACATCACCGCATCAGCCACGCTGGATGACCCACATCTACTCATTCCTCAACCACATATCAAGATTTGTGATTTCAGCGAATCCAGCATTCCCACTCTGACTGATCCACTGCCCTCACCATTGATACTCGCTCAACTTGGCTTTCTGGAGCATCCTACTCTCCAGGCCCTTGCCGTACTCTGTCATCTTTTATTCGCAAATGGTCGCAGTCTATTTTACAGAGGCGACAAAATGCTCCTCGACATGGTCCTCAACCTTGGGAAACTCCCCGAGGAATTATGGACAAGTTGGCCTGGCCATACAGACTTTTTATCCGCGGACCGAATGTGTCGATTTTCTTGAAGTTTGGGTCTGAAACTATACCGGATGAAAAAGAGCGAAAGGTGTTGGAAACGTTGCTCAGGTCGATGGTATGCTATGACACACAAAAACGGCTTACCGCCGAGCAAGTAGTCGTTAGCGAGTGGGTCGCGGAGTACTGCCGGCCACAGATGGGCCCCGAGGTAACATATGTCGTGGAGAACATGGATGAGTAGCCATAGTCTCAAACCCGACACTCAGGCCACCTCCAACAGGCGCGCCAGCCGCGGTTTTCCAACCTGGACCCCGACCAGGGCTGGACCCACCCTGCCCGAGCTGCCGCTTGCTGTCGGAGCCTCCTCTCCCTTTTCATCCATTTTTTTTGGCTGCAATGTGGCTTTAATACTAGTAATTGCGCTCCGAACCCCACGCTGCCGCTCGCTGCATCATCCCTTGTCGTAGCATCAAAAGCTGGGGTGTCGGCCTTGAACAAAATTCTGCCAATCAATTCCCCAAATCGGTATGTGTTGTACTTGAATGTGGAGCGAGTCGGGGTGTCGTGAGTGCCATGAGCTACCCTGTCGAGTTGAATTGGGACATTGTGCTAAAGTAGCTTGACCAGTCGTCGAGACTGCACGACATGAGCAAACGCTCGTAAAGTCTATCATCAACCTACTTCAATCCCGTAGGCAAGGACGCCCCCCATATGGCCATAACGTCTTCGTCGGTCTCCCAGGGGGCCATCGGCGCGTCGCGGTCCGGCAACCCAAACGGGCTGGTCGCGGTCATTTCCTTGAAATGCGAGAGCCACTCGTGCACCTCATTCGTCGCGGGTTTGGCGCTGTGGCCAGCAGCCATCGCGTGTGTCATCGCATCCCGGCCGAACGGTGTTGGCACTGAAGCCGTGGTCCTGGCTTCCGACGAGTGTCTGCCGCGTTTCTTCGAGGGCATCGCGGTTGGACTATTCGAGAGCGCCTTTGGGGGCTCTGGCACTGAGGCGAGTTCAGAGAGAATGTCACTGTTGCATAGCTTAGTTGTGGACAACTTTTAGGGCAATGCTTACTAGAACAGTCCTGCGACTAGCCATCTGAGTCAGATGTCAACAAAACAGCTGTGAAATATAACAACACGACTGACCTGTCCTCACAAACCCGCACGACTTCGATGAGTTGCTGGACCTGCTCTATCGTGCTGTTCATGTGTGGCGGGAGTCCAGCTGTGTGGCTTGCACTCCAGACATTGATGACCAGAATGAGCCCGGCAGCAAATGCGAAAGGCTACACCATTTGTTGTTAATGTCAAACAAATCGGCTGAGAAAGTGGGCACACGGTGACTTCTGGGACCGGTCGACCTTTGTTCCGCTCGCGCTGGACATGGAGAATCCGGCTTGTCGCCCGCGATGCATTGGTGCAAATTGCTAGCGAAGGCAATGTCTACGAAATCAAGTCAGCGCAATTAAAAGGTCAAATGGATGCCGCCAACCTGGACAGAATCACGGGTGCGCTTCCTGACCATCGGTAGGTATTGGCAGTGGACGTAGATTTGAAGACAATAGAACGATGCGTGGAGCATTGCTGACTGCTCGAAGAAAATGGCATCCTCAGGACTCGGGTCAGCTTTTGGATGTGCAAAGTTATCCCATCGCACTAAGGAGACACATTTAGTCGAAGGAAACAAATGACCTGAGAAACCCACGATGTTCCGGCGTCGTTGCAATCCAGGCATTCAGTGCAGAGTCGAGTTCGGCAACGATCTTCTCCTGCCATTGGCTGTCACGGATGGCAAAGAGCGCTTGACATTTTTCGAGCCCATACTACCCCGCGTCAATCATACATGTAGTAACCATACCTCGTGTGAATACTCACCAAAACACGCAGTGCGATGCCTTGCAGTCGATTGAGGCGCAAAAACTGGTTGAAATAAGTGACATAGGTAGGCTTGTTCGGCGGTTGGGTAAATGGGTCCGCCTTTGGGTCGACTCCCGGTTCGCCAGGCCATTGTTCGTCATCGCATTCAAATGGAAAGTCGGTGTCCATGCTGCCAAAAGCATTCAGGTTTCTTGACTGACAGACGCCGGCCAACTTACTCAAAGCTTTCGATCGTTGGGGGTGATCCGAAGGTGAACGAGACCTGTCTATCCATACAATAAAGACACCAAAATGAGCGCTTCCACTGCTCAGAGATAGCTGTTCCTCTGTCAATATGAGTAATGGATAGACGACTTGGCCTTACCTGTTGGTGGCACGGCCATTGCCCCCCACCGATGCACTCCCCGATCCTGAGCGATTTTGATACCCATGGCAAGAAGTGTCCAAGACTGAGAGGGGCCAGAGAATTGGAGATACATTGTTGCTAACGCGCAAAACTGGATCTGTGGGAGTGTAGGTTCTTGAAAGAGGTGTTCCATTGCGAAAGAAACTTGCTCAAAATATTGTCTTCCCACTCGTAAGCCGTCCTCTTCGCTGCCTGGGTATAAAACACGGGGGTCGTCAGAGTAACGTGCACCAATAGCGCACACCAACATCACACAGAGTCCAACGCCTCGATCTCGCAGATGAACTCCTTCGGTCATGTTGCGGATGAAGGATGGTTGATGGAGGACAGGGTAGTAGATGTTGGCATGGCGGAAGTAGAGAAATGCAAGCGAAGTCATCAGATCTATCGGCGGGAAGGACAGAATTGTGTCTGGCGCAGACAGAGGGCGTTGCGGAGCCTATAACGAGGCGATTAATGTGACAAAAAAACCGCAGCGGAAAAATATACCAGAGCGGGGTCCCAGTATTTTCTTCGTCGATTCTTCCACTCTAGTGGCTTGCCTTCATAAAGCTCTCGTTGTTCAATGGCCGCAACTATCAAGGCCAATCGACTCGAGTTATTCCGGAAGTGAGTCCCATGCCAATGGCTGCTTGAACCTAAGACCCCGAGTCTGTTCACGAGCTCCTCTGTTGTAGTTTCGGGAGGATCAGGTACAGAAGTAGAGCGAATTTGAGTAGCAACGATCTCAATCAGTGCCGATAATCCGCTCACGACGTGGGGAGGCGGTTCTGTGGGTTCATCTGAGTTGGATGGCGACGAGGCCGAGGGGCTGGCCGTGGTATTGGTGGAGATGGACTTTTGGGACCCGTTGGCATTCTGTATTTTGAGGAGTTGTTGATTGGCTTCCAGCCGCGCCTCTAAAACTTCAACATATCTAAGTTGGGTGAACGAATAGCAGGAAGGCAAGGAAAGACTAAAACTTTGGCTGCTTCTTCGCGACGCCTGTAAACGTGCACTGAATTTTGCCTTCCACACAGGTTGAGCATGCTTTGAGGGGGACTTTGGTGCCGTCGCCTGACTCAGTTGTAAGGTTTAAAGTTGGACATCACTGATCTGCACCTACAAGCACCTGAATACGAGGATTAGTTATAGTTATGAGCTGTTCGAGATTATAGGATACGCACGTCTTCTTCTTCTGCAAGCGTCACAAGCTCTTTGCTCTCGACGAGGCCGAGTTTTCAAGACTGCTTTTGCACTACTCCCACTTCCGACACCTTCAGGCCCACTTTCCATCTTGAATTCGACGCCTGGCAATAAAAGGTGTTCGCCGTGACTCAATGGACCAATCGCACAATGGTTTGCAGAAGATGTGAAAGCTCATGTCAGGTTGATCGGGCAGTGACGCGGCCCCGGCCCGGCTCCGTTGCCCATCGATACATCATGATGATTGTGATCCTGCGGCGACGGGTTATGTAAATGACTGAACCAACCTTTAAGGTCGTTCCCGTTCACGCGGAGCATCCGTCGAGCTACAAGCCACAGGGCTTGCATCCCGTTCATCTTGGCGACTCTTTTGCAGATGGACGATATACCGTCACACACAAACTTGGCCACGGCAAATCCTCGACAATCTGGGTAGTCCACGACGCGCACGACGATAGCTTGAAATCGCTCAAAATAATAGCTGCCTGGAAATCCGACACCGAGGTACAGGTTCTGCAACACTTAGAGGCCAATTTCGACGAACAGGAGGAGGGCAGCCAACATGTTGCGCGTATGTTTGACGCCTTCATCCACGAGGGCCCCAATGGAAAACACCAATGCATTGTCGGCGAAATACTCGGTCCAGACTTGGGATCCTACGTTGGTGATTACTGGGAGACAGATTGTTTTCCGCCAGACATGGTGCGACGCCTGTTTGGCCAAACTGCATTGGGTGTCCGATATTTGCATCAACGAGGTGTTGTCCACGGCGATCTTCACCAAGGGAATGTCCTCCTGCGTCTGCCCATGGATTGGGGCTCCCTTGAGAAAGAGCTCGACAAACCCGAAAAATACGACTATGGCCCCGACTCGCACTCACCGCATCGGCCCAAATACCTCGTTTCTGGGATTGGCGACAATTACAAATTGCTCAGACTATGTCTCCAGCAACCATATATCAAAATTACCGATTTCAGCGAGTCCATCATCCCCGCCCTACCCGATCCACCACTCATTGCCTCCCCTTTGGTACTCCGTCCACCGGAGGCGCTCCTTGGTTTTCTGAAGCATGCGACGATCCAGAGTGACATTTGGGCGCTTGCCGTTCTCTGTCATATGTTATTCTGCAATGGTTTGAGTCTATTTCACTACGGTGACATGATGCTTCATGACATCGTCCTCAACCTCGGGAAATTCCCTGAGCCATGGTGGTCGAGTTGGGCTGGGCATAAAGACTTCGACGAGGACGGCCGGGCGATCAGGGGTCCTACGAAGTCGATTTTCCTCAAGTTCAAATCCAGCATTCTGCGGGATGCAGAGGAGGGCAAGGCGTTGAAGGAGATGCTACGGGCTATGGTGCGCTACGATGCGACAAGTCGGATTACCGCTGAGCAAGTGCTCGCGAGCGAATGGGTGCAGACATATTGTCGTCCGCAGATGAAGGCCGAGGTTAAATTTGTGGTGGAGAATATTGACGGTGGAGATTAACAGTAGACGGCACAAAACCGCCTCCCAACACGAGCCGCTGACATTTGGAGAGACGTAAACATTTGTCGACAGCAGCTCAGGCTGGGGTGGAGGTCGGAGTGAGGTATAAGTCTGAGGAGGAGACGGATGAAACCTTGAAGTCACCTCCAATGATAGGGCGCAACTTGTCAAGTGGTTGAAAGCAAAAAGTAACGGAGAAGTTGGGCTTGAGATTGACGGCGTTAAGAGAGTTCTTGGAAAGAGAAAAGGAGGCGCTACGAAATACATTGGGTTTGGAGAAGCGATTAAACATGTTGGGTAATGGCTTGAAAGTTGAAGCTGAGGCTTGAGCGGTCACCAGCGGTGGCATAGGTGGAAAATGGATGGATGACTCAGCCGGTCATCAAACGCGCGAGTCACGTTCCGCTTTCAGTCGCGTCGGTCACGCAGCGTGTCACATAAACAAACTCTTTCCAACACCACCACCACCACCACCAACGACAAACACATTCACGAATCATGTCTGGCAAAGTCAGTGGCAAATCCAAGTCCGGCAAGGCGGCTGGCAGCGGTGGCGACGGCAAGGCGCAATCGCGTTCGTCCAAGGCTGGCCTTCAGTTCCCTGTTGGTCGTATCCACCGTCTGCTGAAGAAGGGTAACTACGCCCAGCGTGTGGGTGCTGGTGCCCCAGGTGTGTCTTGCGCCCTGACTCGCTTATAAACATCACTCATGGTGCCGATGTAGTTTACCTCGCCGCCGTTTTGGAATATCTCGCCGCCGAGATTCTCGAGCTCGCTGGAAATGCCGCTCGTGATAACAAGAAACATCGTATTGTCCCCCGTCATCTTCAACTCGCTATCCGTAACGACGAGGAACTGGGCAAGGTGCGTGAACAGAATACGCTTGGTCCAATGGCACTGATGTCGCGACAGCTGCTTGGCAATGTTGTCATCTCTCAAGGAGGAGTTGTGCCACACATCGGTTTGTCTTTCAAATCCCTCTGTCTATTTCTGTTGAACCTCGCCGCTAGATGCCGCTCTTTTGCCTGACGCATCCAAGAAGGTGCGCCAAGTGCTCTTTGAACCTATCGTTGCTAACGCGTTGGTTTGTAGCAGAAGGGTAAAGCATCTCAGGAAGCCTGAAAAAAATTCAACTTGTATCTGCCTATTTCACTGTACTTTCTGTAGCATCCTTCTAGTTTATATTACCATTCGAATTGGTTGATTCACTATACGAGTCGTTCTAACGGGCTACCCTTTTGCACACTATTCAATACGCTCCATGACATTCTGATCAGGCACTTGGATGACGAGCAAATATAAGGTTCAAGCACAGCTAAGATATGGACTCGTCCACAACTTTGTTGACGAATTGACTCACTTGCGGCTTCACAGGAGAGTCATCCGCTGGAAAACATGTCTAAAAGAGCTCCAAGTCTTGGTTGCATCCGCCTGTATCCGCACTGTACCCGCTCCGCGATCACATGAGGTTTGTCTGGGACGAAAAGTATAAAGGCCCAGCAAGCTCTATGGAAAAATCATGGGGGCCCCCGAAAAACAACTAACCTTCTACAGGTTTTGTCATTATTTTCGTCGCGAGGGACCGGCCGCGGCACAACCGCGGGGACTGGCCCTTTGCTTTAACCGTGGGTTAGGAAATTCCGACTCCGGGTCTAGCGTCGAGCCCTCGTCCAACCGGCTCGCAGACTCCCATTCGTCGGTGTCTAGTCCCAGTATCGCGTGTAGAACCGGCTGCCGCGAGAACCAGAGTAGCCCGACCAGTGGTGGGTGGCGATACTGCCCGAGCGACAAGAACGTAGGCCATTGCAAGTTGGCAGCGTTGTGTTGTGGCTTCTGTTCTCTTTTCAGGTACGCGACAACGGTCAGATTTCGGGACGGACCGGCCAACACCCATGAGCTCGAGACTCGCAGTCTATGCTTTGGCGGCGTGGATGCGTCACTCATTGCAAGCGGATGGGTACTCGGGCCATGGTCAATGTTGGGGACTGGGTCCTTGCTTTAACCGTGGGTTAGGAAATTCCGATTCCGGGTATAGCGCTGAGCCCTCGTCCAACCGGATCGTCAATCTCCACCCGTTCACGATCCTGACCGAGTATCTTGTGTAGCCGGCTGCCTGGAGAAAAGCTTGGTTGTGCGGGGGGTTGGTTGGCGAAATTGCCTACCGGAGTCTGAGCGACACCGTCTGGTCGTTTGCAAGTCGTGTATGTCGCCTTTCATTTCGCTGTTTGGGTTGTTCTGACTTGATTTATTCGCAGACCGGGCCAGGAAGATTCTTGCCGTCGGGAATGTCCCCCTGGGAGCCTCACGGTTGCTCGGGGCCCATGGCAGACCCGGCGTTCTTGAGTACTCCAGTACACAGCGAGGTGGCACTCCCCTCTGGTAAGCTTCATCGTTCTTATCTTTTCCACTGCTGACGATTTGAGTCTAGTAAGCCGCGGACAATGTGAGCCGTCGTTGCTGTTCCCGAGGAAGGGTTTACAACCCTCGTGCACCCTTGTCGTGGGCCTCGGGCTTGAGACCTTCGGGTCGACCAATCGCACGTTAAATTATGTCTTGTCGCACGGAAACTGAGCAGGTGTGATAAAATAATAGCATGTCGAGTCTCTGAATAGAATAGAAGTTGCTTGGAATGGGCTATGGCCTCGTTGTTTCAACTGGTTCAGTGCTAATACGCTTGAGTATGTTTTATTGAGAACGGTCGATAGACTCACCTGCTTCGAAACTTGACATCCGACCAGCCATCCCTACTTCTCTTTACCTCCATAACAGCCACAGTGGCGAACACTGGGTTAGTCGATTGTGGGTTGTGAAGTTATTGACTAGATCGTCTGAGTTGCCTTTAAAAATTGGCTGACATGAGCGTCAAAAGCAAGAAACATTCTGTCACAGGCTTCGGCTGACGCGTTTTATAATGGTACAGTAAGTAACTCAAATAAAAACACGCACAACAGTTTCGTACCGTACGTCCTCTAAGACATCCCTGAGCGAGCCGGCCCGTCTCTCAAGGGCATCAATGCAGCGTGGCACACCCCAGCCGGAGACGACGACAACAACTGCTAATTTTACGGAGCCACTACATCGGGAGATGACCCCATCGAGGTCGTCGTTTGAGTATGCGTCAGCCAGATTACCCGCAATGGCACGGATGATGTTTCGCGCCCGTGCACTGCACTTCGCGTTGGAAGGGTATACGTCCACCATCTTTGAACTCTTGAGAAACAGGCAAAACAAAAGTCTTCTAGACCCACCAGGTTGCTGTAAGTGCTGCCTAGCTTGATTTGAACGGAGGTGGACATCATGTTCAAAACCATCTTCGTCGCGGTTCCCGCTTTCATCCTGGTACTCCCCGCAATTATTTCTGGCCCAACTCGAGGGTGTAGCACGAAATTACACTGGCCCTCCCGCGCAACCACACTGTTCTCCGAACAGACAAGACCAATTGTCAGAAGCCCATGAGCGCGGGCGCTATGTAATGCTCCCAAGACATATGGGGTCCGTCCAGAAGCCGATATTCCCACCAAAGTGTCTTGTGCTGTTGGCAGCAGCGCACCCAAGTCAGCCGCCCCAGCGGCACGTGAATCTTCAACAGCTGGTCTTGCAGTTCGTAACGTGATATCGCCTCCAGCAGCAAGAGCTATGTAGCGCATCGGGTCGGCGTTATATGAGGGTGGAATATCAGCAAGGTCTAAAACACCGAGTCTGTTGAATTGAGCGCGACAACATGAACACCAAAAGACAAACTCACCTCCCGCTTGTGCCAGCGCCCATGTAAAGCAGTCTCCCCCCTTCAACCATTCGTTCAGCGATTCGGTCCACGACTTCCGCAATGAGCGGCGTTATTTCTGCCACGGCACCAGCTACTCGCGCGTCTTCGGCGTTGATTATACGGCACATTTCGAGTGTGCTCATCTTGTCGATGTCCCTCGACGCCGGGTTCTGCTTTTCCGTGCATAACTCAGGGAGGAGGGGCTCGTTGGGCAGAAATTGAAGTGGAGAAGCTGGAGACCGGCCTGGAGAAGGCGTTGTTGTCGGTGTTGGCAAGAGTCCGGCGTCAGTAGAGACCTGGTTCAACCAGTTGCTGCTGCTACTAGCCATGACCGTGGTGAGTGTACAGGCCAAGCCGCTTTAAATAAGAGCAGCAACCACATGGCCGAAGGAAGAGAACTGATCATGCGTCAGGAACCGAGGCAAATCCTTGGTAATCAACAACACAGAGGTAAAGTGGTGACCAGAACGTTGGCTGCTAACTTAGGTACTCAGGTTCTCGTTGTTGGATCGACTAGAAGGCCAAGGATTCAACCAAACAGCATTGGAAGAATCACCAGAATGTACAAAGGTGAATGGTATTCCAATGCATCTCGAAAGAATATTCAAGGCCGACTGAGTATACCGCTGTCCGCAAAGCCGATAGTTTGGATTTTGCACGTCCAAGATATAACTGCTACCGCTCGACTCATGAGCCCCGTCCTCGACATAAAGATACTCGTCCGCTGTCCTTTTCAGGAATTTTGCTGGGTTTGCTTAGCGACTTGAGCTGACTTGGAAGATCAGATGAGCTTTGGAAGCTCGGGTTCGAATTCGCATTGTCGGTCGGCGTCAGGCGAGCCACCAAGTTATATGGCCATTCGGGGAGAATGGCGCGAACCTAATATCGGATCGGGGGAATTGGTTCAGCGCGAATCGTCCCCAGGTCGACTGCTTGGTCAACAGCCTCATCGAGTTCGCCGATGAGTACACTGCAAGAGGAACGAGCATTAGGAACACAGAGATCAGTGAAATCGAATGGTTTTGCGCACATCATATCGCCCTTGACAAGGTATAGCCCCAGCGGCACCTCCTCCACCCCTTCTTCCATGCTATATATCCGCTCCTTCGAGTCGGAGAGGACGACATTAGATTTTTGGTCAAAGCCCGCCATCACGCCCTTGATTTCGGTAAGGGAAATGAAACTGACGAGGGCAAGCAAAGAACAAACCACGATGACGCGTCCATCTTGCAGAAGCATCAGGACGCGGCCTATTACAGAGTTTATAAGGCAGATAATGAGCTCTGATGTGAGCACGCACGGTCGACGTAGCCTTGTAGGCTGGACATGACGGCTCTGGCGAACTTGAAGGACTGTTTTTGTCACGCCGGTCACACGACCCATCCTTTCAGATCCTTTCAAAGTTTTCCTCCAACTTCAACGTTACTCCAGCACTTGCATTAAGATGTGTACAAATTCTAATCTACAAACACAAGCTATTCCAACCATGGCCCTCGATCTGCCCTAGGTCAATCACACAAATCTTTGAACGTCTTGTCCATCGTTTCTTTCCGCGTCAAGGCCGTCCCCATCTCGATTTGCTCCGCTTGTGACTTCGAGGAAATACCACTGCCCTCTGCGCCAAACCCGGCTCCGGTACCTGTCCCGCCTGTCGTGTCATACCTCCTCCACTGGACCTCAGACGCAAAGTTGATGTTGGCCCCAGCGGTTTGTACACTGTTTGGTGTGTTATGCGCGCTGGGCCGACCTTCCATTTCGACCCGGGAATTAAGCGTCGCAAGGAGCACGTTGGTATATAGCTTCCCTAGCATGAAAGCGCTGGGAAAACCAATTAAATCAAGTTCGACTTTCAAGAACCAGAAAAGAACGAACGGGGTCTGGTGGATGTTTGTGTTGGAAAACAAGATGAAGAGGATGACATCCGCTATCGCCACGACACTTGTGATCAGGCCCGTCTCGATGGTGTTGTAGATGAGCCTGCCGAGAATGCCCTCCATCCGCTTCCAGGGCATCTTGCGTCGGTATTCCGTCAGCTTCAGACCCACGCATTCAGAACAACTTCGAGGCAGTGATAATGTTGGGCTTACGATGACCAGGAGGGTGAAGGTAATCAGCACGTCGCAAGCCGCGCTCCCAATAAGCCATATCTGCTCGCAGATCGTTCAGAGCTGGCACATACAAGAAATGCAGTCCTACTTTGACTCCAGCCATGAGGCTGGGAAGCTCTGCAATGTTGGTCGTGACCGCAAACCGCGCATCGGTGATAAGGGCCGACAAACTCTGCATAATGGCAAGCTAATCCGGCTCAAAGCTGATACTTGGCAATCGAAAATACTCACTAAAACGATTATAACACATATCACTCTCGCCCAGAGTCGCTCGCCTTTGAGGAAGTATATCCTCCACGCGTAGAAAATTTGAACTGCCGCCGAAACTATGCGGACCGTGAAACGCTTCCCTCGACCAAAGTCCACAAAACCTACTGATTCCGGTGAAAATTGGCACGGCAAGACTCGACCACGGGAGAATAGAGAAGACGGCGGGGCTCCCCCAGCTCGTCACAAGGACCTGGTACGCAAAATGGGATGTTATCGCTGTCTGCGCAACCTCGAGCACGAAGAGGGTGTACACTATTTACCCCATCAATCAGGACTATCACGCTTGCGACTGGGCGGTTTACCTAGCGTCTTGACCCACCACCGCTCCTTAGGAAATGAGACGTGGAACTTGTCTGCCGATGACATCAACACGCGAATCCGACCAAATCAGAGCCAACGCACAAACTTGTACGATCAATGTTCCGAGGAGTAGCCAGTTTGCTTGTGTACCCGCCAGCTGGCGATGATATCAGCGAGTGTGTCTGGAATGGGAGGTAATGCATACAATTGGCGCTGTGCTAAAATCAACCAAGCATTAACACCCAGTAGCGGAAACTCCAAGCATACGCACAATTGCTCAAATTGGGCCATCGCAGCGAAGCGGGCTGGGGTGGACAGAGGGAATGCTATCCACCACAGCGTAGGAACAAGAGGCTTTATATACCGTAGCTTCTTTCGTTTTAGTGCATTTGAAGTACATATCTGCATTAACGTCTCTCTGAAAATTGGGAAAAGAAGCGCCAATGACAAGTTGCGCTTTGCGTGGGAGCGGGCCTAGCTCGAGCAAGGATATGCACGACGGATGACAGAATGAGTCTGAACGAAGACTTGCGCCGAAAAGGCAGGCGGAACATGCCAATCAGTGATGTGCCCAACGCCATACGGGTGACACAGGCGGGAGCTGTGGCGGTATATAGTGGTCTTTGTGGGACAATATTCATCATGCAATCCATACCAGAGCTGTGGACTGCCGATGATGGGTCTCGACGGGAGAAATGAGAATTTCAGTCAAATGAGCCGCCGATTGAGTGAATGGTGTGCTACGGATAGTGTCTGCGGAGTATCATTGGCCTTACCTGGCTACGTTCTTTGGATCGGCGGACAGAATCGTTGTGGTCAACTTATGGCGAACAGTCAATCTAATCTTATCGCGATCAAACACGGTCAGCTGACGCCAGACAGGGACACATCGCGATGTGACCGCGCGAAATAAAAACAGGCGGAAACGGTCTATTAAAAGCACAGAAGGGACTTGTCAATGACATCAAGGATTTGGCCATGCTGCCAACGGTTTCAGACCCCATTTCTGCAGCCACGCGGTGAACAATTTCGCGATCTTCGCATGGCCCTCGACACTAGGATGGAGATTGCTAAAGATGTTTGTCGGCAAGGAGAGCGTAGCATGATGACGCAAGAACGTACTCTTGGAACACATCCGCATATGTCACCCATCCAGTCGTGTTGACCAAAAACATGTTGTGGTCCCCCAAAGTTTGACTGTAGTGCGATGAGAACGCTAAAGAGGCGTGATAGCGAAAGGACCCACCGCGCCTGGAAAACTTGTTCATATGCACCATCGTAATAGAACGCATTAGGGCCAGTGGGTTGTGGCCACCCCCACTGATAATAACAACTGCGTGAGCTTATCGCTACCACAGCGTGTACCACTCACAGGGGTAAACAGGAAGAACGGCTGGTGAGGATAAAGTTTCCGGACGCGAGCCAAAAAATCTATGTATGTCTACCCTTATGTTAGTCCACGATAGCCATGTCACACAGCTCACGTACGCTGACAAATTCGTCCTGAGGAACATTTTGCGATGCGTCATTGGCACTGAGCGCGGCATTAGCGGTCGGTGGCGCTTCCGATTGAGCTCTACTACTCACCCAATATGGACCACAATATGTGTCCGCTCTGGAACATCCCGCCTGAAGTCCCAAGGAGTGGTGTAGTTGTGGACGGAGCTGTAGTAGTAAGAGGTGTCCTCGGTCTGGAGGCTTCAATATTCGATCGCAATAGAGTTAAAGAATGCCTTCTACCTTGAAGAACTGGTATGACATTCCATGTGCATTCCCAAACGAGAATATATCCACTAGCGCGGCGCCTGGTTGAGCCACAACGGATTCCTTTGGCAAGCGTCATATAGGTGAGCCAGGTTGGCACGATTGTTTGCTCACCTCCGCCTTGAAGTTCTCCCCAACGATGAAGTCCCAAGCGTTAAGGATCCCATCTGGAGTAGTGTAGCCCTAATAGCCAAACTAGTTAGGGCACATTTATATATATAGGCAAAAGCAAACACCGACCGTGGAGAAGGAGTCTCCAATAAACTCAAACGCTATCTTCGACGGCACATAAGGCACCAGTTGTGCTCCCTGAGAGATCCATCAGCAACAACCTCCCGCTTTCAATCGCGAACTGACCGGATTGAGTTCGATGCTATGAAGGTGCATCTGACTGCTGAAGTACATCTCGGCGTTGATCCTGACTACGGTTGTGTCCCTCGCAGTTTTGTGTGGGAGAGAGATGGGAATGACGTTGGCCCCAATGGTGGCGTTCAACGAGAAAAACGGCGCATGGTCGATCGAAACACCAAGCGCAACAAAAGGTTGAGTGGTGTTAGGGCCAAGATTCACTGTGAGGGACTGGAGGTTGCGGACATTGAGCTTGAAGCCAGAGCCTGACCTGATGGGGCATCTGATACAGCTCAAGCTGACAACAGAAACTCACCACCATGTTTCCGGAGCGCTGTCCCAGCGTCCGTGGTAGAAGATAAGTGGGTGTGTGTTGGGAATGTGAACCGGCTTGGAAGCCAGCTCAGCAGTAGGGTTAGCTACAGTAAAGACGGCCGCCAGGAGGGGTGCTAAGATGGAGAGCATTGCACTGTCATCGACAGACAGGTTTGCTGCCCATCTTTTATGGGAGGCAGCGGGCCGTCGAAAAGGAAGAACCTCGGATTCTGGTCGACTGCAAGGCAAAGGGACTCATGACCCGTGTACAAACAGCGCGGCGCCCGAAGGACCATCCATCCGCACAGGCATCGGAAAGATGAAATGGTGGAAAGAGACAACTTGATGACTAATGGTCACGATCACATGTCATGTCATTCAAATCGTAAGAGTGTGAGTATTTGTTTATTCTAATTTTCGGTGTCCTGGGACAATCCACCATAAGACAAGCATAAAGGCCATCATCGCCACGAGTCTTGAAAAAATTAAGTCACGATAATAAAGACAGAAAATGCTTACAGCGGTTGAAGACTTTTGATTCCTGTCTTGCTTGCAATAGCGCCAGTGATGAATGGGAATACGGCTGACCCTGCTTGCCCAAAGCCCGCTATCCAGCCTATGGCCCCTGTAAGAAGCCAACGCGGCAATACTCGTCCAGTGTGATTCATCACAAGAGGGTAGATTGGACCCAGCAGAACGCCGACGATGGAGACCGCGACGGCGTCTCCTACAAGCGAGGGAACTAGCCATACGACGAGTTCAAACCTAGGAAGGGTGAGCTTTTGTCCTTGATGGCGAATCAAAGCTCACGCAATAGCTAGGAGCGAGTATACATAGATGACTCTGCGTTCACCAATCTGGTTGGCAGTGAGATGAAGAGCTTGAAAGTTTACGGAGAGAGTAACCTTTTGGTTGAGCCACAGCAAAGCAATTCGACCGGTCATGAGACCCCCAAAAAACCCCGCAGAAACATACCCACTAGATGCTCCTCCACCACGGACATCCCTCATGAACGTGACAATCCAACCTTGACCGCTTTTGAGAAGATGACAAGGAAAAAAGACGGCAACGTACCACCGATGGTAACTTCCACGCCAACATATACAAGAATGAAAAATGCCAAAAGATGCACTGTGGGGAGCGCCATGATTTGGCGGAAGGTACTATGCTCGCTGGTTCCCGTTTCGCCAGCTGCCTCGCCAACGGTCGCCAGACATTCATCCTGTGTCTTCAACCTGAAGACAAAGAATATGACAGCGGCGTTGATGAGGGCGATACCAAGAGATGCAAGGTAATGGAATGACCAGTGTGGGAGTTGCGCGAATTGGGTCGCGACTAAAGGTGAAGCCAGAGCACCAGCACCATAGGCGCCATGTAATAACCCCATCTTAATTTCGGGATTGTGCTTCAGACTGGCAATGTAGCCATTAGCTTGTGCGTCTTGAATCGCCATTCCCACGCCATTTATAACGTATGATAACACGAAGACGGGGAATGAAGGTGCTGGTGACTGCATCGTGTAAGCGATCACTTGGAACAGTGAGCCTAGAGAAGCAGTTAGCAGGAGTGGGCGATATTGGCGTCTCGTTGCCTAATGTTATCATCTGCAGAAAAAAAGTATCAGCGGAAGGACCATAAATTATGATTTAGGATGTACTTTGCCAAAACCGAGTCGGTCCGTCAAAGGGACGTTGATTATGGCGCCTCCAATGAAGCCCTGTTACCAAATCAGGGCCAAAGATAGCTGGGCAAACTGTCTTACCACACATGCAAACACGAAGATAAGAGAGACCACAGCAAAGCCGACCTGACCGGGTTATGACGTCGCGATGAAATTTCAGGAGAGGAAACTCACATGATAGACGCTCTGGATGCGGGGGATTAATGGCCCTGCGGATCCTAGAAACATTTGGCGTAAGTCGTCCAACAGGAAATGGACATTAGTGTAGTATGTCTACCGTCGTTCCATCTAGCAATGTTCACAAATATGACGAGCAGCAAGCGGAGATGAACCTACCCGGCCGTGAACATACTTGGAGGTCGAGAATGAGAGCTTGCGGAGGAACGTGACAGACGAACTTACCACCAATAGAGGGCAAAGAGTTGAATCCTCTCACGAAATATATGTTCTCTGCTGCGAAGGTCGCTTTGTCGACGACTGGACACAAGCTGCAAAGGAGTTGCGTTTCCCTCGAGCTGAGGAAGTGGTGGCGAAGCAATCAAATCGTCCTTCAAGCCGGGCTCAGTCGATTTAGCTTTTGAGATTGAGTGAAGTTCCAAGGCGGAAGACATTGTGGTAGCGAGACCCGTGGAGAGAGTGAGGCGGATTTTTAATGGCGATAGTTTACAGAACACGTATGCATGCGCTGGAGGCGGAGAGGGTTGACCGAGGGTGGTGGTTGGTGGTAAGTGTCAAATCTTACTGCAGTGCGGGAAATTATCGGAGAAATTTGTCACCTCGACTTTCTGTTTCCAACCACGATGCCCTTCCATCCAAGAGACCGTTCGTGAGCAAGCATAAATTACCGCCGACCACACCGTCATCCAACAGCGGACCTAGCGATGACTGTGAACGCCAATGACCAGAATTACTTATAACTCGCTACAGTCCTTGAACAACCACGGCACAAACTACTTATCTCAACTTTAGCAGCTTCAACGGCTCAGTCGAATCTTCCAGCGATAAGTGAGAGCGATTTTTTTTTGCTGACTAGTTTACAAACTACTCTCATTTCAGGTTCATCTCAGAGTCTTGAACCAGAACCGCAAGAGCGAGTGGTGTTGTGCCCATGGGCTGGTCATTACCGTGCCGCCTGTTGCCACCTGTCCTATCCCGGCTTCACGTTTATGACGGATGTCGTGGCGGTCGTAAACTACGAGGAAATAGGCTGCATTCTATTCAAGTTCTTTTTGAACAACTCTCATTCGATTCTATTCTCGCGCTCTACGATCGCAACAAGTGCCCAATAAAGCCCCGACAGGCTTACTCTGCAGGCTTCGCTATCGGTGTTCCATCAAGCTCAATGCGCGTCCACTTCTGGTTCTCCGTTTCATCGCAATTGGAGAGCTGAAGCTACAAGCGTCCGTTCAACAGATAGTGATTGGCAATGGAGAACGAGGACTGACCGAGTTTCCTTGGAGGGCTTCACCGTCAGTCAGATCGACACAAAAGGGCGGTTGGCTTTTCACAGTGCTGAACCTGAGCTGTCCGCTCAGGAGCGATGTGAAGCGATAATCAAACCCGCTTTCTTCGGACGTGGGGCAGGGTTCGATGGTCAGTTTGCCGCCGCTCTTCTGGTTGCTCGGCCGTGCGGCGAGACACTTGTCATTCAGCGTCTTGATGTAGCCGGCGAAAGGGACGGAGGGGATGCTCCAGGTGATGTTTCCCTTGGGGTAGAGGTCTTTAAAGGAGGCGTTGATGCATCTTACGAGGCCAACAGGCGCGCCCGAGTCTTGCGATGAGGCAGCCATACAATAGGGTGTGCCCTTCGCATTGCTATCCGAGTTGGTGAGGTAGATGCCGGGGTCGACTGTGCGGGTGATCGGTCGGTCAGCCCACACCTGAGTCAACGAGCCAGGAGAGCAAGTCGAAATCTGCAACGATCTTTGTTTGGAACACTGAATCTCGTTGGTCAGCAACTCACCACCACCGGCGCGCCAAAAGCGACTGCGTTATTGCTGAGGTCGAGACAGCTGTTGTCGGAGCGCCCCCAGCGGAAACTCCCGTCGCTTCGCGAAAGCCATTGCAGGTCGGCATCGGCGTTCGTCTTGTCGCAAGTTTTAATCTCGAGCACGGATCCATCCTTGATGGCATTGTCTTTGACCCCAAGACACTATACGATCTCGTCAGAGGTCGAGCCTGACCAACACGCAAACCGCACCTTGTCACCGTCGAACACCTTGATCTGCTCTAGGAAGGGGGTCGCCGCGGGGGGGAGGTCAAAGAAGAACGTGATGTCCCACTCATACTGCGCTTTTCCGTCGCTATTTGTGCAATTTTCGATGGTCACCGGAGCACCAACGCGATTTTCCTTTACTGCGAGGCACCCGTGGCCCCCGACTATAATGCAAAAAGGGTGTCAGAGACGAGCGCTTTTTATCGCTGAAAGCCAAATGCGCACAGTGGGGGGACGCGCTGTGGACCTTCTGCACCCATGAAGCAGCGGTGAGCTCCAGCGACAGGAAAATAACGCAGGTCTGGAAAAACATGAAGAGGACGCGGACTGTACTAGTGAGCTACTTCAAGTTCTCTTCCTTTTATAACAAACAAAATAAAGGAAGGGATGTTCCCACATCTCCGAGGGAGATAAAAATTCTTGTACTTACATACAGACGCCCCAGTATCATGTTTCGCCCATCTGTTCCCGCATGGAATGTTGGAGCGGTTGCCTGCCACTGCCTGGTTTGGTCCGCTTGATTAACCCAATGGCAAAGAATGAACTTGGAATTGTTTTGGCTTGAATTCTAATAGCTTGTATCGACGTGGGGCACCCTGGCAATAACAGTGGTTTGCGGCACAGACTGACAGTACTCGTAGAACTTGACTAAGCTAGATTGGGCAAAGAAAATAACTGTGAGCACTGAGCGGGTACTTACTCGATCTCCCTCCGCTTTCACACCGGGAAATTTTCAAAAGCTGGCCCAAAGCCGAACTTTTTCGTGACAGCACAGGCCCAAAAAAACTGGGGCCGATTTTCAAGGCCCTGATTTCCATGATACAGAATACCACTGGCCATGCATGGCATGTACTATGTAACTGGGGATATTCCCCGGAAACCGGCGTCCCTCGGTGGGACCGTGCCGTGTAATGCGATCCTGTCCTATCCATGCACAAGGGATCCACACTGTTTTTGCGAGAAATGGGCTTACTGTGGTTACTGTCGGCCGGAAGGCTTTTCAGCGGTAGGTAGGGGATGACGTCGAAGTCACGTGCACGTAACAAGGTCCGATATTGATCGCGTTGGATTATTGCATTATTTGTTTTCTCTCTACATAGCGTAAACGAGCACTCCGGTCTTCTCCAGACGCAAGCCCTCCTCTGTAGACTCGTCGATGTCCTCCTCTGGAAGTCCGAGAGCCTCGTTCGCCAATCCATGCTTGGTGTGATCGCCCTCGCCAGTGGGGAAGAAGATTCGCGTGTACATCTGGCGCGAAAAGCCTAGCATGTCGCCCTTCTTCATGGCCTCCACACTATCCTCGAAACGCTTCCCTGAATTGACGTATTCGATCTTCCAGTCCGCGTCTGCCGTGCCCGTGACGCGTTTGGCGCTCTCGAACATGTCCTTCTGGTTGACGCGGAAGCTCGAGATGTAGACCGCATTATTGGCCCAGTTGTCGACAGACGGCGACTTGTCGTTCTCGTCGTCGGGCAGCCGCTTGAGACTGAGCAGACCCGCCAGGGCCCGACCGCATTGCTCCCAGGTCGATGTTGTGATCTTTTCTGCCCCGTCGTCGAAGAAGGTCACGGTCCGCTCGGCCAGGTCGATGCCGAAACGGTGCTGGCCCATGCCAACCAAAGACCACTCATACCAAAACCCGCAGGCCAATGCGATCCAACTACTGACGCCCAGTTTCTCGACCAGACCTTTGGCAGCAATGAACGGGAGCCCGACAAGGACTTGCGTCAGCATTTTCTCGTTGAGAGGGTCGGGGCCGTAGGCGTTGGGCATAACATAGGGCACTCCAGCGTTGGCGGCTGCTGTGATAAGTTTTGCCTCTGCATTACCGCCATCCCGACCAGCAGTGACGCCGAGGGTGATGACGAGGAAGTCCTGGCCTTTCAGAGCTTCCACCAGAGTAGATTCGTTATTGTAGTCGATGACAACGCGGCGAACACCATCGGGGATCCTCGCGGTACTTCCTGCCCGCGCCAACGCTGTGATTTGGTGCTTGCCAGTTGCCAGAAGGTGTTTGGTGAAGTAGGATCCAATACTGCCTCCCGCCTGCAACGATATGTCAGCGAAAAATCGAATTCTCAAAAGCTCGCGCACTCCGACAATGGCAACTTTCTCGATGCGGTTGACGAAGCCTGCTGGCTGATCTTTGGCGAATTTGGCGGGCATTGTGTTGGGACTCAGTGTTCCTCAGTGGCCATTTTTAAGTAGGAGGCGATCGGCTAAACGGATATGGGCTCTAAGACTCGGATGAGGTGCGGATGGGCGTTTGTTCTCAGCTCAGTCGGATGTTGTTGCGCTGTGTCATTGGGATTGACGCTCTTTATATGGTGTATTACGATCAGCCGCGTCAGCGCATTACTTCGGCCAGTCCAATAATGACTCTTGAATGAGCGCCGCTGACTTGGGTCTGAGAGAGGTGAGAGAAGAGAGCAAGCGTGTGAATGTTGGCAAACAATTCGGATCACTTCTTCTCCCCTCCCATGGTCGCGCCGCTTTACACGACAGACTCTGGGCTCCTCTTCCACGCTGGGAAGATCCTCATCGTCACTGTTGGTCTCCCAGCCCGGGGCAAAACTCACATTTCCCGTGCACTTGAGCGTTACCTCCGATGGATGGGTGTAAAGACCGAGGTAGTCTCGTTAGGAGATTACCGTAGGAAGACACTCGGGGGAGCACAGAGACTGCCATCGGACTACTTCACTTTGGGTTCGTGCCCTTGCTTCTCCCAGCCGCGTATAATGGCCCATCGGTGTTGACAGGGGAGAAGACAGATGAGACCAAGGCATTGAGAATGAAAGTCTCGAATGGCTGCGAGGATCTCATCTGGGAGTTCTTCACTGGGGGCGGACAGGTCGTTATTTACGACGCCAACAACGGGACACGGGCCGCTCGACAAGCACTGGCGACTAAATTCGACAAAGCTGGGATCCATGTTATCATGCTTGGTGAGTTTCCATTGACCCTTCCATTGCACCCTCGATCTTTTGCTGTAGAATCCCTGTGCGATAACCAAGAAATTATCGAGCGGAATATTCGCAGCGTCAAGATCTCCTCCCCTGATGTAAACCAACCTGTTGCTCTCTCTCTCTCTCGGAACTCCTGATAAGCAGCGCCTAGTACCGTTCTTGGGACCCAGACAAAGCCGTAGAGGACTACTATGGTCGCATTAGAGACCACGAAAAGTACTACGAACCTGTTGAGGAGACGACCTGGCCATTCATCCGTATTATCAACGCAAGTCCATCTTGCCAAAGATTTAGGCTCTTATTCATTCGAACAGGTTGGCGAAAAGATCATGGTCAACGTACGCGGCATTGATCTTTTGAGATCCTCTGCCTAACTGCTCTATTAGAACATTCAAGGCTACCTTCAAGTAACTCGTTCGTTTGCCAACCGTTCGTCAACTCATCAGATGGCAGTCCCGGATAGTTTTCTTCCTCATGAACATCCACAACCAATACCGAACAATATACTTCGCTCGAGTGCGGTACCTTATTCTCTGTTTGCAGACATCTCACAGTTGACAGTCTGGACAATCTCTCATTGAGCACTCATACAAAGCGGACTCAGATTTGTCTCCTGCAGGATGGGAATATGCGGAGCGTCTGAAAGACTTTGTCCAGGAACGACGGGCTAAGCAAGGTCTCTTGGATCGCAAATTAGTGGTAGGTCATGTGTTTGGTTATCCAGACTGGCCTTATAATAACATTAGATCTGGACTTCCACGCGCCGACGAGCTCACCACACCGCCTGGCCGTTTATTTCTGCAGCTCAGGCCTCCGCGACACCTTCCTCTCCTCCTGTTTCCCCAACCAGCCCTTTAACAATGACAACAGATCTCCCGACGGACCGCTCGGCTCCTCCGTTGAACGTCAAGGTTATGGAGAAGCCCCAGATGGCGGAAATAAACCCTGGAGTTTGGGACGGCCTTTCTCCCGAGCAGGCGAGAAAATACTATCCTTCCGACTGGGAAGGTTTTACGAAGGACCCGTATACCTTCCGGGCGCCAAGAGCAGAGAGTTATCACGATCTCGGGGGTGCGTTTTTTATCACAGTCATTCCTTGCTCATCGCCATTTTCAGTTCGCATTGAGCCCATTTTGATCGAGTTAGAGCGAGAACGCGAAGACCTGCTCATCATTGGCCACGCGTCGGTAATCCGCTGCCTGTTGGCTTATCTTATCGGCCTTCCCGCCTCTGAAATCCCCGCCATCGAAATCGCGCGGGGCGACCTGTTAGAGGTCGTGCCTGCGTCGTACGGCGTCCACAGCACTGCGTTCCATTTCTGGGATGGCCCAGGTCGGCTGGGAGAAGGCGGCGCAGAGGGCAGAGACGAGAGTAACTTCTATGAAAATTACGCGGAGGACACACGCGGCAAGACATTGCGGAGGATCGTGCCCGTGCAGGTCATCGAGTCGGTGTTGCCCCCCACAACCGAAAGGAGTACGTGAGTAGTCATGGAAAATAGAAACAGATGTTGTCTGGAAATGTATATTGTTCTATATTTAGACCTCACATAAGTATGAGATAAGATAAATGATAAGTAAAGACCCCTGTGATGATTAGACTAATCATAACAGTACTAGTTCAGCTATATATCATTATCAAAATCAAATCCTTCACTTCCAATTCCTAGCTTTTTCTCCAGAAAATTCACCCTTTTGACAAGCATTGTTATCTGTGCATAAATGCTATCAGAACTATCCATAGATATCTTATCAGTCTCTTGAGTTGCCAATGGTAGTGTCTGCTCAGAATAGGATTTTCTTGAGCTCCACAAAGCTATCAGAGAGAAATTAGCATTATTTTTCATTTAAATAGAGAATCAACTACCAAAGGCACTTGCTTTATAAGGTTTAGCTGATGTTATCTGTGCTGAGTCATTTATTGACTCTGTATGAACAGGCTTATCAGTATATATAATATGAATCAATAATAAAAATCACCATTTTTCACCAAAGCATTAGCAATAAAAGAAAAGATGTTCCATAAAGCAGATACCATAGCAAATGTTGCAACAAAGACACTTGCAATAGCAGAGCCTTTGGACTTGTGCTGTGGTACAAGGCGAAAATATTCCAATATTGGTGCTTTATTTGTGTTTTCAATAGGTTGGAGTGACTCTTGCCATTGAGCCATTATACACCGCCAACGGGTTTCCAGCTGCGACACAGCTGGAAAATCCCCGGTGGACACATGTGATGTCCGGCCGGTTCCCGGACCAGTGACACATGGTAACCATGTTTGGTCGCAAATGGATCCATGATGGATCCAGAAGGTCTGGGCACCAGCTGGGAGTCCAGGTAGCTGTTATATAATCTATCCCGTAGTCAGACACTGTAGGACAGGCCGGTAAATACTAAAATGTGAACAAAATTTGCACAAAGAGTATACCAAAAATATGAATTGCAAGAGTAAGCGAATACACAAGGAGTAACTACATTTCGGCTATCTACTGCCCATTGTGTCGTCCCAACCCGGCAACCGTCCGGTGCAGCCTCTGTGTTGCTATTGTAGAGCGCGCCACCGGGCAGCCCGCCAGCGCCCGTGGGGTCCGTCCTTCACGTTCGCGTTTGCGACGCCATTGTCGCTGGGGGTCGGCACAGGCACAACGACGGTCGTGAACTGGATCCGGGTAGACAGCGGTGTTAGGGTGCAGCAGGAGGGGCAGCGCGGGTACAGTGGAGGTCGTGGGTGGGGTTGAGGAGGTAGCGGAGGAGGCGCGGGGTGTTTTGCATGGGCGCGGGGCTGGGGAGGTTAGTCGAGCGTGGTATAAGATGGAGACAATGCACATACAACAAGTATTGAAGTGTACGCTGTCGAGGCGTAGAAGCATTGCCTAAGATGGCGTCAGTAAAGTCAGAATACGGGATAGCAGAGGACGCACGAATGTGTTTACGGTCATCATTGGTGCACCGCGCGGTGATGGGAGGCTGTCAGGGGAACCTCTTTCGGCCCCTTGGAGACGCCTCCGATTCCGGTCCGACTCCGGTTCCGTCTCCGGTCCGGCCCTCCATCTCGCCCGCACAATCACCGATCCGTCAACGCCCTCCCGACGGTCGCCCTTGGACCTCGCCTGCGACGCCGCCCAAGCCTTCTGTGCCCGACAGCGGCAGCTACGGACAAGCAGTATATAGTCAGCTACCTAGCAGGCGGACCCTTAGAGTTTCTTCTCTTTGGATCCTCCCCTGCTAGGTCAGCTTCATTTGTATTCGCTTACCAATGTTCACGCTTTGGATCCTCCCCTGCTAGGACCTTGATCTCAGGCCTCCGGGGTTGCCCTTACAGAGGCAGCGCCCATAGTTTGGAATGCCTCGGATACAGTGCAGGGGGCTGGCGACGTCGAAGGGAGAACAGCAGGCATTGCCAGGGGGGAGGCCTCGGAAAAGAGAGTGTGAGCATTAATATTGCGCACAACAACCGCCACTCACCCTTCTTCTCCTCGGAACTTCAGCACGCGAGCTTGCGTGAACGGGCAGGCCAACAACGAAATGCTAGAAAAACATGTTAGCGAACACATTAACAGGAAGCCACGCCACTCACAGGCCGTCTGCTTGATATGAGGACGCTGGGGGGTGGGCGGTACATTTGGGGGATGTGAGGGGAAGAAGAGGAAGAAAAATGTTATTCGTGACAGTGACTGTGATTGATGTATCCGTGATGTCCCGGAGCATACCCGCCCGTTGCGTCAGCCTAATTTCATCATCAAGCTCGGCTGAACTTAGCAGATTTGCTCGATTTACCCAATACTGCAATACTGCCTTACAATGAACTTAAAAGATTTTCTTGATGGAATGCAAGAATTAGCATTCAATGTGAAGAGTACTGGCCTACAGACAATCATGGGACCTGGATTCCAGCTGGAAATTCCAGCTGAGCAGAGCTGCTGGAAATTAACTGGAGACCAGCTGGACCCAGATGTTGGGTTATATGAAAATCAGCTGGAACTTCCAGCTAGATCAGGCCTGTGAACACTTTGGTGGTGTAGTTGAACTTGAAATGTTATGAAGTAGACCATTGACTGTAGTTTCTGTAATTTCTCCAAATGGTGTTCCACTCCAGTTCAGAGCATCTGGAGGAAATGAAAATGGAATCATGCTTGCATTAAACATCCTATTTGAGTTGTAGATTTGGTTGTCCATTATAACACCAAGGTCATAGCGAACTAGATGATAAATTGCCTGAAATAGATTTTTGAAAGGAATGTTCAGAATGGATAGATCAGATCTGCCAATATAATGTTGACGGTATTCTTCTGGTAGACCATCAACTTGAAAGAAATCATCAGGATTTGTTCCATTCCATAGAAAATCATATCCCCAAGGTCTCATTAGGTTTGTAGAATTCTGCACATTTCCACTAATCCCAAGGAAACGGCTTGGTGATTTATTGCATGGGGAGTGCAAAAGATTCTGTGCTTCTTCTTTCAGAATTGTAGATGATGTTGTACTCATGTTGCCTTCACAGTTGCAACATGGCCTAATGGTAAGCTTAACCACTCCTGTGCCATTTGGCAAGTCATTTCGTGTGAATACTCTATAAAAAGTTAGTTGAAAAATATTTGAAAGACACTGGCAAGTAGCATACTGTGAATATAATGCTATCTCCTAAGATTATATCTTAGCTATGTTGATTATAGAAAGTATTGTAACTGACCAGATCTGCACCTAAATTGTGCATGACTTGAATTAGCAAGTTATCATCTACAGCTGAACTTAAATCCCAAGTCATTTGAAACATTGTTGGCCAGTAACATGTTACATAGCCCTATAAATAATCAGCATATTAATAAACAAAGAGGCCCTGAGATTGCTTTACATACTGATATAGTATAACTATAATATTGATATGGAATTGATATGTCACTTGCAAGGTCACGTTTAACAGAGATAGTAATATTGGTCTATGTTAAAAGTATTAGGCTTTTATAATCAAAGATATTAATAAGAGATTTACCACATCACAGCTATCTGAGAATGGATTGTTGTAATATGGAAAAGAAAGCACTGCTGTTGTCCCTTCCTGAGAGTCAAAGGCATTTTCAATCTTGTATGAGAAAATTGAATTATTTAGTCGGAGTGTGTCGCCAACATGCAAAGTTTGAGGAGAAAAAGGTGGTGGGGTTGTACTCAAAAATGAGGGGACCATATTACTGAAAGGCAGTGCTGCAAGTGTTGCATTTGGAAAATAGGTCAATGTCTGGATCATATCATAGGCAGACAAGGGAACTAAGCCAAGTTTTCAGATTGAGATGCAGAGAAATAGCTGATTGACCTACTATTCAGGCAAGTCAAAACTATTGTACTTGTCATCATTACTATTATGACTAGTGGTGTTGTCCAGGGCCATGGATATGCTGGGGGAGAGTAATTATGATGGATTTTATGAGCATCATGATGATGATGATCACTTACGCCGTTGCAAACTATAAGTAACCCGATAAGTAAAACGGGTGGTGATTGTACCAAGGTAAGATGTCATAGGTTGGGGCAGATGTTGAAGGTTAAGAGGCTACAGACTCGGCTTATATATTGATTTCTGATTTCTGGTAATTCCCGAGTTGTATACACACTGGCATGTTGCTAGTGTGCTATGATAACTTGAATCTTGGAGTAGAATAGAACACTCTAATTTCACTCCATACACTTAGGAACGCCAATGCCCTTATATGAGCGCTATGAAACGACATAGTAATACATCCAAGTTAGTCCTGGACCCACAGAGCGGCGCTGGCAATTGATATCATTGTTATGCTTAGGTGATAAGTAGACAGGATGAGGCGGGTTGCCATCTTTTTTGAGGTAGATCCTACTTGAAAACTGTCCACCATGGAGCGCAATATGTATCCCGGGTGGCTAGACCGTTTATTTCCGATGCTCAGGACACGACCTCCTTCGCATAAACCGCGCCTTTCTCGCTCTCGCCACCGCCTTCTTCGTGGCTTGACGACGAATCGGCATATTCGTCCGAAACATCCACCTCCTCGAAATGCTCTGCCATTCCGGGAACAGGGAAGAGGCGGTTCAGGCCCCAGTACACGAGCGATGACACGCCCAGACCAGTAAACCACGACATCTCATAGATGCGCGTCGCAGGAAGAGGGACTGAGCGACCAGTCGCGCCCGCAAAGCCAACAACGTTGATAAGAATGCCCGCAATATATGCAGCATATGCACTGTTCGATTGGTAACCAGTCAATCACGACATGGGGAGGACAAACCGGAGGTTAACACCATATGTGTAGTAGTACCAGCCCGACTTGTCTGCATGGTAAAGGTCCTTAACGCGGTAATGGCCTTTTCTAACAACATAGTATTCCGTGATCTTGGAAACAGCCAAATCAGCACATATGCACTACGCTAAGGGTGATCACTTACCATGACGCCCGCAATGCTGCTCAAGAACACGGAATATGCGGAGAGGTATGATGTGAAGCTGTTGCTCGACTTCAACAAGTTCCACGGGAGCATCACCAGGCCAACGAGAGCCGCAACATAACCCCCTCGACGGATATTGATGAAGCGTGGAAAGAGCGCAGTCAGGTCGCATCCTGCACTAACTGAGTTTGCGGAAATGTTTGTTCTGTTCACGATCAGTTGGAGTGGGAAACAGCCCCGAGTTGCTTACCCGAGTTGAGCGATGATGAATGAAAAGCTGATGAACCAGACCTGCAAGTTACAGTTAGCATTGGGGGTCTCAACGACAAGTTGACTTACACCAAAACGAGTTGCATGCGAAGGATTATCATCGAGGAATTTGTTGAGAAGATCGATTGGGGACCACACTGCTTCGCCATATATAGTCACGGAGGACGACGACACGATGATGCCAATGAAGCTGACCAGCGAGAACGTCAATGGCACCGAGATGAGCTGTGGCCAAAGTGCGGCAGACGGCCTTTTGGCGCGGGAAGCAAAGTCTGGCGCGTTCCTGACTTTCGTATTAGCACAACAATATAAAAAGGCAAGGGTGCGTACGTAACGAGTGTGGCCATATTGCTGATGCAGGACATCAGACTGACGACCATGGCCCAGGCAAGATCACTTCCGTGTAAAGTCGAGGGCTGGCGGATAATTGGGCCAACGCCATGGGCTTTGACGATACACCAGATGAAGAAAGTGATTCCCGCCGTTGGCGCGACAATCGATTTCAGTGTGAATAAATGTCGGCTATGGGGACGACATGGATAAGACGACGTGACGCGCGGTTGCGGAAAACACGCACATCTGATGAATTGGGAACCATATGGCGGGGGAGGGAAATAAGCCAGAAGAGGAAGAAACACATGAAATCACGGGTTGTGGTCCCACTGGACGCGGGGAGGTGGTTGGCTGTGGATTCAAGTTAGCAAATCAGGTCTCGTTCTTGGAGATGAAGACAAACGAATGTTGTTGACGGACGGCCATATTGCACGCAGCATTACCAACATGCAGGAGCCACCAATGGCGGTCTGGACACCATACCAAATACTGCGTGAAACATAAGCAAAAGAAGTTTCTTGGATGTATGGCAAACTAACCAAGCCATGGCTGCACGGTTGAATGTCGTCCAAAGACTCCCATACAACCCGAAGCTTGTTCTTGCCACAACCGGAAAAGTTATGTGGAAAATCGCGCCGGGGCGGGCATTCAAGACGATGAACGGCGCGACGACTCCATAACCAATCCAGACACAAATCCATGCCTGCCACCAGGAAAGTCCCAGCTGGACCATCGAGCTGACGATCATCCATCTGCAACAAAGGAAGGTGAACTCCAGGTAGATGAGAACGAAACAAAAACGAACGTGTTGACATTGAACGAGTCGGCGACCCAACTGGAGAATGATATCAGTTATTGGTTTGAGAAAAAAGCAGTGGCCGTACAAGGCAAAGAAGTTCCACGAGCCCCACGTCCTGCGCTCTTCCGCAACAGGAGAAAGGTCTTCATTCGCAAGAAAGAGTTCGGTTTGCGACAAGCCGGGTTCGTGGGCTACTTCGAGGCGCTTGAGAAGACCCATTGGAGACTGGTAGACATCCCTCGGATGCTAAGTATCCGGGGCTTTATCGTAAGGCCCCATTGAACGCCAGTGGAAAGTGCACAAGGCAGAGATAAGAGAGAAGTTGGGTCTGTGACAGGTGTCATACACGCACCCGTGATCAAATTTGGCCTGCTCAAAAACGCGCGTATTAGGCAGACTGGTATGTATGTATTCAACCTAGGCTTGTGCATCAAGAGTCTTTAGTTTTTCCTCCGTTTCTGCCAGCCTTGCCTCGAGTTCTGCTAACATTTCCCGGCTGCGCTCCAACCCAGTCTCCTCGTCTACTGCTGGTCGTGGCGAAAAGATGTGCGAGTGGTAATCCAGGTGGCGTGGAATCCAGTTGTCGTCTTCTGAGTCCAAGTCCCAAGGCTCTAATTCTGGAATGGTCCAAATGCGAGGATCTTCGTTGAGGACTTGGGAAAAAGCCAACGTGTATTCAGGGACATTTTCCGTGAGCCATTTTGACGCTGCAGAACGACTGGGGCCACCATGATATTGGCGGCGACGGAGTCGATAGCCTGAGTACCGCAGTCTGTCTGAGCGCAGGAAGTGGCGGTATAGGAAATAACAGAGCGCTAATTGGTCTGGAGTCAGAAGGCGTTTCATTTCGCGAACGGCTTGATTCAAGCCCAAGTTATCACTGTCGACGTGGTTGAGGACGTCCGTAACTAACGGCGTCGTTGATGAGCCCGAACCAGGAAAAGGAGAAGCCAGCTTACTGTACACGACGTCGTGCCTCTCCACAAATCGCTTCCGCCATTTCGCCTTGAATTGAGATGGGCCCTGAACATCGTACATCTTCTCATTGAACGCTGCAAGGTCAACATTACTAATATTGCAACCTTTAAAAGACAAGAACACACCTCGCAGCATACAGTCAATTACCATGTACTCTTGTCTCTCCTCCGTGTCTTTGATATCTCTTTTGAGATTTCTAATATCTAGAGTAAGGCAGAGAACGGTCATGTCCAATGTATTCTTGAGCTGTCTAGTCAGTCTTGATACGAGGTGGGGCTCGTTGGTTTGCTTCTCCAACTCGCTAATGCGCTTTTCCATGGCACGATACCAGCCTGAGATTTGCGTAGGCAGAAGAGAGGAGAGAAGCTTTTGGAATTTAGGAGTCAACGACGAGTCACAGCAATTGTCGCCGATGGGATAGGTCCGAATATTCGACAAATGTCTTGACAAGGGGTCCTCTTTTGAATCACTGTGCAGGTATGGTAGGTTTTCAAGGCTAAGTGCAGACTGAAATCCAAGTGCGCGATGACTGGCTTTCGTGGTGGACAACAACTTTGTTGACTAGGTATGACTAATATCCTACGCGAACCCGTGATTAAACATAACGCGACGCGTGCCAATGATCCGACATCGTACAGATGCGATAAATACATAAACAAGATGGTGACAGATAGCTAGAGATGCAGATGCTGGTAATACAACTATGCGTGTGAGGGAGTCGGAGATGCTGAGCGACGAATTTCGCGGAACCGGTCGCTCGATGGGGAAGGAGTTGTGAAGGTGAAAGCGGAATAGATGTGTTCACGCTCAGGCGTTGAGAAAACTTTGGTTTCGTTTGTCATTACGGGTGTCGTGGCACGGCTCGTATGGTTATGCGAAAAGTAGTCGCGGATTTCAGGTTCTTGGGAGGCAGCCTAAGAATTGGCTTGTCAATCACGGACTGTACATAAACGAACCACCGAAACGAACCTTGCGGAAGCTAGGGCCTTCTTCAGCTGTGAAAGCGGATAGCGCAGAGTTGATATCGAAGCCCGGGTCGTAGGCCTGGGTGACATCTGCCAAAGGCGAGACGGTGAGCTCGTAGCAACGAGAGTCAATGTCGCTTTGGAGTAGTCGCTGAGCCGCATTGCCTTCATTGCTCTCCTCGTCCAACTTGGGCAATGCCGGCACCCGACGACTCTTTTTCGTGGTGCCCTTGCGTTTCCCAGCTTCCTTCTTGCTTTTGGTCGCAGGCTTCAACTCTCCCTTGCTCTTCTTGCTAACGATAACCTTGGTGGCAAGAACGTTCGTTTTCCGCTTCTTCGACGGGCTAGACGGGGCGGCACAGTTCTCTCCAGTAACGGGGTGGAGGTTTTCCTTCTCTGTTGCGGACGCGGCTGCGTTGGTGGAAGACGAGGACCGGATGTTAGGGCTGGTGACAGCCAAAACATTAGCAGCTGCAACGTGGGTGGGTTTCTCCTCGGTGAAGTCGCAGAAGACGGTGAACGAGCGGGTAGCCATGACGTGGGGGAGGGCAAATGGAGGGGAGGCTGCGCGAAGAGCGAGGAGAAAGTTGTTGGTTGGGAGAAGACGATCAACATCACGTGCGTGATCACACTCTTATACTCCGACGTCAGAGCCTTGTTATTGACAGCGTGCATCACCGACATCAGCGTTCCCATCACGCTTGGTTTTTCCTTTCAACAAAGCGTCGACGACCCGCGCTCCAGCACTGCTTGAATGCCCCAAATATCTTCGATTACTTGTCATGCACTTCTTTTCTCGCCCCCCTACTAAATTCGGATTGGGATTATACCCCATTCGTTGATCACCGACCATTTTTCGTTCGGCGGCCACGCAACGCAGTGGCCATAGAACCGCACTGGACCTTAGAGGAATCGACAATACTTGGCAAACGAGATTCAAGCGGGCATCATATCAATGGTAGGCTGACTACGCAATGCAGCAAGTGACGACTGAAAGTCTCCTTCCCCCCACTCGTAGTCAGCTATTCGGCCCGCTCCATTTAATTCAACTCCGTAACGTCAGCAAGCTATATTTTCCCGTAGAGCCTTACGATGCAGTTGACTAAGGCTCTACGGGAAAATATTTCGAGAGACATGTCTCATGCGGGCCATAGCCTGCATTTGTCGGCCTCCTCGACTACCATCCGACACAGGCTATGCAAGACCTTTCCGGAGTTCCCTGTCTAGTCCCGGTAGAACCTTATAACTCGTCGGAGTTGTTCGACCCCACTTTGCCTTTGCACGGTATCTTGCCAATCGCTTTCCGTGCGGTTTTCGCACTTCTTCGGGTCTTCACGATCGACGTCGTTAGACGAAGGGTAGTACCCAGTACCCACGACTCGCCAAACCTTCGGAGCCTAACGTGGTTCGTTTCACAACCTCATGTTTTCCATGCATTCATTCAATAAAAGTGTTGGCCACCGTTCTACCAGTTCTGCAACCCGAGACCCTCCAATATTCCTCCTCATTCCTCAGGAATATCTCTCTCGACTGCTGCCATGTACGTCCCGCAAGACCGTCCTCGTTCTGAACCATCGTTTCCTGAACCTGGAACGTTGATCGACAACGGCAGCCTCGAGCTAGTCGAAATTCTCGGTGTAGGCGGCTACGGCGTCGTCTACCGCGCTGTTGATGCTCGCTCTACGACTCTGCGAAACTTTGCCGTCAAGTGTCTCCAACACTTGCATACCCCTCGTCAGCGTCAGCTGCACATACGGGAAATAGCGCTCCATCAACTTTGTAGCGCTCATCCCAATGTTGTCACCATCCACCGTGTTATCGAGGAGAACAACTTTACGTTCATCGTTCTCGACTTTGCGCCTGACGGGGACTTGTTCTCTCAGATTCTTTACGGCTGCAGGTATCTCGGCAACACCAGGCTGATCAAGCATGTCTTCAATCAATTACTCGATGCTGTCGAGTACTGTCATTCACTCGGTATTTATCACCGCGACCTAAAGCCGGAAAATGTCTTGTGTTTCGACGGTATGTCTTCTCCTATCCTATCCGTCTCTGTCCCTCATTTTTATGGTCGTAGGCGGTTATAGGGTCGCTCTCACTGACTTCGGTCTTGCGACGACGGAGAAATTGAGTGAAGAGTTCCGAACGGGTAGCGTGTACCACATGAGTCCAGGTTCGTCTTACAACAGTGTTCATATCACATCAATTGACTTTTCCTTCGATAGAATGCCAGGGAGGCGAATTATCACCAACCGGGTCGTACTCTCCGATGTTCAATGACATCTGGTCCCTTGGTATCGTTCTCCTCAACCTTGCCACGGGTCGCAACCCTTGGAAGGCGGCTATTCTCACCGACTCCACCTTCCGTGCCTATCTTCAAGATCCCTCCGAATTCCTCCCCAGCGTCCTCCCCATTTCTTCCGAGCTTAATGCTGTTCTCGTTCGCATGCTCGAGATTGACTGGCGCGACCGCATCACGATTCCTGAACTGCGTGTTGCACTCGCACGGGTGAAGAACTTCTATTCTGAAGGCGCAGTTTTCGACGGAAGCATGGCACGTTGCCCTTGGGAGGTCGGAGTTGATTTGGAGGCCGCTAGCGCTGAGCCGGAGGAAACCAAGGAGGAGAGTCCTGTTGTTCCCGACCACCGCCCGATTCCTTCTGCGTGGAGTTCGGATTCGAGCTTTGCGTATACTCATCCCCAGGACGACGCAACCGCAACTGGTAGCGACTCTTCTTCGAGCACCCAATACTCCTCTTGTGGCGCCACTTGGGCTTTTGATTCGCCCACTTCTTCTGAATCCTCCGCAATTTTGCAGGACAAATATATTTTCGAACGCCCCCGCACTCCCCCCATGCCAAACAACGTGCCTATCATCTCTCCGCGTCCTGCATTCATCGTAACGCCGAGCATAGTGGATTTGACTTCACGGGCCACAGGCCGCAAGCCCCCGCTTACGATCAACACTGCTCGTCTCGACCCGCAGTTTTATGCTGCGCGAAACATCAGCCTGAGCCTTGCCTCGGCTTCGACCGCATCATCAGTGATGCGAACAGCAGTTGATGAGGATGACGAATCGAACTTTTTCCTTGCCAGCAGCAAAGTTTCTTCGCCTGGCTATGATCTTGACGACAAGGAGATGACATCGGCTTTATGGGATGAGACGGGCGCTCTCTCCAACTATTGCTCTACCCAGAGCTCCTTTGCCAACAACGACACGAATAACAGCGACAGGTCAGCGACGCCTTCGCCCGACACCGAGGCAGGTGCCTGGCACGCCAGCCAATGTCAGTTTTCATCGTCAATCTCCGACTCTATAACCGACTCCCCGCCAAGGTCCCCCGAATCGGATTCGGATTTGGAATCACCGCAAGACTTTGCCTTCGCGGAGCACACAAGCAAGGTATTACCGGGCGCGGGAATTATGCAACGTCTATGGACCCATTTCAATCGTTTATTTTCCAGCAAACGCCCTCTTCCCCGTCTTTTGAGACTTGGCCTGCATATCCGGCAACTGCGCCGTCGTCACCGCCCGCGACGCCGCCAAAGCACTCGCCAGTCTCACCGCCCCCGCGGCCCAATACTGGGATAGGCATTCCTCGCAGAAACGGCATTCGCCCCTGGTTTCTGCGGGCAAAATTCTTTGGGTCGACCGAGTCGTACCACTAAACCACCCTATGCGTATATGCTGATGACCTCTTATGACCGACATGAAAACCAACTCACCATCGCATCTTCCAGTTACTTATCCTTTGTTGACCATCTGTACAATAGTGCCAGGCGTACATCATTCGTATTTCCGATGTATTACGACGTAGCTAACCGGACTACTTCGCCTATGTATTGCTATTATTTTTGCTGAATCCAAGTTGAGCTGAGCCAAACCTAGAGCGCGTCAGTTACGGAGATCAATACTAATATCAACTCGGTTAGGAAGTCTTCTGTGCATAATTTACAATTTTGACCGAGTCCAGCCAGAAAAGGCAATTAAACATTTCGGGGACCTCTCTATTTTGAATCACCCACATACATTCTCTCATCCCGCCGGATAGCGTGGACATCACTAGTCTACTTGGTTTCACCAATGCTCCATTCATGCGTATATAATGCTCGGGCGGGGCTGCCTCAACTGACCCACTATGGTCTCCAAACGCCGTCAACGCTCGCTCCCAATGTCGCTTCTGCTCTCCGTGATAAAACACCATTTGGGAGACCTCCACGCCTGTAAAACGAAGATTAATGACGCCCATTTACCTCTCGACATTGTCTACGAGATAGCCGAGCGTCTGGAAAACACAGAAGACATCCTACATTTCAGTCTCGCGGTGAGGTTTCCGAGTGGCCGATAATAGCTCCTCAGCTGACGCGATTGCTGCAGTCCTCACGCATTTACAACACGCTTCTGCCTGTCCTATATACGTCCGTCGACCTCCGGTCCAGCCAATCATGCCAACGCACTCTGACAACTTTCCTAACTGAGTTTAAATCCAAGGCACGCTTCATCCGCCACCTTGTTGTGCGTCCCAACCACCGGTCTCAACAACAACAATACGCCACCCCCATCGATGAGCACTGGGTCGTTCAATGCATTGTCAAACTCGCCAACTCCGGCCGTCTCCCACGGCTTGCCTCGTTTTTCTGGGATGGCTCTGAAATGCCGATAGACGACTCATTGTGGGCGACATTGCGTGCCTGGTCAGCGGTTCATTCAACTTGTTAGCCTTTCCGACCTTCTGATAGTTGCCCTCAACTGCGCGGCGTTGGAAGTAACGTTGGTCCGAAATGCATCAACCCAGCCAGCGAGGTGAGGACACACACATAATCTCCGAAAGTCCGTATCTCAGGCAACCTAGCTTTTTCGTTTCGATGACCTCACGGCCTTTGCATTGACGGCCAAGACACTTCCTGACGAGTGGGGCAAGTGCATGGATTTTGCTCACAAGTTGTCTCGCTTAGCGGTTCACTATAGACACCTTTCTTCCCCCAAACCCAGAATTGCCTGATCAACTGTGGGAGATGCTACTTGATCGCTGTCCGCGGCTGGAACAGCTGCAAATCGAGGTATCTCAACGCTCTCGCCGCGTTTGGGACACGAGGCGCGTTGTCCAGGGCAACTGGCTGATGCTGCGTGACCTCAAGTTGGGCGAATGTAACATGGCGGGCCCCAACCCGTCACGGTTCGGCATGGAGACTCCGTTTATGCGATTTTTGGTTGCGCATCCAGCGCTGGAGCGATTGCAGTTGCCTTCGTTATCGGCTTTCCCAAGGGCGATGATCCTTCCCCCCAACTCGCTACCAAAACTGCGCGAATTTTCGGGAAATGCCACCCACATCCGGGGTCTCTCCAATCTCGCCAACATCCAGACCCTCTCCCTTGCCCACCAACCGCTGTCCAACAAGGTGTTATCACTCGTCTGCGGCACATTGAAACACATGCACTCGCTCGACTCGCTGTCCGTCTGGCTGCATCTCGATTCGCAGACCGATCACTACGCTATCTTCCGCAATTTGTTGTGCTCGTGTCGGACCGTCCGACATCTTGATATTGCCTGTTCAGATTCCCCTTGGGACATGGTCTGTTATTTGGCAATTCCTAGTACACATGTTGACTATCGCCAGAGTCAATTTATCTCAGCGCTTCGTGGCGCCAGCATGAATTTGGTGACGCTAACTCTGACACGGGTTGAGCACGCCACTGGTGGGCCTGACTTGCACAAAGTTGCCTTCCAGCTCGCTGTCGCCAGCCCCTCGTTGCGCAGAATCGCGTTGCGATACTCGTTCACAACGTGGGTCTTCATGGACAGCATTCCATTCCAACAAACCGCCGACTTCGTTGTCAAATCCGACAATGGCGGGCTGGATGTGAAGGAGAAGAATGCCGCTTCGCGTCGGTCTCCTTCTGTGAAGCTACACCTACCAAAATGGACTTGATCGGGCCGCTAGCGTATGTGGATTGTCAAGTTGTTGTCGTTGTCGTGTGTCCGGAGATTTCTACCTCACTAATTGCTTGCCCAAAAAAAGCTCAGAATGACTGCTTACCAAGAGTGAGAACCGACAGCAGCAGGATGTCCAAGACACTTGTTTGTGAGCGGCATTGATTAATACGATGCTAAATGTAAAGTCTACACCCTCAAATCAGCCATCTTCCGCCCGCGTTCGCGCTCAATTTGCGTTTTATTCCGCAAACCAGTGCCCTTGAACATCTTCCTCCCCGGTCCCCCCAGTCCGTCGCCCATATTCTGTGGCGCGTGACCCGAATGTAGTAACCTCAGCGTTGCTTTAAGGACCCCCAGCCGGTTGCGGCTGCCCCAGACCTTTGCGCTGATGTCTTTGATACCAGCTGCTGTTAACAAACGGTGGATGAAGGGATTACACCGCAGCCCAAAACCAACAGGACGGGGACGGAGAATGACTTGGGTTGCCCCGAGTTTGGTGCGGACATCTGTCCATATTGTCCTGTCCTCAAACCGCTCGACCCAGTCCATGTTTCGGATGGCGTCAACCAGGCTCTTCGTGTGCGCCCGCTCTGGCTTGTCGTGCTTCCCCATTCCCAGCCCCACGATCCCGTGACCGTCGCCGACAATCGTCCACTGCACGAATCGGTTCATGCGGCCCTTGGGCGTCTGTTGCGTCGCAAAGTAGCTGTAGATCGGGATGATGATAAGTCGGGGGTTGCTGATGGAGATGGGCAACGTCATCTCGATGTCTTTGGCGCTGTTCACTTCTTCGGGGTCTTCCGTCTGGGTGTACTTGTTGTTCGGGTTGGTAAAGTCGAACCCGTCGGCTTCAAGGGCCTCGGCGAAGATGGAATGGTGGTTGCGGATGACGACTCTGTTGTGGTATGGGTTGTCCTTTGTGGGTCGGAGCTCCAGCACTTCTCGTGAGTCCAAAAGCGGCTCGCGGGTCATAAGGTCTGGCCATGGTTGTTGTTGGGCTCTTCTCTCGGCCTCGACTATGTAGAAAAATCAGATTGTGATCAAAACAACACTTGAGGCTCACTGATTTCAGCCTCCCTTTTCTTCTCGCCCGCGATGTCAGCTAAAAAAAATCATTCAGACGCGAGCCAGCTTCAATAATAACAACCCACCAATCTGCTTGGCGAGTGCAGCCTGTGTTTCCGGCGTTTCGTCGTCAGAGCGCGGTAGGAGTCGTTTGAATACGTCTAGTCGGCGAACTCGCGGTAAACGCGGTTGCGTCCGGTAAACAAGCTTAGCGTCTTCATACTTGTTGAATATGTCGGCGATGGCGTTCATTGTGTTCATATCTTCATTGAAGACGGGCGTGACAAGGGTGGTGAGTAGCCTGAAGAGCTCAGCGCGGTCTGTTGGATGCATTTGACGCTGAATCGCGTAGTGGACATCGCGGTGTCTCATGTGTCTGACGAGCTCATCGTATGGAGTATCCTGGAGGTAATACGCGTTGTTGTCTAGCCATAGTTATTGAAAGGGAACGGAGTATGTTAAGCAGACATACCGTGGGCTGGGACAGCGTCAACCTCCGCCTCACCAGAAACAGAAGGATCCTCCTTCTCGATTTCCGTCGGATTTTTCAAGAACCACTCTACTGCCACATTCAACACGGAAAGTGGGCCGTTATACGTGGCCAGCTTGTCCTCCACAAGGCGTAGTGCATGCTCATCCTTTGTAGACAGGATAAGTTGTGCAACCTGCCTGCCGACTTCCCTTGCGGCAGTCTTCTCCACCTCCAACGCGTCTAACCGCTCTTGAAAAAGCGGGTCAGTCCGCTCTGCCATTTGCTCCTCCAACTCCTCGGAAAGCGTGTCGAGTGTCTTCTGGTAAGCGTCAGGGTCGGAAGTCTCGAGCTCTCGCAGTGCTTTGAGCATCGGACCGTATTGGTCCATGAACTCGTCACTGGAGTTGATATATTTCGCGTTTCCGGTGAGGTCGTGTACATCCTCCTCTGCTAGCGTTAGACTCTCCCTGAACTGCTCGAAGGAAATCGGTGGTGGGGCGCCTCGCAGTTTGACCTTTTCGATATATTCCGCATACAAACTTTCCGGTGTGGGGGTTTGTGAAGAGAAACGCCGGATACGCGAGGGTTCTGGTATCCGTCGAGCGACCAGCGCTATTTGCCGCCGTCGGACCACTCGCGCGATACGGTGCATTGACCGAAATTTTGAGCGTGTCACGCGTCACATGTGACGTGCCCATAGAGCCGAAACTCAACCACTTTGGACACTCAAGTAAAAAAAAAATACATGGTCATATATTGGATACATTTCAGTTTAGGTTTCAGAAGTCCTCACCCTCTTCGTCATCTACATCCCAGTCTACTTCCTCCAACGCCTTCTCTCCTTCCGCATATAAAGTGTCCAACCCAGTCAAATGTTGGAGGTACTTATCGTCGTTCAACGCTTGCAGAATCATATCGAAACCTTCCTTCTCGTATGCTTTCAGCACCTGAGGCAGTATAAGCGACTATAACAAACGAAAAGAAGAACCCTGACGGTTTCGCTGCAGCCAGTGCATCGGCTATAAGCAGCGCCTACAATATGCAGGTTACGGAACTGGGCAAGGAATCCTCGCAATTGATGCGGAACAAGACCCAAAACTCCAGCGTTGATCAGAGCAGCTGGGTCTGAGTTTGCTGGAGGCGCCGCAGCATGCACTCTACGAACAAATTAGGTTCAATCATAGACAATGAAATTTAACAGACCCGTCTGGATGTTGGAGGACAGAAGCAAGGAGCTCCACCGCGGTTGAAGACGCTAAAGAAGCAATACCAGGCCGTGTTACCGTGCACATCTCATCGAGTGTTCGATCGGTGAGTGACTAGAAAACCATCAACTAAAGAAAAACCATGAACAGCTGGCTTACATCGGCAGGTGCGACAATATCGTTACAATAGTAGCATCCCAACTGCGTGGCGCCGGGTTGGAGAGAAGATTCTCTCACACCATGGCGCATAACAAGGAATGTGTCGAAACCCAGGGCAGCATTCAAGACGATCTGCGGAGCTAATGAGCAATATCCTTCGATCGACATTGAGCTATGAACCTTGCCCTTGGCTGCACATATCACAGTTGGGAGCCATCGACTTTCCCGTGAGTCCATGAGCAAGAAAACTGCGTCATGAGTATCGATCAACTCCTCTAATTTCTTCACATCTGCCCTAGTTTGATCGACCGAAGCAGGGGGGACTGGATGTCCAGGCATCGGTATAGAGAGCGAATGACCTGCAGCATTCTGCATTCATGTCAGACAAAACGACATGAGTAAGGTTGTACGCACAATACCGGGGAATATTTTCTTCATTCGAGCCGCCGCACATTCAGCCTTAGGTTTGCCGCCTTCGAGACAATCCTCGAATTCGAACAATGGTTGCCTGACGGGATTTGAGAAGGAAACTTTCCCGGAATCAACTAGCGTGATGTCCCGCACGCCCCAACCCTGCAAAAAGTTGAGTCATGGAGCATGATGTCGAAGTCGGAATACCATTAGTGTCCGTGCGACATAACACCCCAATGTCCCAGCGCCGAGAAGGAGACATTTCGTAGACGAGATCTTCTCCAAGTCCAGTGATGGTAGAATACGCCATCGCATGAGTTTGAGATTCAAATCAACCGCTTGGTCGGCGAGACGGGTTGGGTCCATCATCGGCGCAAGGTCAGCCATGCGAGGAGCAAGCTTTCCTTGTGGATTCTTCTCCCATCCAACAGCACTCGGACGACCTCCTGACTCTGGTGAAGGGGTAATGTGAACAACTCCAATTCGGCTCTTCCACCCAGCCGGCGCGTGCGGCACCTCACTGTCTCTCCAACACAGTACTCGTAACCGAGAGGTGGTTTCTGGGTATACAGCGCGAAGATAGGCAAGCAGATTGCGCAATGGCCATCCTGGGTTGGTCGGGCTCGCCGATGGATCGACAAAGCCGATGGTTTGCTCTTCAGGGGGAACATTGGCGAAGAAAGTGCTGTAAGAGTCGATTGGCGCTATCTCCAAACCAGATCGAAGAAGGAAAAATGGCAGAGGGGTTGCATGCAGCTTTGAATGGATAGAAGAGAGCTATCGGTGTGATTAGACATGGATTCAATGCAAAAAACGCGTCCAGACGGACCGATTCGGGTGAAAGTTCTGAGGCAGCGAGACGCCAGCCTAGCTCATCGATCTCCCACGCAGGTTTGGCGGCAAACGCAGGGAACGCGAACCAATAGTAGTATTTGTACTTTTTAAGGTCGGCGAACGTAATGACGAGGAAGTTGTTGAGGCTGGTGGAGTCGCGCTTAGATACGATCGCCTCCCACATCTTTTCTCAAAGCCTTCAATAATGACCAAGCCTGGCAAGAATGCGCACCTTGTCCGCCTCCTGGTTGAAGAGTGCTGTCTTATCCGCAGCCTTGAACTCTTCGATTGTATTGTAATTCTTCAGATGCCCCTTTGCGGGAAATGAGCCTGCAGGTGCTCTAGGTTGGTCAACAAAGGATCACTATAGATAGGCCAATAGCGTACACTGCGTTCTTGTCGAACGACTCAGACCCCACACTCATATTGCAACCCAGCACGATCTCGTGGCCTGTCTCGCGGTCTGTTATTGACCGACCAACGGAATAGGACCCAGTAATGGGCACTGCTTCATCAGAAAGTCGAAGCACATCGATCTTGAGGGAGGTGAGTTCGTGCCAGAAGGTGGGTTGAACCAGTGAGGAGAATGGCGCAAACTGGACGATGGGCATCTTGGTCAAGTCACGGTCAAGTCGCGTGCTTTGATTTTTAGAGCCAGACTATTTGGGACTCATGGGCGCTACTGCGTACTACCATTTTGGCTTACGATATAGTAGCTACTCTTTACTTTGAACAAAATCAGTCAAGCATTGAACGAAAGTACATGTACAACAAAAGATTTGATACAACACTGTTTTACGCCTTCGTGCGGCGGCGAGTTGCTGGAAGTTCTTGATAGTCTTCGGCTTTGCGTTTTCGACGAGAGCTGGTGGTCTTCGAAATCACCTCTTCTTCCGACCACTCATCGTCTTCATCAAAGTCGTCCTCGCTATCACTCCCTTTCGCCTTCTTTTTTCTGGGCTTCGGTTTCTGTTTAGCGGCGCGTGGATGCGCCGAGATAGTGCGTTCAGCAGGAGCCTTTTTGGCTGTTGTTTTCTTCTTGGGAGACAAATCGAGCTCATCCCAGCCACCGTTGTCGGCAAGCTGTTCAATGGCATCCCACGCGTCTGGGCTTACTCGTTGGATGCTTAATCGGCCGCGAGTGACCAAGTCCATATCTGAGTAGAAGGGTCAGATAGTGTCGTCAACTCAAGACTATGCTTACTCTTTATGGCGGCAACACCTGCTTCACCGAGGTAGTCCAACTCTTCCGGCGGGCTGTCCGCGCTCGAGTCGGCAATATACCTTAAAAGGGCGAGAGGAACAAAATGTTTGGTTCGAGAAACGAAGGCCAAATCAACCATAAACCACTTTGGGTCTTCCTGTTTGGATTTCTGGACATGGTCAGCAGTAGAAGGGCCTGGTCAATCATTTGCCCTCACCGCATCAAAGTACGGATGCTCACTGAGACGAGTCTGGTCAATCGTTTTGTCTCAATCACCAAGCAAGTGAAGCATACGAATCCCAGGCAGTATCTGTCAGTTAACCCATCAGAAACTAATTGTGTCGCGCTGAGAAGACTAACGGTCCGGATATGCCGCTTTGGCGACCTGAGATGGGATGAGGATGGCTGGTGACAAAGCAGGGAATATGCACCAACCTCTGCAAACGCAGCAATGCCTTGCGTGCAAAACGTTAATCCTTCGTCAGAAGCTCCAGCCAGACGATCGTATACCTGGATTCTTGCAATTCGAGTGATAGAACAGTGCCTAATCGTGGAAAGTCAGTACATTCCCAACGTCGCAAGGACCAACTTCTGTGCCTTTTCCTTCGGCTGCATCTCCTTCATAAGATTGCGAGCCTCAAAGTTTCGCACTCCCTCCCAGGGAGATGTGCCGACTGTTTCAAAGTCGTCTACACTAAACTATCAAGGACATGAGTTTCCGTGGGCTAGTTTCGAGTTATCGAGGAACGTGTATTGACCTTGACATCCTTGCCCTTGACAACACGCGAGTCAGGCTCTGCCTTCAAGAGCCAATATTTGGGCGTAGTTTCACCATCCATTTGCTAGCCGTCCACCAATCTGGTGGTGGTTGAAGGAAGGTGGCTGGCTATCATCTCGATCACGTAATCAAGAGCTCTTCATGGCAGACTCATCCAACTCGAATTCCAACCTCATCGGCAGCGGTATTTGGCTCCCTTTGTGCGGCAGGCACTGCTCATTTATGTTCCCGAAGAGTTATCGAACCTATACGAGTTTATCGACAAGGACAAGTGAGCCATGCACGCGTGCCCTCATTGTCAAACATCAATTCGCATTTGAGTGTACATGGCCTGAACCTTGCTGTACCTGAGGACGCGAGAGAGATAGTCAAGGTCACTCATGCTGAAATAAGCGTTGCGATGTCTGAAATCCAATGCAGCCATGGGATCAACGCGAAAGCACAGATAAATTTGCTGAATCAGGAGTCGATGACCAGGTGCGTCGTTGTCTGTGTCCTACCACAAGCCAACTCAGATAACAGCTTATATTGCACATTCCGTTCACCCAACACGTTCGTTCATACGAGTCATCACCTTGCTGGATACCAACGATTCCTACGTAGGTTCGATTGAAATCTATACTACTGAAACTCGGTCAGTTTACGCGTCAAGAATCAGTCCCCGGGTCTGAACGCGGGTTTCTAGGTCGTGGAGAGGTTACGCCACGTCAGCTCAGGATTTATGCCAACCACCCAACAATCGTCGACTTCGCCGATGCTGAAAACACAACACCACATCTCAACGTCAGCCTCCTAGAGGGCGAAACTGGTGTGGTTGAATATCCCTTCCGCGTGGCCGCCTTCGCCAGTGTGACTTCTCTGTCGCTCTTTTTCGTACGTCTCCACTCGGCCAAATTCAATGACCAACTCGAACGATTTCAGAGTGATTCCGTTGGTGGCGATGTTTCGCGAATATATTATCTTGGATTCAAGGGCGAATCGAAATCGACACATCGCGAAGGCACCTCCAAATTGGAGATACCTGCAGCCAATGCAGCAGACGCGTCGTTAGTTGACAGAGTTGCCGAGAAGACAGCAGGCAGCCAGACTACTGCTCGATAGATACCGTCATATCTGGCCACCAGCTCTGTTATAGACAGTCAGTTTAGCAAGCTGAGTTGGAGGGAAGACCGACCACTTCATCTTCCGTCTCGACAACCTCTTTCTTTCTAAACTTGTCGAGCCTTGAAATTGACCGATCTAAGCGCCAGTTGGCTCCTGGGATGTATTCGCATTTTTCCTTCATCCGAGTTTCGATTTCCAGAGCCAAATCCACAAGACGAGCTTGAAGGAACGCGTCGATCACTCGACCATACGGTTGAACTCTGGGCCCAAATGAATCCAGCGAGTCCAGCAACTCAGTCACAGAGTCAAAATCACCCCTCCGTGCATGTATGGTCACCAGTTCATCGAGCAGAACAACGTTGGTTTCGTGGGTTTTACCGATCAGCGTAATATCGTGAGCTGCCGAAAAGGCACTAGCAACATCTCCCAACTGCCCATAAGCCCACACCAGACTTCGAAAGACGGCGGTGTAAGAAGTGGGGGTTGCGCGGAACACGTGATCAGGAAGGGCAGCGGCATACTGACCGAAGCAGTGACGCAGCGAGAAGAGGGTTTCAAGTCGTGTCTCTGGCGGGAGTTGTATGGAAATACGGATAAGGGCATTCCATATGAGCCATGCATCACTGGGCTTGATTCTCAGCTTCAGAGGTACTGAATGCGAAAGTAGTTGTGGATTGGCCGAAAGGACTGCCAATTGATGCAAAATTAGTCCTTCCTTGCGGGGAATGATGAAAGACGAAAAATTGGCGTAGAACAACGATATGACATCCGCATGGCGGCCCATTTGTTGAAGGTAAAACAACTCCTTGGTGAGCCAGATGTAGCTTGTGTTGTCTGATTTTAACAAGGCTCTTCTCCGCAAGGCCGCCAGTCCATAGGAATATCCCTTCGCTGCTTCATATTGAGCTAAGAAGGCATGCAAATGCGAAGCGGGAAGGCGGCTCGCAATTAATGCTCGTCGTGAGATCAAATTCTTGATATGTCGTAGTTGGGCCGCAACGGCCGCCCGTGGCAAGGGTGAAGTCCAGCCGTCAATAATTGCTTTGGTAGAAAATGCTAGCGAGATTTTGGGTGGAAGATGAGCGAGTACGACCGAGATCAAGTCCTTCTGGTTCTTGTTGTCGAGGACCTGCAAAAGGTGACGAGCAGCTGAACCAATTTCCAAAGAAGTGCTGTCTTTAATCAGATCCACCGCTTCTCCAAACCACCCTGCAGTACAACACGTCCGAATCAGCGCTTCTCGTTGACGACTTGCTATCCAAGCAGCATGATGAGGCTGGTGTTTGGTGTAGTATCGCAGCCGCGCCTCGCCAAAAGAGCGTAAGAAGGCCACAGCGTTGCCCGGTTCTTCGAACTTGACGAGTAGAGCCACGATATCCTTCCAGACTAGTTTTCCGTAACCTTTTTCGGCACAAACAAGGCAGAAAAGGGAAAGCAAGGGTATTTCCTCCGCTGGTGAACCCGAGCGAAACAAAAGGTCGCGCGTCTTTGTGAATGGGCCACCCTCGACGCGATGGGGGTTGCGACTCTCTGGAACCAGGTCGAGCCAAGTACGGAAGTTGTCCAAGTTTCTCGCTTCTGGATGACGAATTTGGGCTAATGCCGCGCGCTCATACGCTGGGTGTGGGCGAATGGGCAAACATGCGGCCACCAGTCGCTCATGGAGACGCTCTGCGCCAGCGAAATTCTCCTTCTGGACAGTGTGAACCAACGTCTCGTTGTCGTCCCAGACGCGTGCCCTTCTTTGTGCAATAAGTGATTTGGGATTCCGTCCTAGAGAGACGATGAGCTCAAAAAGAACGACAGAGAGGGATAGCGCACCAGGTAGTCCGTCAATAGCGACGCGGAGACTTGTACGGGAATTGAGAAATGTTCTCATTCATGCTAGCATTGAATCAAGAGTCAAGCCACTTTTGATCGTGACTGACTCTTTCTCTAACCATGTCCACTGACTCCGCCCAGTTCGTCTCTAGTTCTTCACTGGCCGTCGCTGACCTTCACTAGAGTCCAGCCCGACAACAAAACGCGCCGTTACGATCGGCAGCTTCGGTATGTTTGTCATCGGTGTGGCCGCGGTCTTTCTAAGCTCACTCGATTAGTTTATGGGCAGCATCAGGGCAGACTGCGCTCGAGAACGCGCGACTTTTGGTGATATCTGGATCAGCAACATCGACCTCGATCCTTAAAAATCTTGTGCTGCCTGGTGTCGGTCACTTCACCATTTTGGACTCAACACCAGTCACTGCAAGAGACGCGGGAAATAACTTTTTCTTGGAGGGCACTTCCAGCATTGGCAAGTCCCGAGCCCAAGAGGCAGTCAGACTGCTTCTGGAGCTCAATGACGGCGTTGAGGGACAGGCAGACACATCCAATCTCGAGCACATACTTGATTCCAACCCATCCTACTTTTCCGCGTTCACCCTTGTGATCGCCCACAATCTGGAGCCCAAACTACTCGAACGACTTTCAGCCCTTTTATGGGCGGACGATACTCTCCCGATGCTCGTGGTCGTGACTTCAGCTGGCTTCCTTGGCGAATTCTATATTCAGTTCCATGAACATCCCAGTCTGTTCTTTCGCTTTAACGTCGAGACAAGCATCTAATATCATCTAGTCATCGAGAGTCACTCCGAAAACACCCCCTCGTTGCGCATTGACAAGGCCTTCCCTGCTCTTCAAGAATACGCCTCATCTCTTGACTTTGCCAACATGGACCCCACAGAACATGGCCACATTACATACGTCGTCATTCTCGTCCGTGCCTTGGCCGACTGGAAAGCCGCTCACGATGGGAAGCCACCACAGACGTATGAGGAGAAGAAACTTTTCAAGGAGGGATTACAGTCAATGAAGGTCAAGTTTGACGAGGAGAATTTTGATGAGGCAGAGGCTCAGGCATATCGTTGCTGGACAGAAACCAAAGTCCCTTCTGACATCTCTGCTCTATTCCAGGATCCCCAATTAGGGACCCTCAGTTCTACCTCTCCACCATTCTTCCACCTACTTGACGCCCTCCGCAAGTTCTCTCTGGAGCCACCGCATACCCTCCCGTTGACGAGCTCCCTACCCGATATGAAAGCGAACACGACCAACTATATCGAACTCCAAAAGCTGTACAAAGCACGTGCTGAAGAAGAGAAGGAGAAGTTCAAGTCCCTGCTCAGTCATCCTGTGGACGACGCGTTGATAGATTCATTCGTCAAGAATGCACATGGCCTCAAGGTCTTGCGAGGAAAGCAATACGGAACGCTGGACAAAGATCCCGCTGCCCTTGGTGAAGCAATTTTGGTTTTTTTACGTAGATCCCAACTGACACTCGTCTAGCTTCAGCTATCTTAGCCTCGCCCAAAGCTGGAGCGACACATCTTGCACTTTCCGCACTTGCGCGGGTTTCGTCATCCTCGCCGACAGAGGAAGAGCTGACAGCTGCTGCCCAAGCCCTTCTACCGCCAGGAACTGAACTGCCTGAAGAGTTTGAAAACGCTGTTGGCGAGATGTATGTCTTCCTCTAACTTTTGTTCCTTCTTTGACATATATGCTTGTAGTGCCCGTTCACCAACTGCCGATCTCCCCAATACTGCGGCATTCCTTGGTGGCCTGGTTGCGCAGGAAGTGATCAAGATGATCACAAAGCAGTATGTGCCGATTGAGAGCTACTGCGTGATAGACCTTGTAGAGACATGGACTGGTATCATTTGAGTGAAATTGAACGTGTACAATAGACGAGAATGAGAATTTTCACAGCCATTTTTTTTGCTGCTCGGCTTAATTTCGTGACCAACTCCAAAAAGAGCCAACATCTTCTCTAGCCACGAGCTCTATATGGAACGATCTTGAAATTGCCCAAATGGAGTCAGTAGACTAAACATTTTTTGCCGTCCCGAATGAGGACCTGATTAGATACTCGATGACACAAGTAAGTAGCGAGAAGTGTCAAAAAAACCTAGCAAAGCAACAGACAAAACCGAGTCAATCTTCAATTTGAGCTCCTTCTGCACGATAATCCTCCATTTCGCGATCTAGCTCTTCCCTTGTTTTGGATTTCCGCGCGCGCCCAAGGACAAATGGTTGTCCTGGAGTTGCTGCTGCTGCTACTGCTGCCGCCGCCGCCCATTGCTTCTTTAAGCGCTTTGGCCCTTTCTTTATACGTCGCAGACCAGCGCCAACAGGGACCGCAGGGGGGAAAACGATATGGTTATTGGCGGCATTGTAAGGGGTGGCTGGCCGCGGAGGCACATGGGGTACATGTCGTATCGGCCTTTGACCAAGAAATCAGCTATGTAGTGCCACTTGAAACTGAACGCAACAGACTCACGCAGGAACTGAAAATCTGAGAGCTTGGGGTCCACGGGAGGGACCAGCAACAGGCTGGGATTGTAGGCGGTCAAAAAGTGTTGGCGTTCGTGTGGGGGTTGCTGTTGCTTCAGGCGCCGCCTCGTCGACAATTATTTGGATACGAATTGGTCTGCGACCGTCAATCATGGAGCCACTGAATCGTTCTTGCGCCTTTCGGGCATCCCCAGGCCGTTGAAAGGAGACAACAGCCATTCCCTTACGGCGTAGTTATGTTCAAGTTCGTTTGTTTTGGATGGCGCATTCTTACTTTGGAGAGGCCTTGAGAGTTGTAAATGACGAATAATTCGCGGACGGGACCGATAGTTCTCTTGAACAGGTCCTATATAACTTGTCTGCACTTTGACTGGTAGCAAAAGCAGCAGAACGCACCTCGATCTCTGGTTCCTTCACGTCGTTTGGCAGGCTGCCAATTAATATTTTGCTCCCCGGCTCTGCTGCAAGTTGGACGCGACCACCATTAGGAGCATTCGCGCTATTCATCGTATTGGCGCTTTTCCACGCGGGAGCAACGTGAATATTGTTGCCAGTAATGTGTCGTTTCGGCCCATGGTAAGATCGTTGAGTGCGAGACATGGCGGTCAGAAAGAGGAGAAAGACGCTGGGGCACGTGTGGGCGGCAAGTTGAAGTGGTAAAAATAGGCACAAGACAAGACAATAATGTTACATTACGGTGAACAAAGTACATAGCACATACTTGATTCGATCCTGAAAAGACAGAACTCAACGCTTGAAGGAACTAGTTCGAATCGACGATCTTGAATCTTCTTGAATCAAATTCTCGCTCACGTGATCATATTCTTTGCCAAGTCTTTGCACATTGCCGTTCTATGAGATACAATCAAACCAACGATAAATCGTGTTGAAAGCACTTTAAAGAAGAAGGAACGCTTAGGCCGAACTAATAATCCAAACGCAACCCGCAAAACAAAATCGAAGGTCGAAAAATGCCCAACTTGGAGAGTTCACTTGCGTGACCTTCGGCCTGGTTGTCTAAGGCTCCACAGGCAAATCAGCTATGTCTGAAAGAACTTCAAGTCTTGGTTGCATCCGCCTGTATCCGCACTGTACCCGCTCCGCGATCACATGAGGTTTGTCTGGACGAAAAGTATAAAGGTCCAGCAAGCTCTGTAGTAAAATCATGGGGGCCCCCGAGAAACGACTAACCTTCGACAGGTTTTGTCATTATTTTCGTCGCGAGGGACCGGCCGCAGCATAACCTCGGGGACTGGGCCTTTGCTTTAACCGTGGGTTAGGAAATTCCGACTCCGGGTCTAGCGTCGAGCCCTCGTCCAACCGGCTCGCAGACTCCCATTCGTCGGTGTCTAGTCCCAGTATCGCGTGTAGAACCGGCTGCCGCGAGAACCAGAATAGCCCGACCAGTGGTGGGTGGCGATACTGCCCGAGCGACAAGAACGTAGGCCATTGCAAGTTGGCAGCGTTGTGTTGTGGTTTCTGTTCTCTTTTCAGGTACGCGACAACGGTCAGATTTCGGGACGGACCGGCCAACACCCATGAGCTCGATACTCGCAGTCTATGCTTTGGCGGCGTGGATGCGTCACTCATTGCAAGCGGATGGGTACTCGGGCCATGGTCAATGTTGGGGACTGGGTCCTTGCTTTAACCGTGGGTTAGGAAATTCCGATTCCGGGTATAGCGCTGAGCCCTCGTCCAACCGGATCGTCAATCTCCACCCGTTCACGATCCTGACCGAGTATCTTGTGTAGCCGGCTGCCTGGAGAAAAGCTTGGTTGTGCGGGGGGTTGGTTGGCGAAATTGCCTACCGGAGTCTGAGCGACACCGTCTGGTCGTTTGCAAGTCGTGTATGTCGCCTTTCATTTCGCTGTTTGGGTTGTTCTGACTTGATTTATTCGCAGACCGGGCCAGGAAGTGATTCTTGCCGTCGGGAATGTCCCCCTGGGAGCCTCACGGTTGCTCGGGGCCCATGGCAGACCCGGCGTTCTTGAGCACTCCAGTACACAGCGAGGTGGCACTCCCCTCTGGTAAGCTTCATCGTTCTTATCTTTTCCACTGCTGACGATTTGAGTCTAGTAAGCCGCGGACAATGTGAGCCGTCGTTGCTGTTCCCGAGGAAGGGTTTACAACCCTCGTGCACCCTTGTCGTGGGCCTCGGGCTTGAGACCTTCGGGTCGACCAATCGCACGTTAATTATGTCTTGTCGCACGGAATCGGAGGTGTGATAAAAATAATAGCATGTAGAGTTTCTGAATAGTATACAAGTCGCTTGAAATGGGGTCGTTTCGCCTGGTTCAGCGCTAACACGCTTGAGTATGTTTTATTGAGAACGGTCGATAGACTCACCTGCTCCGAAACTTGACATCCGACCAGCCATCCCTACTTCTCTTTACCTCCATAACAGCCACAGTGGCCAACACTGGGTTAGTCGATTGTGGGTTGTGAAGTTATTGCCTAGATCGCTTCAAGCCCAGAAGAACCTAGCAAGCACCACGTTTCCTATCGTCGAGGTATTCGTCCACGGCGACTGCTTGGCTTGTTCAAGCTAGTCGGCCATTGTTGAATGAGTTACTTATCCGAGTGGAAGTTGGAATCGCGTGTGTTTTGAGTTCTGACCAGTTGATCGCTTGCTGTATCGAATTTGTCGTGGGAAAGTAATGGCGGCTTTTGAACAGCTGCAGAGAGAGAAGCGGTTACTCAAGGCCTCAACTTGGTGGTCGAAGGCTAAGCACCCATGTTACAATGTGGCCACCGTCTGTTTCTCAACGATAGTCAACAAAGGCCGGCTCAGAACCTCAAATTCTTATTTGTTCACTCAACCCTTGCCCTCACCGCTTGTCAATTCTACATCGAGAAAACTGATCATTGCATCTTAAACCAGCACACAGGAAGCTACCTCTACAACCGCTTAGTCAACGAGCTTGAGATAGATGACCTGCATATCCATTAGTAGGGTTCAGAGCGAGGGACTGCACGTACATCTCCCCCAAGCCCGAAAGTGTTTTGAAAAGCCACCGGGTCTCCCGTCAACACGATGGTGTAGCCAGGCAAGTTGGTTATGTATGTGGCAGGAGCGCCTAAACGATAGCATTCAACGACCGCTTCCCAAAGAAGGCGCATGCACACTTACTCCCGTCAGTGTTGATCCATTGCGGGGTCAGGAGCCTGGTTGAGTTATCGAACGACCACTGCGTTTATCGGTGTGAGATGCGATGCCACAAAATTAGGACGAATACGAACGATGGCAGATTCGCAGCTGGGGTTGCCCGTGTACGAGTTGGGGACCTTTTGCGGGGTAGACCCGGGGCTCGCTGTAGCGTGCTAGTTAGCCCAAGGTAGCCATAGGTTGTGGGAAGCATGCTTACTGTGCGTTACGCCCTGGGGGAACGCGTAGCTAAGATCTGATGAGCAGAGTTTCAACTTGGGTTGAGGATGTCATACTTGTAGCTCCCGGGACCCAGATCGTCCGAAGTGCTCACGGGTCCAACGATTCCCCCAAAAAGTGGGTAGTTGCTGACGTACGGCGTGTTCTTCGTGCTTTGTCAGCCAAAGGAATAAACAATGGTATGGATACACACCAGGGCAGTAACATCTAGTTGAGATCCGCTGGGGCCGAAGTTTGTTACAGAGAATTGGAAGTTGAGGGCAGCGGCGCGGCTCGTTCCAACAGCCACATGGTTCAAGTTGTTTGTGGTGTGCATCAGATAGCCGAGCGCAGAATTGTCGGCCACTCTGAAGGCTTGAAGGGCGCCAGTGAATGAGTATGTGGATAGGGATGGGGAAGGACTCGGTGCCGGTTGTGAGGAAGAAGATTGAGAGGGGGACTGCGAAGGCGATTGGGAAACACTGGAGACGGAAGGCGACGCGGACTGGGAGGGCGACTGGCTGGATGACTGCACTGATGATGACGATGGTACAACTGAAGACGATGATGGCGCTGCTGATGATGATGATGATGGTGCTACCAAAGAGGAAGCAGAAGACGATAGCACAGATGATGATGGCACCGACGACGATCCAACAGAAGACGATGGCGCAGACGACGATGGCACTGATGATGATGGCGCTGATGATGATGGCGCTGATGATGATGGCGCTGATGATGATGATGATGGGATAACAGACGATGACGGCGCAACCGAAGGCGAAGCAGAGGATGACTGCGCCAATGATGATGATGGTACAACTGAAGACGAAGGCAGCCGTGATGAGGACGGAAGCGGCATCAACATAGACGGCAGCGGGGATGAAGATGATGCGCTAGGTCGAATAGAAGACGAAGGCAACTGGGAGGAGCTTGAAACAAGTCGTGACGAGCTCTGAGATGGGTTTGCCGAAGGATAAGCAGGCGGGGGCTGCACGAATTCAAAAGATTGATCCGCTATAAGAAAATCGACTCAGTCACCGACAAAAAACAACAGGAACCGAAACTCACGGCAGGCGCCATTTGGTGCTTGAGCGCAAGTTGCAACGGGGTCACATCCCTGACGGGTGGAAACACAACCCGAACCAGAGGCACGGCCCGAAAACGGCGTGGACCCCGAGCACTTGAATATGGCAGAATTGCCGTTGCTTTGCGCGGTAGCCCAGCCACAGCATGTCCCACAAACACCCCTCATCCCAGGCTGGCCAGCGAATCGGCCAGACGGGGCCCCATAACAGAAGTTCTTGCCAGCGTCTGCGCAATTGGTCAAATTAATGCAGGATTGTGGAAGGAAGAAGACACACAGGGCTGGTAGCTTCCGATGGCGCACGGAATCTGGGAAGTGGCACCGTTGTTTGGCACATAGCTTCCATTGGTTGCAGAGATACACGAGACCTGACCAGGGGCTGAAAACTCAGATTAGGACGGCACAAGTAACGAGGAAGAAAATTCAAGGTCACCTGGTTGAAACGTGCCGCTGTTGCACTGTTTCTTGCCGGTGGTACTACCAGCGCAGAAGTTGCCAGGTTCGCAACGAGTACACGAACCACCTGCTCCTATCGTGGTGTTGAAGTAACTTCCTGCTGGGCAAGATGTTGCGCGAGCAAAAACTTCATTGGCTCTGATGACTGTTTAGATATCGATGAAGCAGAAAGAGAAGAAAAAGGACCTTGGGAAAGCAGAAACGGTGGTTGTAGTTGCGAGGAAAGCACTTAAAACTGACAAAAACGATGCGACATTGGTGGTGTGCATGTTTTTGGGCGTGAGTTATCGTTAATGTTCGTGAAAAATCCTGAAGGGTCTTGGTCTACCGGTTCTAGTCATGGGGTCTTTTATAGCCATCGAGACTGAGACAAGGATATAGCGGATAAGTGCGATGTCTGAGACCGTCTCAGAGTGAAATGGAAGGATTGAGCAGAAGTAGACTGCCAAGCTGAACGTTTCCGAGTAGAGTATCCATGAACGGCGTTGATCGCGGTGCACCAAAGGATGAGGGAGGTTTAACTAACATCTTCCTTGTTGCCGACTTGCTCGTACGTTGTCCATGTTGAGACGCCCAGCAACATCATATCGAGTCATGTTTCTGACAGAACAATAATTTCTGGGGGAGCCCGACCGCGTTTTGGTAGTGGTCGAATTGGCCGATTAGTTATTGAATCATCGTCTGAACTCTCCGAATCTGTTCCAATATAAGGTGATTTCTTTTTGGCTGGAAGACGGTAGACACACCCGATGTTGTCTCTTCCTCAGATTCGTCGCTTTCTGACGTTGAATACTCCCCACTTTTATCTTCAAATACTCCGAGGCCCAAATTCTATAGCAATCGTTAACTTTCTGAGAGCGAATGAATCCAGTGGACTTGCCATCTCTATCACTGCTTCGTCGTCGTCAACGTTCTCAATATCCACACTGTTGGGATCTTCTGCAGCCCTTTGCGCGACAAGAGCGTTCGAGGCCTCCATTTCCGGTAAGAATGCTTGGACACGGGCCAGAACTGCGGTGTATTGAGCAAATGTGCAACAATTGCCATTCAGCTCACGGTTTTGGAGGTGCTCGTTGTTGCCCGTCCCTAGCTCCAAAGTGCGAGGAGAGCCCAAAATGTTGGCCATGTCCGCATTGATAGGCCGGCCGGTTGAAGCATTCAGTCTTGCGAGCGCATTTTCTGTGGAAAGTCTGTTGATCATGGACTATCCGCTCTGTGAATGACGAACGAATTCGCTGAAGACGAGCATCGTCATCTTCTATTTCGAGGATTTCGTGGTTGTGTTCAGAAGACATTCGTGCAGGGTCACGCCAAGATGACTTGCCATGAACCATCATGAGCTTGATGAGAATATCAACCTCTTAGTAGACCTCCAGTCATTGCGTTGGCGCGAGCCCTCCCTCTATTCGAGTCTATATCGGCCTCATCGCCAGCGTCGCCACCATATCGACACTTTGATTGCCACTGGTTTTCCTTACTCGATGTTGGTCACGGTACCAAGGAAACAACGCGACGCTCACGATGAACTCACCTCAGAAAATTGGACAAGCATTTGTCCTGTGTCAATACACTAGCGTTCTCGTCCTCAAATGGGCGATTCTTGGCCAGTGGAGGCGATGGTATACATTTTCTTTTGTTAGTTCAGAAACCGACATTTCGTTTAGATCTTGATATTCATATCTGGGATCTGTATGAAGACCACCTTCGAGCGCCATGCCATACTCTAACAGGTCACTATGTGCGTCGGCCTCATTTTTCCCGCACTCCATTTTCATGGGTGCAGAAAAACATTTTCCAACTCAAGTTCTCTGCACATGACCGTTACCTTTACTCGTCTGTCGGTTTTTTCAACCCCAAACTCCCCTCTGAAATGTATAAAGGGGTGGGGTTGACAACATGGTGCTTCAGTACGACGTTTCAACCATGGGTTTGCGTGGAAAAATCTCTTCACTTGCTCATCAAGTATTTCGAGAACACGACGTATGTGCCCATGATCGACCATGACTCCAGAAATGCTTACATGAATACCAGGATAATATTCGAGGGATAGCCACTCATTGTGTCCAAGACGACGTATTTTTGACCGCAGGGTAATGCATGTCCTACCACTTCACGTCTTGTCTCAACAAAGGCTTAGTGAAGACGGTCGAATAATCCAACATGATCAACGCGCCACACCAGCCTCTCGTGCTCGAGCCCAGGACACCCTACAACTCCAAGCAGAAGTCACAAGCGTCGAATTTCATCCCACCATGGATCATATTTTCGTAACGAGCGATACTGGTGGAGCAGTCTGTCTTCGTGACCGGCGTATGGCATTTGGTCCTGGAATCCAACGTACCAATCAGGGAATCGTACAAACGGTAACCTGTTGTTTCATTTTGGTCAATCATGGCTTATACGGTTCAAGTACACTACCAGGCTTTCCCGCAGAGACAAGATATTCCTGGCCAATCCTGAGCCGAGCAGTGTTGTTTTCAATCGCCAAGGTATGACTGCATCACGTTTCTCTTCGCGTTATAACACAACCTAGGAACACAGCTTGCTGTTACGATGCTCGTGTGTAAAAGCGGCTTCATCATAACTCGCTCATCCATTGTAGAACTACTTTCCAACCATATACGGCCTTCATGACCCTAATCCTTTGGCGGTTTGTAGCGCTCCAAATCTGCCAAATGGAATACCCGTCTCAGCACGTCAGCGCACATATAGCAATCGTTGTACCATCAAAGTAAGTACATTTTCGCCCTCGGTGCATCAAAGACCCTCATTCAAGCTACTCAGCACGGAGCCTTTGGTGGGCCAGGTCTCGATCAAGACACTCTTTACATCGCCGGTTCGGATGACTTTCATGCTTATGCTTGGTCGTTACCTCCCGGTGCCATTCTCGATGCTAAAAAGACGGTCGTCGCTAAAGACGAATGGGACATGGGCTTTGAAGGAGTGGTTGGTCTGTCAAAAGCTTCTAATTGGTCCTTTATCGCTTACTTGCATCAGCATTTGCGAATCACCCGGCCGGCTCACGCTGTATTCCCGCGCAGCTAGATACGCCACTTACGCGTCTCGGTGGCCACAGCTCTGTTGTAAACACGGTTCAGATCCATCCACATATGCTAGTTGTGGCAACCGCAGGTGTCGAATCACGTGTACTATTACATGGAGCCGTCAACTCACTGTTTGGTGGGATGGAGGCTACGAGTACTTCGGTCCGTGATCCTCTGGATCAATGGGCGTGGGACGGCGAATCTTACGGCTCAGATTGGGAAGCAGACCAGTTGGAAACCATATATTTATTCGATAGGTATATTTTTCCACCGTTTTATTTTGAGTAGTCCTTATCTTTTCTCTCCAGTATTGTTCTCGAAGAAACCAATGCTTCGAGAGACATTTTCAACACTCGCAAATGGGTGCCGCCCGAATCTGATGACCTGGATGAGGAGGAGTTGGGTGCCTCTGATTCGGCCGAAGATTTAATGTCATCGGATTAGTAAGCAATTATCTCCCAACCCATTAACGTGAACGATGAGTCACGTTCTGTTCTTCTTTCTCCACAACCATGTCGAGGGTCGGTGAAATCGAGCTTGCTACCCGTGTGCCATCACCTCCTGCATCTTCTGCATCGGAACCTTCCCAAACTTCATCGTCAAGCGAAAGCTCCTTACCTCCGACAGACCGTGGACGCGGGGCGTGGTCTTTTGTACGCAGCCATCGTACTATTCAATGCACTTCCCCTTATTTGCCTCTCTTGAAAGCTTGCAGCCGCATTTTTTGTCGAAGCTATTGTGTGGGGCTTTCCCAACGCGTATGGCGTGTTCCTTGATTGTGTGTTGCCTTCATCATCCATAATACAGGCTCACATCTTCGAGCATATCTCAAGGACCCCCGATTCTCTTCTCAGAGTGGCGCGACTACGCTGCTCCCGCTTGTAGGGACGCTTTCGTCAGGAATCATCTATTGTTCTGGTCTGTTATCACTTGATTCGACTCTCAACATCCCACGGGCTGATTGTAGCCTGTAGGGGTTGTTGTCAATCCAATTTCTGCCAGGTATCCTCAACATCGTAGGAAGGGCATGTGGTTAGGCTCTCTTATGTGTTTCGGATCGCTGTTTGGCGCAAGTTACGCTAGAACGGTAAATTAGCTGTTGACCAATATTCCTTCGTCTTATCCACCGCAGGTTATCGATCTTGTTGTACTCCAAGGAATTATGTACGCCGTTGGTGGTGGTATGTGAGGCCCTAAATTCGAAGCACGGTCACGCTGATCGGACTCAGCCATACTCTATCTCGCATGCCTTTCTTTTTTGTCAGAATGGTTCAACTCAAAACGGGGTTTGGCCAATGGAATCCTATTCGCTGGGACCGCAGCTGGGGGTCTTGTGCTTCCACTCGCACTGCCGCCTCTCATCGCAAGATTCGGCACCAGCAAAGCTTTGCGGATTCTCGCCATCACCATCGGAGTGCTCCTCGTCTTACTTTTACCATTCGTACGCGGCCGTCTCCCGCAAACGCGGACCCGAATTCGGGGCCCTGCTCCGCGAGGCCTACGTGATTGGTTCAAACGACGAGAGTTTTGGGTATTTTTGACTGTAAACACGCTGCAAGCTTTTGCCTACTTTATCCCGATTGTATACCTACCCAGTATGTGTTTTTCTACCCTGAGTTTCACAGTTGACGGTACTCAGCATTCGCCCGCAACCTTGATCTTAGTCAATCGAACTCAGCGTTAGCTCTGGCGATGTTAAATGGTGCTTCTGTTGTCGGGAGGCTTTCGATTGGGTATCTCTCTGATAAATTTAACTTTTGGATGCTCGCTCTCGCAACATTGCTTACCGCATCTGCGGCCACTTTTGTCCTGTGGGGCGTTCTGTCGTCCTCCTTTGCCGGATTGTTGGCATTTGGTATTGCCTACGGAAGTGTCGCTGGCGGATGGACTAGCTTATGGACTGGCTTTGTCCGCCCACTCGCTCGTAAGCCAGTCTTTCTGATTCAGAGCATCGGAATAACTTTCTACACAGGGGACGATGTGACGACGTCAACGAGCCTCTACGGGTATCTTTTGCTATCGCGTGGCATTGGCAACATCGTTTCAACACCCATATCGGCACGATTATACGGTGGAAGCAACGGCACATCCCACCACCACTCTCAGTTAACTGGTTTCGATGTTGGAGACGGACGATTCAGGAATATGATCCTCTATGTCGGCACCTGCTTTGCCAGCGCTGCTTTGTTTGTTTGCTGCTGCAGGATGGGGCATGGATAAGAGAAAGGGACCGCGACCGATGTAGATACGGGAAAAAAAAATCATATGCTTGTATTTCTCCGAGATGGGCCGATGTCACACTTGTCACACTTACGGGCCGATCGACGGCTTTCTTTTCTCCTCTGCGATGGAGACGCCCAATCAGCAGACGAAGGACTTTATGGCATCTTTCTTCCCCCCCGACATGGACCCGACGCAGCTGCAGGCCGCCGCTTCAGACCACGCACAATTCCAATTCCACCACCAACAACCGCCATCTAATGGCTCACAAGTGGACCTTGCGATGGGCAGCTTGATGGGGGTCAACGACCAGAGCTATAACCCCGCCGCACTCCTCGAGCAACAGTACAAGCTGTCTCAACTTCAACAGCTTCAACAGCTGCAGAACCAAATCTTCCAGCAACAAGTCAGAACGATCTTTTCTTTCTCTTTTCTAATCTCACAGCTGACTTGCTGACTAGATTGCTCTCATTTCGGGTTCATCGCCAAGTCTTGAACCGGAACCGCGAGAAAGGGTGGTGCCATTTCATGGGCTGCCCACTCCAGGTCCGTAAACACACATCCTCGTGCTAATATTGCGGTCTTTGACGTAAAAGCAGGCAATTCGACGGAACTTCGTGCGACACCGTCTGTGGAATATGTTTCTCCCATGATCCTCGACTACAACGATACTTTCTCGCAACCATACGCTCCTCCTCGCGGCTCAACATCCGCACCAGCCCACATTGCTTTCAGGACCACCCCAAACGAGCTCGACTTTGATATCTCTCCACTCACGAGCCCGTGGCTTGGGGCCCACCAGCAACCTTCTGCCGCGTCACGGGCTGGCACGAAACGGAATGCCGCGTCTTCAAGCGATGAAGATGTAGGGACCTCGTCTGGCAGGCCATCGAGGAAAAAGCAGTCACCAGCCATTCGAGCGAGTGTGCCGATACCGCCGAAACGAAGCAGCAACAGTCGGTCTAAATCAGCCAACTCGACACCGCTGCTTCGCTCAACAAGAGCAAGGAAAGGCAGCATTAATGTACCTGGCGACACGCCGTCGCCTGTAGACTTGTCAATGCCACCACCAGCTCCTCCCATCGAGTCATCTCCATTCCCCGCTCACTCTTCTCCGGCACTCGGGCCGCAATTGACGCCTGTCACGCCAGCAAGCATCATGAACCTTGGGAGGTTGGGCATTAATACGACGATCAAATCATCAAGCAAGAAGTCGGCCTCTCCTAATGTTAAAGCACTGACCCCGACCGTGGCTTCTTCGTCTCGACAGCAACATCTGCCCCCGAAGAAAACGTCGCATAAGGCGGCAGAACAGAAACGGCGCGACTCTTTAAAGACTACCTTTGACGATCTGAGGACATTGCTCCCGCCCATTCCGCTGCCCAACGAAACCAACGCCGATGAGCCTGTGCTGCCTGGTGCCCTTCCGCCCAGAGGACCACCTAAAGCGGGTGGAGAAGGGCCCAACAAGGGCGTGAGCAAGCTCCAATTGCTGATGTGTGGGAACGACTACATCAGGCAGCTGCATGGGCGTGTTCAGCGTCGAGACGATGAGATTGGACGGCTGAGAAGAGAGGTCACGAGATTAAGGTCTGTTTTACGTGGTGAGATTGACTTGCTGCCGGAAGAAGAGGGCCTGGATCTGGAACGAGATTTGGACGACGTCGAGCTTGGTCATTTTCTTGGGCGGAATGGGCAGGGGATGTTGGACGATGATGAGGAGGATGATTGATGTGAAGCCGGTGTTTTGTTGGTTGGGCTATATATATCACGGTATACCTTGTACTTGCCCTGAGGATTGGCATTAAGGAATCCTTCATCAAGTACTTCAGGCTATTCAGCCGCTAATGGAGAGCAACGACGCCAGAGACTCCTCGTTTAACTATAATGTTCAATTTTTGGGAACAGCTTCCTGTTCAAAAATCGATCGAGTCCTCCAGTTGCTCATTAAAAAACCTGGTAGGGACGACATCATGGGCTCTATAATTGACAGCGTTTATAAATTTAGTTCATCGGGCTTGGAACTTGAAGACTCGGGGAAGACAACAGAGAGAGAAATGTCAACGGCCAGCCATCACCGGCATTAGCGTGCCGGATGTGCCGATCACGAGCTAACTTAACTCATTGTCAACATCCATGTCCATCCCTTCAGAGAACACCTTGCAACAATATCTGGATGAGTGGGCGAATATATCGAATCAAAATACCATTCCGGTCCAGAAAACCAAGCACCATTTGGCGTCGGGTGAGCTGCTTACGTCGCCCGACATCGCCGTGTTCACACGTCTCACTCTTCCTGCGCAATACCCTGCTCTTCAGCTGTAATTGCAATGAAAGCTCCGGCAGTGAACGCTGAAGGCAGTGAAAATGCGAAGATCACCTCCTCTGTTGTTGTAGTAATTCCAGGCCTAAGCTCTTGCCAGGCCGCATTTTCCTGCGATAGCATGCTCGAAACACAACTTGGCGTGCGCGCTCTTCTGTGCCAAACCCTTTTTCAAAGTTCCTCTTATAAAGGCTAGAGCAAGTTCTCCGTACCCATAATGATCTTCGGAACGTCCGTCACTTTCTTTTCTCTGGCCCTCGCCGTCGCTGCAACGCGGATCCACAATGGCGCTCCAGACTGTGATATATTTTGTTTCCAACTGGCTCATTCAAGACTGATCTGTGCCCCGACTCTAGTTGAAGGCCACGGATGCCTCGCGGTAAGGGAAAACCGCGACGGTGCAATGGTCACCATCGAGGATTGCAGACTTGGCGACATCAAAGATAAACCGGACACAGTTCACTTCGACTGGGAGGTCGCGTTTTCCAAGAACGAGCTGTCCTCTAGCAAACAGCAAATCAGGGTCTATGGCGACAAGGTGCGATTTGCGGGTCGATTAGCCTCAAAGTGAAATTCTGACTAGGCAACGTAGTGTCTTGAGTTCATCACGGACACAGCGCAGATTGGTACCTGCGACGAGAGCAACACTAATACCAGACAACAGTGGATTGCGCGGCCCGACTTCAGCCTTGAATGGGCAGGCGCGGCCTCTGGTCAGTGTCTCGACCTCCGAGATCACGAAGCCAGCTTTGGAACGCCTGCGGTGGTGAGTTAACCACTGTTCATGCCAGATTGAGTAATAGAATCGCTGCAGGTTTCGCTCTGCTCTGCCCACACAACTCAGGACTGGGCTGCCGCCCCCATGACCAAGCCTGGTATCTGGCTCACAAGCTTCGACAGTAACGAGAAGGGCACGCCGTACTGCATGGCGGCCTCATCCCAGGATGACCAAGCGCCTGTCGCCCTCGTCAGATGCACTGCCCTGCGGGAGCTCTACCCCACCGGAAGCGTCACGTGGACCGTCCCCGCCATCCCCTTCAGCGGCTACATCCGCACGCCCAACGACAAGTGTCTCACCGCGCGCTTCCGAACTGAGGGCGGCAGACTCACCGTCGAGGCCTGTCCCGCGCGAACGGGCGTCAACTCCAACCAGCGCTTCGTCCCGCTTCACGACGGGCGCTTCCAGCTGGAGGGCACCAACTTCTGTGTCGATTTGACTGATGGCCAGCCTCTTGTAGGAAACCCGGTATGCTTCCTCACGCGTCATTGTTTTGTTTTAACAGTCACCCTTAGCTCCAAATCTCCGGGTGCGACGGCACACCAAACCAGATATGGACTCGTGTTGAGCGAATTCGTCGGTTGCCATCTTATTAGTATGAATAGATAATCGAATACGCGTTGATTGAGGAAGAAATTGAGTGCGCGATTTAAAAAGAGCACGGTGCATAGCCTGAGACATTAGTGTTAGGATGGTGGTCAACGGATACGCTCAACGCGCGTCTATGTCTGGTTCGGAGTTTGAAGCTGCGAGGGTGTTGAAGGAGACTTTCCAACCAGAAAGTCGGTATGAATGGCCAGAGACAAGGCATTGGTGAGCGCATATGTTTGCTCGTGATCGCACGTCTGAATCAGGCACCGATAACGCCAACAACGATGATGTGGACGCGAGCACACTTTTTCTTTCTCCTCCACGACCATGTCTGCTACCGGTCGCAGCCCTCTGTACGTGTCTCTTACCTTTCTGGACAGAAACCAACCCACCGCTGTTAGCTCTGTTGTTTTCCTCCTCCACATTGCACTTGAAGTCCCGCTGGCAATTCAGGGTGTTTTTTCGCCCACGAGCCTCCCTTTCGTGCAACTCAACAACACCACCCTCGTCATCCTAAAAGCACGTCGTGTTATCTTCTCCCGCCACCGTCTAACCCACTTCGATAGTTGTACTCCGCTCTCGTGCTCGGGCTCTGTCTTGTTACGTTCCTCTGCTACAGTTTACCTGGTGAGTCGCTTCCCGTGCATTCTGTCAGTGTTCACCATTTGCGTCCCACAGAATTCCTGCCCGGCAAACGCGCTTTGGCCATCGGCCTGTGTGTCTACCACACCGCCTGCTCCACCATCCTATATAACGCCCCTCGCTTCATTCCGGCCTCGTTTGGCGGGATCTTTGAGGCATATCGTGTTACCCCAGAAATCGTCTGGGGCACCCTCCACGGCCTCGTCGGGCTCAGCATGGTTATATGGTGGCAAGGCACAGTACATTACGCGCAGCTTATGAGGGGGGCAGCGCCGCAATAATTATTGCCTGTTTTACCTTGTTCAATGAACGCACCAAAGAAAATTCGTGGAGAATCGAGAACTGGAATGCTGGACATATATAGACCGCGTTCTTAAGCAGTAGGCTTGTTCTCGCTCTCTATCTCAAAGCATTCCGTGTTGGTGGTACATACTGGGGCAACAAGTGAAATAAATAAATGAGTGTTCAGATGCGAACTCCTGCGGGGGCGATTAGTGATGGCTGACAATTGAGAGAGCACCTACCCTGGTCTGCAACAGGCGGGTTCGCTCCCGACCCAACCATAACATGCGCTCCCACACTGGTTGTGTCGCCAACCGTGACAAAGATAAACGCTGTGCATGTTTAAACTCTCAAGTAGGAAAACGTGTGGAAGTACACTTACCGGGACCCGGAGGGTACACACGGTTGTTGGGCGGGCTCATAATCGAGAGCGACCGCTTGTTCGGTGCGAGAACGGCATCCATAAACACGAGTCGCTCGCTCGAGTGGAATGCGTGCGAGGAGAAGCCGAGATCCATGAGTGCGACTGTGGAAATTAAGTCGGAAGATAAGATGGTGGGCTATTTGCAGACCTTTGATGCTTGAGGTCGACACGCCAGCAGGAATATCGATGTTGATGTTGAACTGGAGTTTGTCAGCGGATAGATATAAGAATAAGGCGACTGTACCCGTTGGTTGAATGCGATCTTGGACGGGACGTTAGAGAGCACTGGTCGGGCCATCGACATGAAAGGAGGGTCCAGAGTTTCCACACGCAGCTCTCTGACTACATGTTAGAAGCGAGAAGGGCAATTCAGACATCACCCACGATGAGAATCCAGGTTGACCAGGCGGAACAACAGTGACATTGTCATTAGGATTCGATCCAGCGAGGAGAATATTTCCCTGGGGAGTGAGGGAGGCCGTCGAATGGTACATTCGCGCGATGTTGGTGGTTGGGAGACCTTCTTGGCTCATCCGCTTGCCTACTGCGGCATCAGGAGAGTAGAGAATCGGCGTTGAAACTGGATGGTCGGCATTGGAGTTCCCTGTAGTCTTGCCAATGGAATTGACGGCAGCATAGCCCGTGAGTCCGCCGTTGGTAATCAGTACCTGACCATTCGGCAGGAGAATCATCTCGGGCATCATTCGGCCTTGCGGCATGTGTTCAACTTGCCAGCCACGCGCAATCCCAGCGGGCGTGACCGTGAGACGTGCACATTGGGAGGTCGCAGGGTCCTGAGAGGAGAGCTGCTCAACTGGAGTGGTGTCGCTCTTTGTGGAGCCTCCGCACGCGAGCACTTCAGGAGTGAAGAGTGGCGGAGAAAGTGGGAGCATGGTGATAGTACCGTCGAATGGGTTTGATACTCGTTGACCTTGCGCAGGAGAATTAACTTAATGTAGAGAAAGAAGGGTGGTATCAGACCATTGGGTAGATCAGGTAAAATGGTCTCTGTCTTTGCTTCGATATCGTAGATGATCGTTTGGTTGTTTGCCAGCATGAAAACCTTGCCATCTGGTAGAGAGAATGCTCTGAACAGGAGATCAATAGTTTATCTTCGAGAAGAAACAACTGAACCTTGGGAAAAGGTTAACAGGAAGACTCCGCTGGAGGAATGCGGATGGTCTGGGAACGCCACCGTCCTTGGGCGGGAAGAACTCGAACGAGTTCACAGGGTCAGTCTTGAAAAAGGTCATTCGACATCTATCAGACTTGAAACGCCGTACATTGTAAAACTTGGTTTCCTCGTGAATGCCACCGATGATCATCTACAAAAGGGTCAGGTTTTGTGTACATATAGTGAGTCGGTACAGACGAGAGAGCCGTCGAAGATTCTGACTGATGACGGATACCTGATTTCAAGGGTCAAAATAATGTGGATAGAGGGAATATATACTGACCATCTGGTTTCCGCGAGGTGGAGAGTTTCGAGGTCTTCAAAGACTGTGCATCCCGGGCCTACCCCAGCTGCATCAGTGCAAGGGCCAAACAAACGTAGACCCATGCGGCCATCGACGGCGCCAGTGTTGTTCACGTCCTCTGGAGCGGGAATTTGACCTCCAACACTGACCTAAGCAAAGTGAGAGCAGAAAGGATCTAGCAACAATGGGCTGACCATGGTACCATTGCTCAAGATGGAGCCCGACGCACAAAAAGTGTCGGATACCAATTTCAATGGTGTAGCCGTGTTGGTTTCCATATTCCACAGGGCGCCCCATGCGACCTTGCCGTTAGCAGTATGCAGTGGGTCATTTGTCGCGCGATCGAAGAACACAGCAAGTGTGGGTGATACGACGATCGACTCCAGAGCGACAATCCCAGAGTTGCCTTTCTCCACGAATCGCCACGCAGGAGCGGGCGGGGCGGACGATGCTAGACCCAAGAGGGAGGACAATAGGGCGGCTATAGTGATGCGCATTTTTTGTCCCAACCAGTGGTGAACCACGAAAGAAACATGCTAAAAGGGAGGCGCTTTTATAGTACGAGCATGGTCGAGAGAAATCCGAAATGCCTCGTTGTGGGAAGTCTAATTGGGACCTTTTCACCAAATAGTCTCAGAGGAGCTGGTCGGGAGGGCGTTGTCTCGTTACCGGTTCAGGCTGGTTGGACGTCATCGCGTAAAGGTGAGCGCCAGCCTGCGACTCTGCCAGTCCGAGAACAGCGTACGATATTTTTAAAAGGATTTTGAGTCGCAGACTCTCGGCGCGTTCCAATAGACGCGCGTGGCTGTATGGTTCAACCTTGGTGAGTGTTCATGATCAAGGTCAAGTGAGCGTTTCGTGGCTGACATCAGCGGTTCTCACTCTTGAACAAACCACCAATCACAGTCACTGGTTTTGCTGCTTACGCTCGTCCTCCTTGCCGTTGCATACGCCTCACCCAGCAGTGTTTTTATTTTGTTCACCTCAAATTTCCGGCTACACCAGCAACCCATATCCAACATGGTCTGGTCCATGTTGTAGTTCCAGCAACCACAGTCGCAAGAAATGAGGAAACGGAGCTTGAGTCATTTGTGCCCGAATCCACGCTTTCCCTACTGAAACGAGTTCGGTTCGCACAACTCGTCGCGAGAATTCACGTCGTAGAGCCTCCCATTGGGAACTTCTCGTGGATGTAACATTTTGCAACCCCCACAGTGCTGCCCATATCCCAGCAACCGGTTTCTTCACGCTCCATTTGGACGTTTTCTACCCACCGTTTGCATTCGCCGTTGGATTCAAGGCTCTCTCGATCAGGAAACGAGGATGGAAACGCTAGACAAACAGACTTCTCGGGCACTCTTTCTCATCTGGGCACTCCCTCTTCTCCCAGCCTTATCGCCCAAATGTTTATTTAACAACGTGCGCTGCACTCTTTTTCTTGCCCCCGTGCGATGCTCCGTCTCGGTTCATTATTGGCGCTTGCTTACCTTTTTACTCAAGGGACGACTGCGCCGGCCCCGGCATGGCAGTTCGTTGAGAAAGGAAACTCTGGCATCGTGGCCCTTGAGGCCATTGTCGTGTCTCCATCCCTCGTTGTATTTTTCGATCGAGCAACGAACGATCCGCTCAAGACCGCTGATGGCCGGGTTTGTGGTCGCAGCGCTCTCCCCAATCTAGATGCTTATTTCTTCCACAGACGGCTTGGGGAGCTCTCTGGAATCTTGAAACTAATCAGGCAACTCCTCTGAAGCTCGTCTCGGACTCGTTTTGTGCGAGTGGCTCATTATTGAGCAATGGGACTATGGTACGTTTTGGCCAACACGATCACGATCATAAGCTGATTCTCATTGCAGGTCAGCGTTGGAGGCAATATTCCTGCTCCTGCCGATTTGAATCAAACTGCTGCTTCGGACGGAAGAATGGGGCTACGAATGTTTGGCCCATGCACGGATGTCAACGGCGTTGGCTGCACGATTTTTGAAGACCTCGATAACATTCATCTTGTGGAAACCCGGTGGTATGCGTTGTTTCCTCTCAACATGACTGTGTGATCCTAACACGACCAGGTATCCGTCGTCTTTGAGGATATTTGACGGCTCTTTGATGGTTGTCGGGGGCGTTCACGCTGGTGTCCCATTCTACAATGTTCGTCTCTTTCATAGCTCATACCTAATTCGCTAAAAATACTTTAGACCGGTTAATACCATTACGAGTTTCGATTACCTGCTTTTCTAACATTTTCACCTAGACCCTGTCAATTCCTTCGAGTTTTTCCCTTCTAAGGACAATGGAGTCCCTCGTCAATCCCCCTTCTTACAGAGAACTGCCCCTGTCAATCTCTTCCCTCGAGTCTTTGCGCTTCCAGATGGCAAAATCTTCATGCTCGCAAATAACCAATCCATCATCTACGACATTGAGACGAACAAGGAGACCATATTACCGGACCTTCCTAATGGTCTGGCTGATTTTATCGGTGACACTAGCGTAACTTACTTCCTTCTCCAGGACAAAGGGTTTCAAATCCATTTGACGGAACCCTTACGATGCTCCCGCTCTCCCCACCGCTGTATGTTCCTGAAGTGCTTGCTTGCGGAGGTTCCACGAAAAGCGACACGACACCAGTTGCAGACCTTTCGTCTCAAGATCCGGCGACCTCTCAATGTGCCCGTCTGACTCTCACACCCGCCGGAATCGCACGAGGCTGGGAAGTCGAACATATGCCGCAGGGCCGAATGATGCCGGAGATGATCCTCATGCCAAATGGCCAAATCCTAATTATCAACGGCGGCGCGAGCGGTTATGCTGCTCTCAACTCAATTGGCACTACGACTGGTGGCTCCAATGCTGACCATCCAGTTTTGACCCCGATCCTATATTCACCTGATGCTGCTGTGGGAAGGAGGATGTCACAGGTAAGCATGTCGTTCGCCAGATGTTTCTGCACTCAACTCCACTTTAGGACGGTCTCCCGACAAGTAACATCCCGCGTCTTTACCATTCCACGGTGACTCTGCTGCCGCAAGGGTAACTAGCCCGATTATTAATGTTTCCATCTCCTAACCTTTGCCTGTTAGAAACATTCTCCTTGCAGGCTCGAACCCGAATCCAAATGTCACCATAATCCCTGCAGGCCAACCTGGCTTCTCTTCGTAAGCCTGCTCTTCGCTCTGCCTTGTATTCTATTCATCGAGGGAATGTCAGGGAGTTCCGCGTCGAGACACTCGATCCTCCGTTCATGTCAATGGCACGCCCGGTTTTGAGCAATGTCCCATCCAAAATTCTCTTCAACCAACGGGTAGGCGCTAACTGTTCCCCTAAATGCAAGAAGCTCAGTCTTGCGCATAGTTTACCATCGACGTCAACATGCCAGCAGGCGTCTCGCCCGTGGGATTGAAAGGTCCAAAGCTCAACCCGCGCTATCTAATTTAATCTGATATCCAAACAGTGGCCTTGATGGACCTTGGTTTCTCCTCTCACGCTTTCCATTCAAGCACCCGTCTCGTCTTCATGGACGCAGTGTTGTCACCCAACGGACGGTCGCTCACCATCTTGAGCCCTCCAAACAATCGCGTCTATCCTCCAGGGCCTGGTATGCGTCATTTATTTTTTGCTTTCCTTTTTCATGCCTTTCCAGGGTATATATTTGTCACAGTGGGAGACCGCACGAGCGTTGGCGCCCATGTTATGGTTGGGTCGGGTGCCAACCCACCGGTTGCTAATCAAGGTGCGAATTTGATCCAAGTTTTCGTAGTGCGACTCAACTCGTCAACCAGGCATCTTTATCTAAAGTTGTAATCAATCACAATTCGCTCTTTCTCTCTCTTCGAACCTTCAGCCCTTGAGTTTCATCAACAAGTTGTCGTCGGAGTGGTTAAAAAAATTCCTAATAGATGCCTACGCAGGTACTGGTACTCATTACACTACATTGACACATCCGATAAAATACACTGAGATAGGGTAGATTCACATAGCAGTCCTTTTCCATCCAGTCGCACACACCCAAACCCGCTCTCACTGGAATGTCTCTCGCCCGCCGGGACCGGGCCGGCTAGTTACATCACGTTCTGTGTGGGGTTGTGTCACTGGTTCATCGAAATCGGCGAAGGGGTTTTCTTTGTCGTTTCCATAACCAGGCGCACCAGCATATTCTGCAGGCTTTGGTCCGTCTCGAGGGGGAGGTGGACCAGCGGGAGGGGCATAGACAGGATTGGGGTTTGCGTAAGGAGCAGCATAGCCCAGATTTGGCACTGATGGATTGTAGGGTGGGTTGTAGTGAGATGGATAGGCGCCGTTGAACTGGCCGTTAAACTGATTGGAGGGAGCGCGGAGTGAGTTGACAACGCTGGTCGGGTCAAGAACTTGACGGTAGTAAGCCCAGCCAAGAGCGGAGAAGAAGCCCCATATCACTGTAAAGCCGTTGTCAGAGACGAACAACGCCAAAATAGCGCAGTGACTCACCCATGGTGATAAGCAGGGAGATGATCAGTTGCCACGAATCTCGGTTATACTCACGGTTGCACCCTAGTAGGCAAGTCAACGAAGACCAAGAGGAAGACAACCAAACATACAGTTCGCAGCATCGGTGGCGTCCAAAGTTTCGTGTCTTGAGGGCCCCCACCAGCCGTAGGGATATACGGCAAACCGCGCACCTGTGGTGATGTCCGTGCAGACTTTGAGAATGTCGCCCTTGGATGTGAAATGGATCACAATTCGTAAGACGCTGGCTCCGACAGCGAGGAGGATGCCCAGAAATGTAGCATATGCATAAGCCCCAACAAGACTTGCACGTTGTAACGTTGCCGCCAGTACTCCAAACGACTGCAAGTATAATGAGCAAAATCTTTCTAGACAAAACCGTTACACACCTCAATGAGAGTTAGGGCCATGTAGATTGCTCCCAGAACAATCGCAAATGTAGCGAGTTTCGGTACATCCTCTGCTCTGGTGAGATTTTGTGGCACATGATGTGGTCGACATACCTCGCTTGTCAAAGCTGATACTACGGAAGAAGCTAATCTTGAACAGGAGTTAGTCAGGTCAAAGGGAGGAGGAATAACAACATACGCCTCTAAAGAAAGGTTAGTAGAATGCCGCGGAATCAGAATACTTATGGTGAACTCACGAAAACAGCGACCAAAGCGCAGTAATGGCACCAACTGAGAGAAACCAAAAGTCAGCTTCGATGTCCGGTGGAAAGAGGCGAGAGACTGGCCCCCAATGACCACAGGTCTTAGATTGGTACGGTAGACTCGGTTGAAGCCAAATCTGTTGGGGGCACCTTCGACGAGAGGTAAGAACAAGAATCTTGAGTCTAAGAAGCCAAACCTGGAGGAGGCGGACGTGTAGACATGTTGGAAGGGTAGAAGATCGTGAAAGTGGGGAAGAAAGAACAAATAAGAGGAGAATGGAAAGGTCTTGAATGGGGAGGCTGTGCACCGTGACCGTGTCACAATGCTGTTTCGCGCAGCGATGTCAGACGATTGTGGCCGGGTTGACCGTGCACATCGCCGACCACATCCCTTAAGTACTGTGCAAGGCTGTTCAGTTCTCGAGCCGCGGCTTGATTTATCAGCGCGCCCAAGTATCGCTACCCACGGCAATCTCTCATCTCAACGCAACATTCATCAAGAATCTAGACAGGCAAAAGGCGTCAAGCAAACTGTGTACAATCAGAGAACTCAACGCATAGCCTCGGTTGAACGAATAGCTTGATCAATTATGCAACCCGACCTCCAACAAGGTCAATCAACTCGAACGAAATGTGTTTGCCGTCTTCACAAATAAAGACCTTAGTCACAAAGAAAAAGTGGGTGGATGGATGAGATTGTAATTTTTTGGGTTGGAAATGGGTCACAGAAGCATTTCAGGTGAGATTCTCGGTTTTTCGTGTCAACCTCTCACACTCCGAACAGCCAAAACGAAACTCCACAGTTCAATGCAAACATTTTTGTCAACAACTCTATCCATCGAACTTGGCTGCCACAGTGACGGATGCTGAATGACCGGTCATAGTATGGTCAAGAAACGTTGGGGTGGTTGGTTGGGCGTCTGGTTGTCTGTCAATGAGCAAGGCCGCATCGCATCCTCGAGTGAGTTCACCCGCTCTAGTCAATCAATTATCTTCACGCGTGGAAGAATCTCAAGGATCAGGCCGGGTGAAAAGACACGACGGATTCGCACTTCAATCTGTATTTACATGCTACTATGTTGCGACTCTTCCGTCTCTTTTCCCGTTCAAAAAGGCGCAATGTCAATTAACGTGCGATTGGTCGACCCGAAGGTCTCAAGCCCGAGGCCCACGACAAGGGTGCACGAGGGTTGTCAACCCTTCCTCGGGAACAGCAACGACGGCTCACATTGTCCGCGGCTAACTAGACTCAAATCGTCAGCAGTTGAAAGGACGAGAACGATGAAGCTTACCAGAGGGGAGTGCCAACTCGCTGTGTACTGGAGTACTCGAGAACGCCGGGTCCGCCGTGTGCCCCGAGCGACCGTGAGGCCCCCAGGGGACATTCCCGACGGCAAGAATCACCTCCTGGCCCGGTCTGCGAATAAATCAAGTCAGAACAAAACGAACATCGAAATGAAAGGGGACATACACGACTTGCAAACGACCAGACGGTGTCGCTCAGACTCCGGTAGGCAATTTCGCCAACCAACCACCCGCACAACCAAGCTTTTCTCCAGGCAGCCGGCTACACAGGATACTCGGTCAGGATCGTAAACAGGTGGAGATTGACGATCCGGTTGGACGAGGGCTCAGCGCTATACCCGGAATCGGAATTTCCTAACCCACGGTTAAAGCAAGGACCCAGTCCCCAACATTGACCATGGCCCGAGTACCCATCCGCTTGCAATGAGTGACGCATCCACGCCGCCAAAGCATAGACCGCAAGTCCCGAGCTCACGGGTGTTGGCCGGTCCGTCCCGAAATCTGACCGTTGTCGCGTACCTGAAAAGAGAACAGAAACCCAACACAACGCTGCCAACTTGCAATGGCCTACGTTCTTGTCGCTCGGGCAGTATCGCCACCCACCACTGGTCGGGCTATTCTGGTTCTCGCGGCAGCCGGTTCTACACGCGATACTGGGACTAGACACCGACGAATGGGAGTCTGCGAGCCGGTTGTACGAGGGCTCGACGCTAGACCCGGAGTCGGAATTTCCTAACCCACGGTTAAAGCAAAGGCCCAGTCCCCGAGGTTGTGCCGCGGCCGGTCCCTCGCGACGAAAATAATGACAAAACCTGTAGAAGGTTAGTCGTTTCTCGGGGGCCCCCATGATTTTACTATAGAGCTTGCTGGACCTTTATACTTTTCGTCCCAGACAAACCTCAGGAGCGGGTACAGTGCGGATACAGGCGGATGCAACCAAGACTTGAAATTCTTTCAGACATCGATGATTTTCTTGTGGAGCCTTAGACAACCGAATCGCAGTCCGTTAACAAGCTTACAACTTTAGTGTTTTTGATCTTGCTCTGATTTGCGCTTTAGATTGGGTTTGCTAGGTCCATTTCCTGTAGTGTTCGTTCAAGTGCAGAGTAGAAGAAAATTAATTCAGATCACGTGGCCAGCAAACACTTGGCCCGAACTTTTGAGGACCATCGAACTATTTTTTTTATTCCCATGCCTCTCATCTATAGATGGCTTCTCCGCTTGCCTACTTGTTGCGCCGCAGTACTCGTAAACTAACGGTATCCAAAGCATGAAGCCTAAGTATCACGTTCCAACACGGTTCGCATGCATGTTTTCACTTGCTGATTACACTTGTCCCATTCTTTACTGACCTTGCAATTGGCGCAGCTGCTTAGACAGAAGATAGCGGAGCTGATTTGCACCCGCAGAGATGAGCTTTGCCGCAGCCCAGCGCGCAGTTCGCCATCTCAATTCTATAAAAGCGTTTTGGTCCAGCAGTCTCAATTATCCCAACCTTCAAGATGGACCGTGTCGCTGAATCAGAGCCTCTTCTCCAACCAACTGCTCCCGCAACACCAGATTTGGACTTACCGACCGTTATTGCCGCGGCAAGAGCCAACCGCATTCGACGCGTCTCCCTCCTGTGTTTGTACAACTGTTCATCTTTGAACCAGAGCTGATTAGACCCCTCTAGTGGCTATAATTGTTGCCGCCCTCCTCGAAGTCGCGCTCTTCGCACGCATCGTCGTTGCTTACGCCAACGGAAATGCACACCACAAGGACATCGCCTTCTACGTTCTCGGTCCAGCGGCATTGACTGCTTCTGTGACCACTTTTGTCATCATTGTCCTGTGAGTCCATATTACTTGTGGTTGCCCGCCTCTGATATTGGACAAGTTTCCGTGCAGGAAGGCGCCGCTTGACGACCAAATGGACAAGGGTCACTGTTCAGATCCGGATTCTCGTCTTATACGCCGTTTGCTGGGCGATTATCGCCTCGTTGATCACCTATCTACCTGAGCAATGCCCCCACAAAGACGAAAGCGACTGGGCTGGTACTTGCAGCGGCCTTTATACGACTACGCTCGTACTCAACTGGATATTTATTGACCTGTGTGAGTGGAACTCTTCCGTGAAGCTGAGTTGGTCATGACATCGTTTAGTACTGATTGCTGCGTATGCTACCTATTTTCGAGCCAAATTAGTGCATGGCACTAACCTAGTGCGCCATCCTGAGGTTCGCATGATCGCAGCCTGGCGCCTGGCCGAGGTAGAAGATGGGACCGTCCAACTCTAACAATCGTTTTTCTTTATTACGACTTGTACTGTATAACGTTGTGAAACTGCTATTTGATACCTTCTTTCTGCTTTACATGGGTTTGGCGACCGCTCCACAGCCTTTGCATGTCCGAATATTCTCGTCGCCTTGCCACCTTAGAAAGTCGTTAGTCTAGTTAAAGCAAATAAAAACTGCAGGCTAACCGTTGGATCACTGGCTTGAGCTGGGTGCCGAGGTCTGTTACATGGAACGACTCTTCGTAGATAATGGTGGGCTCCGAATGTACTTCGCTTTTGCAATACCAGCGCAGTCGGTCAAGAGACGCTTCCGGCCGCACGCGCTCCATGACGAGGCCGATGGTGTCGGCAAAACGGACGGGGTTGTGGGGCGTATTAGCTAGCGAGATTAGATAGCAGAAACTTGAGGCAAGAGCTCATGAAGCGTACGCGGCAGCAAAAACATCTCCCCCTCCTCGATTCTGATATCGCGAAATAGTCCATCGTCGACGACACGCAGGAGCATCCCGCCCTTGTGCTGGTAGAACCACTCCTCCGTCTCGTTGACGTGGTAATCGTTCCTTTCGTTGGGCCCACCAACAGCCATCACCACAAAGTCTTTGCCTTGATAGAGGCAGAAGTTGTTCACTGGTGGTGTCAACTTATGTGAGTTATCTGCGAGCCATTTGGGAAAGTTGAGTGGAGGAAGCAGAGGCATTGGTCGTTCAAGGCAACCAAGTGTCGACGGCCCGGGTAACCGGTGACAACCAATTTTCTGCTTGACTCAAAGGCCAATTGTAGTGGACTAATAGAAGACGCCCATCTCGTGTCTTCGTAGATCGAACGGCACATAATGATACTTATACTCAAATGGACATGTCAGGAGAGTCATGGGCGAGCAACAGAAAGACACTGGGGTGAGGTCACGAGAAACAATTTCGAGCAGAAGCCTCTGTGTTGGTGTTGGTACATGTCTGGATACAAATCGGGAGTAATAAATGAGATATACGATGGTCTATGCCTCCTGCGAAGCACCACCCTTTCCTTCTACGAGTCCCAGTCAGTAAAACAGCGACGAAGAAAAAAACAGTAACACGCACTCTTGCCAGTTGCCGTAGGGAGAAGGGCGGCATCGATGTGGGGGACAACACCACCCTGCGAGATGACTACTGAGCCAAGAAGCTGAAGCGAGGGTCAGCGACATTCTAGTCCAAGATGGACAGCCTTACCTTGCCCAGTTCCTCATCGTTGCGAATGGCGAGCTGTAGGTGACGAGGTACGATACGGTGTTTCTTGTTATCCCGGGCGGCGTTGCCAGCGAGCTCAAGAATCTCGGCAGCAAGGTATTCGAGGACAGCAGCGAGGTAGACTGGACACCGCGTCAATACCAATGTCCATCCCGCAAAAAAAGACGCGACACACCTGGAGCACCAGCACCAACACGCTGTGCGTAGTTGCCCTTCTTGAGCAGACGATGGATACGACCGACAGGGAACTGGAGGCCGGCTTTCGAGGAACGCGATTGGGCTTTTCCGTCACCACCGCTGCCGGCGGCCTTGCCAGACTTGGATTTGCCACTGACTTTGCCAGACATTGTGTGCGATGTGAGAGTGGTGGATGAGTGGGTGGGTGGCTGGAGGTGGGGGTTGGGAGCAAGGGTGGATTGGACGATGGGACACGGTGTGTGTCTTTTATAAGAGGGTGTGGTCACGCCTGTCACGAAGCACGGGTTTTTGGCATCAAAGAATAAACACATTTGTCAGCGATGCCACAGATTCACGTTTTTGGAAATAAACCCAATCCTCTCCTCCCGCCAGTTGTCCTCGATGCTCGCGGAGGCCGTCCCGTTCAGCTGGAGTACGTTCTACAAATGGCATAAGTACTAAAACAACGCCTCATTGACTACCAACCTTGCTCGACGTTGTGTATGCCTTCCAGCGCGTCCCTGCCGAAAACAAGTCAGGCGGAGGAAATGGACACAGGAAAACCTACGCTTCGACCCAAGACCGTCATTCGGATTCAATGTCACGACAAAAGAAATCCAGTAGTCCATCATCTGTGTGCTCAACGCTTGAGCTGAAGGCGTCTTCAAATCGCCCAGTGGTGTAGCGCCACTGCCGAAGATATAAGGTAGGTCAGTCGCGTGGGCAACTATAATTCAATCAACCAAAAATCAGATTTCGCAGAGAAAGGAAGTACCTCCAAGCGAGCGAGGCGCCTGCCCGATGTCAAGAAACTCAGCGTCAGCGTCAGCGAATTGGTACCCATATAAAGGCATATTTCCCAACGAGCTAATCAAATGCCGCAGCTCTCTTATATGGGCCTCCAAAGAAAAGTCTCCCCCTGTCATACGTGAGATGGGGCATGGCCCAAGAAAACAGCCTACATATCGCCGCCCATCGTTTGAACTGCGAATTTAAACCAAATGTTTCGTTCCCCGTTCCAAACGGCGCGCCGAGTGCCGCCACGTTTGGATATAGCTCCAGAAGACGGTCCGCTGCTTTGGCTAAAGCTTCTGGTCCACTTGGGGAAGGCGTACTGTGCGAGATGATCCATTCCCGGATTGGAGCTGTTGAATCGACATCTTGAGGCGTAAACAGCGTTCCTGCAGCGACATCAGCGACCAACCTCTCCAAAAGCTTAACTCTAATCAACCTTCATCCTTACAGCTCCCCACGATAACAGGAATTCTCGAGCGCGGAACCAGCTTTGACGGCAGGTCAGGCAAGACTCCCCCGGGGCCATCAATAACGGGATTGAAAGCCAGATCGTTTGCGGCGGCGGCCCAGCCTGCAAGTAAATCGTCTGCCGAAACATTTGGACCTCTGAGGCAACCAATCTCTTCTCCCATGTTTCTTCTCCCATGTTGCATCCGGCCGACTTCATGAACGACACCCAGTTGTCGAGATTATGGTCTGGGCCATATTGTGGGTCCCAATACGTGGACTCTAGTATCCCGGCACGCGCATATTTCTTCAATGAAGTCCCATATAAGTGGATGTCCACAGAGTGGGCACCGGCACTTTCTCCCCAAAGCGTGACCTGTGAAGAATCAGTCGGTTTCAGGAAAAGAACGGATGAAACCAACTTTTGAAGGATCCCCACCGAAAAATCCAATGTGTTTGTTGATCCACTCAAGTGCGACAAGCTGGTCTTTGAGTCCTAAATTGAGGGACTTTTCTGCAGTGGCGTCTGCGCCAATCGGAAATCCTACGGGGCCGAGTCTGCGACATCGATGCATTCATTTTTAGTTTGTTAATCCATGACCTACCTGTAGTTGATAGAAACAAAGAGGATTGGAGATCGCTGTTTGGACTGGCTCAGTTGTGATATTTAGTCAAGTTAAGACCGACCCGTTCAGCAGCTCGCGCAACAATCTGGCTCCCATCGTACTGCGAGCCCGAACCCGCTATAAAGGTCAATGCGCAACGGCCAAAAAATAAGCGACAACACTGACCAACAAAGTCTCCGCCATGGACCCAAACGAGCACAGGGAGGCCTTTCGCACGGCTGGACTTTGCGGAACGATAGACATTCAGCGTGAGGCAGTCTTCTGAAATCTCCGTCGTTGGCTATTCACGTGTCGTTTGAAACTCTGCGCTAGAAACAGTAACATACGTTGAGCTGGAGGCACGCCGGCCCAAATTGTGACGCGTTGAATGTTGGACCAGAGAACGGGAGGAGCGAAACGGGCTTGAATCGCTGTGGTCCAAGCGGCGGAGTAGCGTATGGTAGACCTGAGGCATCGTTAAATTCAACAAGATGGCAGCAGCCGGCACAGTCCGTCAAGTACCCAGAAACAACTCGAGACCATTGACAGAGGGAGATGTGGTGCCGAACACGACCGTATGGTTGACCACGACTTGAGAGAGGGCAAATGCGCCGCCAATCGAACGTAACAACAGCCAAAGCGGAGGGAGTCGTACCGTCATGGCCGCGAAAGCTGAATGCAAACGGGGCCCGGCAAATCTCATTCTGACATCAGGCTGATCTGATTGACATCACTCGGGCTTTTTCCCGAACTCTTTCGTGTGCCCTGCTTCCTCAGCAAACTCTTGCAGAGTCTCTAAGGATTATACGATGATACAATGTCGTAGTCGGCGGCGGAGAGCGGATCTCGATGCGTGATGAGCCTCCCGAGTTTGAATGCCCTTGATTGCTGCCTCGAGAACCTGCACAATTTACCCAACTTGGTGGTAAGACACACAACAATTACCTTTTCCATAAGCTTATCCAGTCCTTCGCGGGTCAGCCCACTGCACTCGGCGTAATCCGCCGCCTCCAGCTCTTGCGCCAGCCGCAAACCCTGCTCAGTTGATATCGGCCGTTTGTGTTGCCTCGCTAAGTGTTCAATAGTGTCCGTATCGTCCCGCAGGTCGGTCTTCAGCGCGACGAGGACGCGTGGTATCCCAGGGTTGTGATGTTCCAGCTCAGGAAACCAGCGCTCGCGACAATGCTGGAACGAAGTCTCGGAATCGACGGAGAAGCACACCAGAAACACGTCAGTTTGCGGGTACATCAGAGGGCGTAGACGGTCATATTCTGGTTTGCCTGTTGGAAAGATCATGAGCACGAACATCACAACTTGAATACATGTGAGGCACGAACCCAAGGTGTCAAATATTGCATGGGTGTAAGGGTCTCGCTTGGGCCCGAACAACACGGTGACGGCGTAGCTGTCAAAGACCTACTGGCCAGTGAGTGAAGCGACAACCAAGGCTCTAACGAGCTGACTGAAGGGCAGTACTCCGCTGGGTACTTCCCTGTCGAGAAAGAAATGAGCATTGCGGTCTGATTGGAGTGTTGCTTGAATCAAGTTGGTGCTTGGATGATTGAGTTACCTTTCCAACTCCATCTTCGCCAACGACTACAGTCTTAATGGCCTGCATTGTGTAAGTGGTGAAAGCACCAAGCAAGAGAGCATCTGTCAAATTGAACAAGATAAAGTTGTCTACCGTGACGGGCACTGCATTGTTCTGCTATAAAACAAGGACATCAAATCAAACCATAGAACAAAGATAGAAACCTCATAAGATCGCTATGTAAGGAACAAGTGGCTCTCGGCATGTATTGGATTACAAGATAATGCAACGTCGGCGACTCCCGGGCCAAGGTATAGGTAATTTGGATGCCCTCCATGCTATCGCGGCCACGACAACCTGCCCCAGCATACGATCGACCTCGACTGCAAGAAAGAACACGCATACCTTGTCAAACACTTCCTCCACCCCTTCACGCGTGGGCCCACTACACTCGGCGTAATCTGTTGCTCCCAGCCCCTGCGAAAGCCGCAAACCCTGTTCAGTCGAGATTGGCCGTTTGTGTTGCCGCGCTAGACGCTCGACGGTCTCGGCATTTTCTCGGAGGTCGGTCTTGAGCGCGACGAGGATGCGTGGTGTCTGGGGTTTATAATATGCGAGCTCACGAACGAAGCCTCAGAGTCGACAGCATAGCACACCAGAAACACGTCGGTTTGCGGGTAGCTTAGAGGGCGCAGACGGTCGTATTCTGCTGTGCCCACTGGAGTACAACAGGTATAACTTGAATAGATAAGCAGAACGAGAAACTAACCCAAAGTATCATAGACCGCATGAGTGTAAGGGTCCTCGTTCAACATAAAGGTGACGGCGTAGCTGTCCAAGATCTACCGCCCAGTTAGTCAAGCATTCGCTGAACAAGCCTACCACAACTCTAATATTAGGGCGTGCTGGGAAGTTGCCCGTCGTGAATGAGATGAGCAGTGCTGTCTGAGGGTCTCATTGGATTGTGTTGGTATCCCGTGGAAATATGTACCTTTCCAACCCCATTGTCGCCTACAATCACGGTCTTAATACTCTGCATTGCAAGTGAAGGTATGTCGAACAACATCCGAATTATATCAGTGACAGCTTGCGGACAGAATTGGAACAGTGCAACATGGATCGCATTCGTGAAAGTACCGACGGACAACAAACACGACGCAGGTAGACGAACCACAAAACAAGACTTACCTTGGAACAGATAAGTAATCCTTGAGGAATCATACCTGATGAGAGTGAGTATTGACCAACTTGAGAACAACCGAAACTTACCAAAAACCATAAGAAAAAGAGGGGAAAACGGGAACCACCCGCAACAGAAAAAAGAATCCAGAGTTGGTGAGCCTCTGAGATGGGAACCACCCACCAGGAATGTCGCGAAGGTGGTGAGCCCCCGCCAAAATGCCGAATCGGCCTTCCATCTTTCAACTCGATGGGCCCCGTCAGAGATTTGGCACGATCGACATCGCCCGTGCTCCTTTGAGCCGGAGCAACAAAGAAACCGGTATCGATGGACCGTCCTCGTCGTCCCGGTCATCCTCGAGTAGTCCAAAGCGCCCCTACAGGCGAGGGAAGTCGCGGATAGCGACAGCAGCAATAGCTGAGATCGTAGGTTTGATCCTTCACGGGGGCGTAAGAATTCGTCTATTTGACCGTGGTGCCGCAATGGGGTTGGCGGCGCAGAACTGATTATTCGTCTGCTTCCTCGAGGTTGTGAGGCGCACTGGTCGTGCGAGCACTTGGTCGTGCTAGCGGTATGGTTCCCGCTTTGTCCTGCGCGTTGCAAGGACAGCCACTGCGTTAGTGACTCTGAGCCTGCGTTGGCTCGCGACCCTATGTATTGGTCGTCTCCGACACGCGTTGGTCGGCCCGACACGTGATGGTCGGTGTTCGCGGTAAGTACACGCGTTTCAGCCGAATAGGCTGTTCGACTCGATGGTCGGATCCCAAGAGAGTTGGCACACCACCAAGGGGCTAATCGTACTCTTGCCAGAAGCAAAGAGCCGGGTTCAGCAGGGTAGCATCCTCGTCGTCTTGAGCAGCGGACAGTATACGCCACTGGCTGAGCCACCACCAGTGGTGGTGGTCCAGGGACAAGAAAAGTCAAGCGTGACACGTCACTGATCGTAAACTTTCCTTGGATCATGATCAGCGCTGATTGTTGCGAAAGCTAACACCATGGCCCATCCCGTCAAGGTGGTCGTCGTGGGTGACGATGGGATTGGCAAGGTCGCGTCCAGAGTGGTTTCCGAACGACTCGACTGACTTTGATTCATTTAGACCTCGTTACTCATTTCCCACTTCAAGGACCGGTTTCCGGTTGAAGATTGCTCAAGCGTAAACCACCACAATCTGTTACCTCAACTTTTTTTCATTTACTCGCAGACCCTCTATGCACACTCGGCTGAAGTTGTTATCAAAGGTAAAACATATCCCTACGAAATACTTGACACTGCAGGTTGCTTTCTGTCTTGTGTGTTGGATACATCTCTTCATCGCGCCTAGATGCCGACCGCCTCCGTCCTTTGAACTATCCTCAAACCGATGTCTTCCTCGTCTGCTTTTCCGTTGACTCTGCCGATTCGTTCGACCACTGTCGCGACAAATGGTTTCCCGAGCTTGAATACCACAGTCCGGGAGTACCTCGCGTGCTTGCCGCCACCAGGATTGACCTTCGCAACGATTGTGACACTGTTGAGGCCCTGGTCAAAGAACACAGACGCCCGATTTCAACTGAGCAAGGGCGCCGTCTCACACAAGAGCTAAATGCCTGGAAATACGCTGAATGCAGCGGCCGCACGAAAGAAGGGTTGGCAGACCTCTTTGACAAGGTATGCTGACTGTTTCAACTCTCGAAAATTACATGCTGATGCAGATCATTGTAGGTATTCGACGCTGCTTTAGAGGGACGGGCGAGACCCACCATTTCGCGACCCCAAGTTCGTATCTGCGTTGTATTGTAACAGGATCATGTCGATGTCAGTATTCAAGCAACCACATTCTTAAGATTGATCCAACTAACTGATGTTCAGTCTCGTCCAACCACAAATGGCTGACGCCGACTCAGAATACCGCAAACCGTGTCACTTTTGTCTTTGACAGATATGTCGAATGAGGTGTGCAGCGCGTTTCGATAAGGCGTATAATGGTTCGGTCGTACGTATCTTGTAGTTGTATCGTCGCTGTTCTTCTCTTTGTGGTGATCCCATCATTTCCGTGCGCGTCAACCTGCTACCTTCATCGACAAAACCACAACAAGCAGCGTTGATGTGAACCATGCCTCCTCCCCAATACTTCAAGGCGGTCGTGCTTGGAGATGGCGCTGTTGGGAAGACATCTCTGATTATCTCTTCCGCCACACAAAATTTTCCGGGTACATATGCTCCTTTGGTTCGTCGTCCTTTGCGAAATATACCACCTGTCTTGACCGACCTCCAGTGCGCGGATGGCTACGCAATAGACCTCACCGTTGGAGACAAAACATACGAGGTCGTCATGTTCGATACTGCTGGCGGCGAAGACTATGACCGCCTCCGGCCCTTGTCCTATCCACAAACTGACGCGTTTCTTCTCTGCTTCTGTGTCGCAATGCCCGCCTCGTTTGCCAACATCCGCGATCGCTGGGTCCCCGAAATCACGCATTTCTGCCCTGATGTCCCCTTCATCCTTGTCGGCACCCAAATTGACCTCCGCGAAGACGACAAGACGCTGAAACGCCTGAAAGGCAAGGGAGAACGGGTAGTGGAGACTGCGGAGGGAATGCGACGCGCGGTGGAGGTTGGGGCAGCGCGGTATGTGGAGTGCTCAGCGCTGACGAGGGATGGATTGCACACTGTTTTTGAACAGGTGAGTATCCTCGTTCTGCCTTTCTCCAGGTTTATCGATTGGAACCAGGCTATTTTGGCTTCCCTTGAAAATCCTCGGCGCGCGTCACTCGCTAAAAGCCCCAGAACCGGACGCTGTATCGTCACTTAACGACGCCGCCCGAAAGCAAAAACTGAGTCAATCTAAAGGTTGCTTATTTGAAGAAGCTATGACACTTAGGAAGGTGTTTTAGGACAACTCAAATCGGTTAGCTTTCCTCATCATGGCCAAGGACATGCGAACGAACTGACCAGGCAGCAGATGAGACGCGCAACTTCCCCTCCGTTATGAAGTAGCACCAAAAGCTGTTGTTATGCGGCAATCCCCGCGACCGGACTCGACACTCAATCCACGTCATATTTAATTGCTTGGTCTCGGATGAGATTTCGAGTGTCGCATTTTGTTGGAGCATAAGGATTTGAAGACAATACAACTCCCTTCGTCGCTGTTGGACGAAGCTGGCCCATATTACTTTCTGCGTTGCGGCTATTGGGCGATTGCAATGGCAGTCCAACGGCATTCGATCATAAACGTGACATCGTGGACATTGTCTGTGACGCTACTCTCCTCTCTTCACTTCATCCATGATTCGAGCCATCCTCGTCTCTCCAACCAGACCAAAGCGAGAAGTTCAAATTCGATCGCCCACTATAAATGCCTTGAACTCGGTTATGTCAAGTGGTCTTGACGGTCTCCCTGACCTTAGTTGGGACTCTGAAGACTACGTTTCCCAACGCTCTAGTCCTGGTGGTACTCCAACGTTCACACGGCTGCCTGCTCGGGAAAGACACCAAAAGATACGAGAACAGTGAGCGCTTACGCAAGAAGTGGGATGCGACGTGTTTACGATTTTGTCAGAAGAGATGGAGCACAAACATCAGTCAACGCCTTGGAGAAACGACTAGGCGACTTTGAAACCGAATTCGTATCGCTCAGACGTGAATTACAAACTGTCAAAGCCGAAAACCAAGCCGAAGTTGCATCGCTAAAGCACGAAATGGTAGAATCCAACGCCCAAATAACCTCCTTGAAGCGTCAAGTACGCTTACTCAAAACCGACAATTTCGACGCTAAAACCAAACGCCGCGAGGGCCTGAGATCGATGATCTACGATCTAAAAGCGCAAATTCAAGAGCTCGAATTGATAGAGAAGTTTGAGGTTATATCTTCTTCGCTTCGAGGTGTGTTCTCTCGATAGGAATGATGCTCCAACTCACTCTACATGAAGCATATAATGAGACACTTTTCGACCCTGCCAACATAAACAAACAAATGAAGACACTTCTCAAGGAGAATAAGCTCGACTACAGTGGGTTGTGATTGTGCTCATATGTCTTATTCATTGTCATGCAGTCACGCGACTATTGGATTACCGCCCCAAAGATGATCAGGAACTCGACACTGCAGTGTCCAGTCGACTCCAACTTCTCTCACCAGATGAACAGGCTTTCTGTCGATTCCTCCACTCCCGACTCAAAACCATGCGAGAGCCGCGGAACCGACTTCAGCACCCTCGAACGAGTCCAGACGTTGCCCGAATGTGGCTGGAAGACATTGCCCCAACGCATTCAACCACGTTCAATGCAATGCTTGCTCGGAAACCCCAGCTCCTCGAGAGGGATCAGACGGAAACCAGTATCTTTCCGTATGGCGCCGAGAGTAGACTAGAGCGGAAGAGAGTGAAACTCACACGGGCCGAGGAGGAATTGCAGAGCATGGACAAGGATGACATTGCCTCGCTCGGTGATGATGAATGACAAGAGGAGAGAGAGACAAATTGAGGTTCGAGACTGAATATTATACGTCGTATCATTGCCTGACTCCTTCAAGCTTCCAGTACTTGCGGCAAACCAGGGGGGTCGAGGTTGATGGATGAATCACAAAGCGCATTTGTATAGGATATTATTATTTCAAGAATTGAACCTTTCACGCAACATTGACTCGAAACATAGCTCAGAAACGCGAAATGCACACCCGAAACCGCAACTAACCGCCATCTCTCGTAGAAGAGCAACATCATCTCGGCTGGGACCGCTGGGTTGGGTGCGATGGATGGACGGGATGCAAGTAAGTAGTCTGGTTTAACCATTCAAGGTTGAGCGATGTTGGGTCCGATGATCTCCGATCGCTGAATTACCTAAACACTTCGTCCTCTCAAATTGACCACTCGAAAGACCGCGAGAGAAACGATGGGCGTTGGAGGTCAAGGGAGCGTGATGATACGGAAGTACTAGTCTAGAAACTTTGTCAACAGGTGCGTGCTCTTTATGGGTCTTTGGTGCTGGCAAAGTTTCTAATGCCAAACACTGGCAGGTTAACGTCGTTTTCATCCATTCCTCTCCCAAGCGACTGCATTGCCTCACTATTCAATGTTCAGCCTTAGCGAAATTCCACTCCAAACGAGCCATCAGCACGACAGCCTGAGCCCGTCGCCCAACCACCCGCGCGCTCGCCTGCGTTCAGTTCCAGAAGACGATCAACCGAGAAGTCTAGACAGATGTTGGAGTCGAGTTGTTGACCTTAGCCCTTCGACTTTCCCATCTTGGGACGAGATTATGGCAGAGTCGAAGCGCCGCAACATACAATGCCAACTTGAAATTGGCCTACGCTTTCCCCTCACGGTCTATCACGTCTTGGACGAAAGATCCGAACGGGAGCGAGCATCATCAAGTTGTCTGGTGGACAAGTCACCTGTTCAAGAACTTCCGGTCCGAAGATTCGGAAGATTACTGTGCCCCCACATAGGGTTAATTCAGACGACATATAAACGAGCACGAACTCGCCCCTGCTTCAATGCCTCTCACTTCCGCTCAGAAAGATAATCTCGAACAACTTCTGGTAAGAGTGTTTTCGCAAATCTTGGCCAAACTCACGCGCACGCAGAAAGAGGCGGTTGAAGGCCAACTTGTGCCAGCAGTTTCGTTTGCGGTCACTGATACAGAGGGTGTGCTCTATTCGCGCAACTTGGGCAACACCGTCTTCGACGATCCGGCGAGTAAAGCTGTGGATGACGACTCGCTGTTCTTTTACTGCAGCCAATCTAAACTTATCACCTCCGTGCGTGACTGCTAACTCGTCGTGTACGTCGCGCTAAGGCATACCCCAGATTGCAATCCTCCAGCTAATCGAGCAAGGGAAACTCTCTTTGTCGACACCTGCTTCACAATATATTCCTGAGCTCGCGAACACCGTCATTGCCACAGAGTATGACCCCGTTACCCGCAAGCCAACGGCGTCGAAGCCAAACTCCACCCCAATAACGGTCGGGCATCTACTCAACCATTCCAGTGGGTTGGACTATCAGATGTTTCTGACGTATTTGACTGGGCCTCGCGCGTATCTGTGCGATTTGTACTACCACGACTACTCCAAAGAAGAAGCCGGCAAAGAGATCGAGGCTTTTTGCCGGAACGTCAAGGTATGGCGCTTGATACGCGCAGGTCGTCTTCTATAGTGAGCGATCATTAGGGTGATATGCCAGGAATTCCTTTGAAATTCGAACCTGGGACAGATTGTAAGCCATATCGTGATTATGCCTGAACCTCTTCTCACTACAGTCCAGTTGCCTACAGCTTTGGAACGAATTTTGTGGGATTTATCGTTGAACGTGTGACGGGCAAGTCGCTGGAAGTGTATCTGTACGTTAGTTGGTTTGCTCTGAATGAGCTACTGCTCACCGAAATACTAGAAAAGAGCACATTTTTAACCCTCTCGGAATAACCTCGATCTCCTTCTATGTTGACACACCTGAGCGCAAAGCACGATTGCTCCCTATGACTTTTCGCGACCTCGCCACCGGAAAACTCGAGGCTTGGAGCTTCCCTCCACTTATCGATACAGATTCTAGTAAGCTTTTTTGACCAATGCAAGAGCGGACTGAAAATGGTAACGTAGTAACGTTGTGTCTTGGTGGTGTCGGCCTCTATGGAACGCAACACGACTATTTAACCCTCTTGCGGCATCTTTTACAGATTCATGGTTTGTGTTTGCGACGCAATCAGCCTCAGGATTCTCTGACCGTGCGGACAGCTGGCAAGGCTTCGAACCCGATTCTCAGCAAATCATCTGTTGAGTCACTGCTCTCTCCCTCACTGCCAGACAGCGCGCTCGTAGCGATGGGGGGCATGGCGCAGATGATGCAGAGCGAGCTCAACGTACCGCAAGGCAAAGCGCAGTTTTCGCTGGGGATGCTGGTCAACACTGTTGATATTCCGGGCCATCGACGGGCAGGGTCTGGGTGTTGGTTTGGTATGCACTCAGTTAGAAACATATGCCGGTTTGAAAACTTTGATCAGGCTGGGCAAACACGATGTACATGGTGGATCCGACGAGCGGGATTGCGATGGTCTTCGGAACGCAGTTGGTGTCAATTGTAGATGCCGAGTTCCAGAAGGCGAGCGAAAGGCTGGAGAAGGCTGTGTACCAGCTACTGGTCGAGACTTGAAAACAAGTATGTTGGTTGACCATAAACTAGAAGAAAAAGAAAACGATCAGTAGTCTGCGTAAGGTTACGCTTCTGATTCTGGGTCTCTCAGCAGCGGGGCATTGGAAATATTGAAACATGAAGCCCCTCAAGCACGCTAAACTTCTACCCCCATGCCTGGAGCTACAACCAAAGCGACACTCATCTCGCCCTCTGAACCAAACCGCGTGGTCTATATCAGCTCCCCCACGCTCCGAAGTCTGAATGAAGCCATGTCTAGCGGCATGAACGGACCCCCAGACCATAGTTGGGATTCAAGCGACTATGTCGCCCAGTTTCACGGCCCAGACAAGAGCGAGATATTTTCACGACCGTCCAAATCCGAGAGGCACGGAAAGGTGAAAGAAGTGTCAGTCGATGAACGTGCAAGGATGTCCTCTTCAATGACAAAAACCTCCAGAAACAAAACCCTCGCTGAACGGTTGGCGACGTTGGAAAAAGCGAGCAGGGAAGCTGAGGCGGAGCGCAAGAAGGATAGGGAAAGCATCAACCTCCTCAGACGGGAACACACCAAAGACATGGAAGAAAATGTCAAGCACCTTAATGCCGAGGTCAAGAGGCTGGAGATTGTAGAGGAGTATGAGGCTGTGGTTTGCGTGCTTCGTGGTGTGTGGACAGAAGAATTTACGAAATAATGCTAATTTTTCAAATCTAGCGTGCAACGATGAGATGTTTGAAAATACGAGAACGGAACATAGAGACATACTCAAAGCGGCTGGCTTAAACTGGAGTGTGTCTGCTTTTCCTCACCATACACTCAACTCATATTGTGATGCAGTTACCAAGCTGCTTTCATATTCTCCAGCAGGCGGTGCTGATTCAGATGTTATCGAAGATGCTGTCCAGGCGACACTTGGCCTTCTGACCTCGGAAGAACGTGCGTTGTGCCTGAGGCTGAATGAACACCTCAGGAATCACCGCCTTGAGAGACATCGAACACAACACCCGAAGATCAGCCCACTAACTGCATTTTCGTGGTTAGACAAGATCGTCCCCACCTTCCGAGAAACGTATCTGCACCTCCTTGCGCGAAAACCCAAAATTCTACACTCCCTACCATCTGATTCCCCGTCAGATCGCCATATCTTCCCCGAGGACACCTTGAGCCAACTGGATGCCACACGGGAACGATTGCAGGTGGCCACGAAGCGGCTTGAGGAGTGGAAGGAGGTGTAAAGAAGTTCGTTTTGGTGTGTAGTATGGCTGCCGCTCAGTGTAGAAGAATTATTATATTTTCTGAATTCAGATGCACAACAGCGCGTACTCTGCTCTATCTGAAGTTCGTCATCTTGTTCCACACCATTGGAAAAACGTAGAATCACACGAGTTCAAGGTAGCCGGTGACCTTGAATGCGACCGCTTTTGTCAAACGGAGGCATTCCTCGCTGCGCTACGCAGTCACTCGTTCGAAGTTTCGTTACAATTCGATGATGGCATCCAGATTTCTCGAATGTTCAGCGGTTCAGAATATCGGTGTAAATGAAGTGCTCGAGTTGCTACGGTTGCCGACAGTGGACTTGGGTCATCCCTGACTAGTTGACTATTCATGGATAGGTTGGCAGGATTGCTGTAGGATATTCTCAACGAAAACTGAAGAAGAAACAAGGTTGCATGGTCATATAGCTCAGAGGATGGGTAGAACATTTTTTTGGGTCTGGGGAAGATACAAGCAAGGGAAAAAATTAGTCGAAGAGACCGAAGCCCTAGAAAAATGTGTTAATATGGACAAGAGAGACAGGCTGAAAACAGAACGTACCATATCGTCGTCTGATTCCTCCTTTTCTTCTTCTTTAGCCTCCTCTTTCGGCGCCTCAGCAGCAGCAGCACCACCAGCAGCGGCAGCGGGAGCGCCACCAGCAGCCGGCGCTCCGCCACCAGAGCCAACATTTGACAGCAGATCTTTTACGTTTTTGCCCTCGAGTGCTTTCGCGAGCAGTGTGGCCCAAATCGGCTCGAGTTCGACGTTGGCGGCGGATGTGAGAGTGACAATTTTGTCAGACTGGAATGTAAGATTTAAGAAAACACACAAAATGGCCGCTCGGGTGATTACTCACGGTTATTTCGACGCCATCGTCGGCGAGGATCAGGGCGGCGTAGGTGGCGGCAAGGTCGGTTGAGGCCTGAAGCGAAATTTTGTCAGCGAAACCTAAGTGGATGCATCCAGCCCGAAAACGCTGCTAAGCCTCTATAACACCAGGAAATGGTAGGAAGAGGTCGCGGGCAGCGCTTGGGCGTTAAATTGACTTGCCATCGGAGTCTATGCGTCGGGAATGAGAGCGACGGTCGGAGGTGAGTTGGGAAGGGTGTGACAGGCCGTGACAATTTCCTTCAGCGCAAAAATTCAAGAAACAGTTCAACGCCGGTGGGTGAACTATAGTACATTTAAAGAGAAAACTCGCGACGCGCTGGCTATGTGGTACAACGGATACTTTATATAGAGTCCGATTTTGGAAACATCGAGTCGATATCAAAGCAGTATACTTACACAAGGATGACAAACAATTTGGTGCAAATTAGAGTCTCAAAGACGGCGGCTGTTATACCGTTATGACCTGAGCAATAACAAGCGCAGTGCGCACTATCGAGCAACCAGGCTGCAACCTCACTGCCAGCAACTTTGGTCTTCATCATCATGACCCGAGCGTCACACGTGTGACCCTTCCATCTCTTCCTCGTCATAGCCGATTGAGATGCTCTCAAAACGACTATTACTTCGTGCAACGACGGGTAAGACCGCCGTCGCACTGTCTCGTGGATGGTGCGTCTTTTCCGAACTATCCGGACTCTAGTAACCATTGCAAAAAGGGCAGCGACCATTCCGCAAACGAAACGCGCCGCTTTCCACTCGACGTGTCTTCTGCAGGGTAATTACTTCTCGTCATTCGACTCTCCATTGCTCAAGTACTCTTGTAGCGGAAACCGTCAAGGTCCCACAAATGGCTGAGTCTATCACGGAAGGCACTCTCAAGTCGTGGCTAAAGCAAGTCGGGGACAGCGTTGCTGCCGACGAGGAGGTCGCCACAATAGAGACTGACAAGGTTTGAAACACGTTCCTATGCTGACTGGGCCGGCTCATATGTTGCTACCAGATTGATGTTTCCGTCAACGCACCGACTGCCGGGAAGATTGTTGAACTGCTTGCTGGCGAAGAAGACACGGTCACTGTTGGCCAAGATTTGTTCCGGATTGAGCCCGGGGAGGGTGGTGCTGCTGCCTCCCCGCCGCCATCGTCAGAACCCAAAGAAGATACCCCGAAAGAGAAGAAAGATGAGCCGAAACAGGCCGAACCAGAGAAAAAAGACGCGCCAAAATCTGCGCCCCCTCCTCCCCCGAAACAGGAAGCGAAGAAAGAGAGCAAACCCGAGCCAAAATCATCCCCTGCACCATCGACACCTGGAAGCAGGAATGAGACCCGCGTGAAGATGAACCGGATGCGTCTCCGAATCGCTGAGCGTCTGAAGGAATCACAAAACGCTGCCGCATCTCTCACTACCTTCAACGAAATCGACATGTCCTCCCTCATCGACCTCCGCAAACGCTACAAAGACGCGATTCTGAAGGAGCACGATGTCAAACTCGGTTATATGAGCGCGTTCGCCAAGGCTTGCACCTTGGCTTTGAAGGAAATACCCTCTGCCAACGCGTCAATAGAGGGCGACGAGATTGTCTATCGCGACTATGTTGACCTCAGTGTGGCAGTTGCAACACCGAAGGGATTGGTTACACCCGTTGTGAGGAATGCAGAGAGTCTCGGTTTCGTGGGCATAGAGAAGGAGATTGCGGCTCTTGGAAAGAAAGTTCGTTGTGCATCCATATACCTAGAGATTTTTTTTTGCTAACCTGAACAACAGGCTCGCGATGGTAAGCTGACGCTGGAAGATATGGCCGGTGGTACTTTCACCATGTTTGTCGCTTCCTCTTTGGTTACAATTGTGATTTTATCTGTTCTTTAGCTCTAACGGTGGTGTCTTCGGTTCACTTTATGGAACGCCCATTATCAACCTCCCGCAATCTGCCGTCTTGGGCATGCATGCTATCAAGGACCGACCCGTTGTCGTAGACGGGCAGATTGTTGTCCGACCCATCATGGTCGTTGCCCTCACATATGACCATCGTTTGCTCGACGGTCGTGAAGCTGTGACTTTCCTCGGTAAGTAATCAAACCTCTCCCTCGTTCTTCATTTATATGGTTTGCAGTCAAGGTGAAGGAATATCTCGAGGACCCGCGGAAGATGCTTTTGGCCAACTAACTTTATTGGAGTCGGTGGATTGTCTAATTTACATTTTGTTGTCCTTTTTTACTATACAAGCTTCAGCAAATCACCAAGCACACCCATCGCTGTCACCGCTGCTCCAGCCCCCGCCCCTTGCACGATTAACGGTCTCGCGCCATATCGTTCGGTGTGGAACATGATGATGTTGTCGGAACCCCCGAGAGATGTCGCAAACGGATGCGTTGTTGGGTACCTTTCAAGCCCAGCACGAACGATGCCATTGACAGGGTCGACTACTCCAACAAATCTCAGGACTTGACCATCCTGGCTCGCCTTCGTCCGCAACTCGTTGAATTCCGCGTCAAACTCGGGCAGACGGGCAATAAACTCGTCGCCAGTTGGGATGTTTTCAAGTGCAGAAGGAATAAGCGATGCTGTTTTTACTGCAGCAAATGAATCGAGCTCCGGTAGCGAGGTTGCGGAGAGCGAATAGGTGGAAATCGTGCGAGCGAGGATAGTGAGTTTGCGAGCGACATCAAAGCCGTTCAAATCGTCTGCGGGGTGTGGTTCCGTGTAGCCTTTCTCGCGAGCGAGCTTGACCACAGCGGAGAATGCGGGCCCGTCGGACTTGCCAGTGGAAAATTCGTTGAAGATATAGCTCATCGTTCCAGAGAAGACGCCTTCGATTTTCACGATCTGAGTTAGTTAGAGGAGACACGAAAATACTGAAAACCGCAGGAACGGACCTTGTCGCCCGTGCCGACCAAATCCTTCAGAGTTGAGATAACGGGCAGTCCGGCACCAACTGTGGCCTCGTTGTACACCCGACCCCCGGTCGGACTGCGAATGGCAGCAATGATCTGGTCGTAGAGAGATTTATCGCCTGAAAAGGCCTTTTTGTTTGGTGTAATGACACTGATCCCGGCCTTCAGCCAGGTGGGGTACATCTTCGCGACATCTTCTGAAGAGGTGTTGTCGATGAGCGCGACTTTGGACTCCGAAACCAGAGCGGATAGTTGCTGTGAGAGTTTTGTGAGGTCGGGTTTGTCAGAAGAGGCGGCAAGCTGCGATTTCCAAGTTGATGTGAGCGAAGTGGAGGAAAACAGCGTGCGGGTCGTGGATGTGAGGGAGATGAGCCGGAACGGGGAAGAGGGAAGCGCTAAGAGCTGGGCTATTAGCTCTGAGCCCACAAGCCCTACCCCGACAACCGCGACGTAGATCTTCTGCGCGGCCATGGACGAAGAAAACAAGCGACGGATTCGGCAATCGGCCTGCCAAATCGGGACATCACACTTGTCATGAACGTTAACCTAGACCTGCTGGCAAAGCGGCGCATTAGTTGGACTCTGTCGCTACCGACTCGGCTCGGAGAGTCTACAAAAGGCACCATGCCTGGCTGCTACCCTCGCACTGACTATCAGAGATGGATTCAGCCGTCGCTGCCATGAATGAGATGCGTTGGGAGAATCGTATAGAGCGCTCTGCGAACAGTATGTTACATTATGTTCCCCGTACGCTCCAACTCCATCTCTACCCAGTGAGTGCAATTGCTCTTTTCCTCTGGGACTACTGTGAGTTGTTGTGCCTTTCCTTATATTCTGATGGTGAAACCAGCCCACAGGTTTAACCTTCCCTGACGAGGTACTTTTTGCTTCTCATGAATATAATTACGTGGCTAACCCTCTTCATTCCTAAGGTCAGGTACTTCTGGGTGAATTCATTTCGCAACGGACTGGATGTTTACTGAAGCTTCGGAGGGGTCGCGTTGGTCATTCGTGAAGCTTCTCTTCTTCGTGGTACGGCGTATGCCGTGAGACAGTCGGGTTTCCTAAAAATAACCCCAGAACCGATACTTCACGCTCGTCCTGCTGGTGGTTTCTGTGGTTTGTGCGTCTTCATTGAGAAACAGACGTTTTTTTTACGAATCCTTTCTCTAGTTGACATTTATCCGACCCCAGAGACGTCGACGTGAGCTCACATTCTCTGAAAACCGCATTTTTCTCAGCACTTGAAGATGTGTGTTCGCTGAAGTTACACAAGGAAACTGCTTGATGGCCTTCAGGTATAATGTGGGCCAAATTCGATATCTTCACTAGTGAGTACCCGTATAACCGTTGCCTACAATTGTGCTAACTCGGTGCCAGCATTGTTCTGTGCATTCGTCGTCGAAGGCATGATCGTCGCGTTCCGCACCTTCCGGCTTAACATGCCTTTTACTAGTCGTTATGCAAATCCGTCTATTTGCTATGTATGGACATGGTAAGAACAGCGTTAGCCCAATATGAGAGTATTGACACTAATAGACCGAAGAATAATGTTCGTAGTCTCCATGCTCTGCATGGGGGAGCTCATGAGCATGGTCACGCTTTCTATCGCGAAGTGCGCTCGCTTTTTTCAGTTTGTGCCAGTGCAGATTGCTGACTTGCTCAGGTTTGATCCGACTTTAGGTTGGTGGCGATCCCCCCTCGTTATCAGCTCATTCAAACCACCATTTTTCCAGCCGGACTCGCGCAAATTGCGGGACCAGGGACGATCCAGCCTCTCCCGTTCTGCAACAACATCATTCCATACAATTTTTTCCCCTACTGGTATTCGCACATCGTTTCTTGGTATTGATTTCATGGCTGAACTTGAAAATTCTGCTAGGATTGCGTTCATGATCTTCGATGGCATCATTCTCCTCCTCGTCATCCGAAAGGCCTACAGCCACTACAAGTTGCTGCCTGACAAATCATGGAAAGACGCTTCACAGACCCTTGTGGGTGTGCTGGCCCGCGACTCGGTGCTATACTTCGTTTGGTGAGGCCTGTTAACTTTGTCCTTTCACTGCTCACATTCGATAGTAATGTCGCTGTCTTTCTTGGGACGACGTTGCTCTGGCGGTTCGGGCCTCCAATCCTCGCAACAATCGCTATAAGTTGGTCGATCGTTGTGCCGTCAACCTCTGCGGGCAGGCTGATGCTCAATATACGCAAAGAAGCAAAACCGGCGAGTGACTTGGTATCCACGGCAGGCCTAAGTGGACTTGGGTCGCTTCGTATCAGTCCTCCTACCCAAACGAGGACAAATTTTACAATGGATCGAGACATATTCCCTGATGACGAGGACGAAATGCTTGAAGACGGTTTGTGGCTGACGTAAGCTGCGTTCGATAAACTGACGATTGTTCAGATATAGATTAGCCAGATGAATGTAGCATTATTCAATGTTAGTTCAGATGCTACCGTGGAATGTTGGAACACCGAAATCCACCACGAGATGGTCCATCATGAACGCGGTTGACCACGGAACAATAGCAGGAAAACCCTGACCATCCCCAACGACTTTCCCTGCATTAGTCCCGGATTCGAGCTCTGGCACAACTCGATGGATCGAGGTCGACCCGCGCAAGGTGGGCGTAAGAGAGGCCCATTTGTCTGTTGCAACGTCTTCGGGGTTGGGACCGGCGGGCAATGGTGGTTGCATCAAGGAGAAATACGACCCGAGCAGAGTTGTGCTAGCCGGTGCACTGAGAGACGATAAGACTGGTATGCGCCTAACCGATGCCTTGAAGAATGGCGCGGATGCATTTGGGTGGGTAACTGCGATGTTTGTGGTCTGCGAAGCATCAGTGGTGATTGAGAATTTGGCCACATGTTCTAATCGAGTCAGGTTCGCGATCTGGTAAAAGAGTGTTCGCTCACTTGGGATATTCCAATTCCTTCGACCTACCCATTAGTTAATTGCGAGACAAGACCCATCCGGGAAGAGACCAACCATTCAGGGTAGATTCCTTCGAGGAGACGTAAATTTGCGTGACTCGGAAAGCTTTCGTTCCGTTCGCGTACTTCCATCGTCCAGGGACGTAGATGAGCTCGTCATCTAGATTTGGCATCGGTTAGTCAAGTTGCCGAACCGCGATCGCCAACATACATGGACCTCATCGTCAAGTCTCAGTTACATATCGCTTCAGAATGAGAACCAAGAGCAACATACCCACGGGGGACTCAGAGTACGACACAACTTGGACAGTCCCCAACCCTCCAATGAACTCGCCGCCGGAGGAAAGGGCTTCGGCTTGATACTCCGTGGCCCATCCCGCAGGAAAACTTGTGTTATCCTTTAGACCGGAAACAGGGAAGACCCAGCTCCTCCCTTTCAGCTTCCAAGGACTGCAGAAGTTGATGTTGAAAAAAAGGTCAACCAAGTAGGAAACGACCAACGCAGGGGCGAGTTGGATGTCTGACATGGAGGAGGTGGAAGTAAACAGGACGTGAACCTCATGCTTAAATGACTTCCAGATGTGATTCAGGGACAGCCGGTACAAGAAAGATTTAGTAGGCTTCCAAGCCGGCATTCGTTTGGCGATTGAGCAAACGACCTGGATCAACGATGTCAGTTCTCAGGTCATGCGATCACTCTTGCGGTTCACCCTCCATTCCACCCTCAACCATTACAACCTGCCCTGTGACATGACCAGATAAAGCGGGCGATGAGAGCACGGCAATCTGAGTGGCGACGTCCCAGGGCTCTGCGACTTTCTTGAGCGGAGTTCTGAAAAAAGGAATTAGTATATGAGTGAATATAAGTCTTTGGAGAGGTTATTCCCCACGTTGCTAAAGCGCGGTAGACGACCAGCGGGTCTTTCAATGCCTCCTCAGCCATCGGCGTCTTAACCCAGCCTGGAGCCACCGCGTTGACGCGTCCTTTGGGCGCAATTTTCACAATCTCATTCTTGAGGGAAAGCGTAAAGCCGTACATGAGAGCTGTGATTTGGTCAGCTTTTGCTTTCAGTGCACGTAGCGAACGCACCGCTCTTGGTCACAGCATAATCTGCATGCCCTGCTTCACCATATTTTCCCGCCGTCGACCCAACAAAGCAAATTGACGCCTTATCTCTCCGGTCAATAGGCGCATCCTTGAGTTGTTTAAGGAAATCCCGAGCGACAAGAAAGGCGGCGGTTAGGTTGGTGTCAAGGGTATTGCGCCATCGATCGAGTGGCATTTCGGACACGGGCACGTCCTCGGTAGGCCATATTCCATGGTTGATTATCGCTACTTGTACAGGGCCCAAAGCAGCAACAGCTTCGCGGAAGAGACGCGCCACATCGTTTTCGGAACACAGGTCTGCCTGGCCAGCAAATACACGTGTGGAGCCAAAGTCGGATAGAAGACTTTCGAGAGTGGTGCGATTGGAATTGTAGTGGGCCGTTACTTTGGCGCCTTGTTCTTGTACTGGGTCAGTACAGGTATGGCTTGAAGGGCCACGGCTTACCAAGAAAGAGTCGCGCAGTCTCAAGCCCGATGCCGCCACTAGCGCCAGTGATCAGGACGTGAACATCTTGCAATTGGAGGTCCATGGGAGCAGATAGCTGCGTGATTCACCCCATCACTCGGTTTGTGGTGGGAAATTTGGGAAACGATCTCAATGAGCACGTGAGACATTTTCCCCCATCTTCAACTTGGTCACCGTCTCTTCAATGCTATCAATTCGCCCGCACCGAGCGCTTGCCTTCGAGCTGCCGTCCTCCGAGTAAGTCATATCCGGGCTAGCGCAAGCTGCCGGTGCAATCATACCCGGCGTTCGTAGTCGGGTTAACTTGTTTCATCGGGCTATGATACAGTTCTTTCTTTCGCTTCCGCATCGAGCAGCCCACACAAGACAGCTTTCTCTTACTCTCGACCACCATGAGGCCACTGCCGTTTTGCGCTTTAATTCTTCCATTATCCGCTGCACTGAATCCAGATACCTTGCTCGATGGCTTCAAACGAGCAGTGGACTGTGACTCGTGCCACGCATTGCTTGTCCCTCTGAAAGGACTTGCCGAGCTGGGAGACGGCACTTTCGTCAAGACATTGGTAGCAACCTGCAAGATCCTTCATGTGAGAATCGTACTCCGACTTATAAGTCTGCTAGCCTCACATAAACTTCCAGCTTGAAGACGACGACGTTTGCACCGGCGCAATATCCGAGCAAGGGCCCATACTTGCCCATGCACTGAGGAGTATATCGCCTTTTGGCAAAACCGCGACAAAGCTCTGCGAGGGAACGTTTGGACTCTGCCAAACACCTACTGTCAACGAATATACCGTCCCGCTTCCGGATCGGGCTACTCGCGTTGCTGCTCGACCCAGCGGTAAGAAGCCATTCCAGGTGGTCCATTTCAGCGATGTTCATATCGACCGTCAGTACGTGGTGCGTGAAGTCCGTCTGCCAGGTTATTGAATATACAATAACAAGGTGCAGACTGACGCAGATGCGGACTGTAACAAGCCGATTTGCTGTCGGAATTTCCCAGAGAACCTTGGTCCACCCAAAGAGCCAGCGGGTCCATTTGGAAACCGTAACTGTGACAGTCCGGGTGCGTATTACGCGTCAATTCGGGATAAGGCTTGGTTGAAATCAAAGTTGTCCAGTCGTCCTCGCCAAGTCACTGCTCAAGAAAATATCGGCCATGCATGCGTGGAGCATATTCACAGGAGATGTGGTCGAAGGTACGGCAAGCGTGATTCTCTCAAAGGTCTAACCAAAATACAGCCGCTGTTTGGCAGATCAACAAGACGTAGCTGGATAATAAAATCTGCTCACAAACTTGACTCACATTATTATCGTTAGTGAAGTAACAGGCGATATGAACTCCTTCAATCACGCGCTTGAGTCTGTCTTGGGCAGTCCCGTATTTCCTGCCATCGGTAAGCTCAACAAACCACTCGGTATGGCGGAAACTTACGATAAGTCATTGACAGGGAATCAGTGGGTGTTAAATCTGGGTTGGACGACAACATACCTCTTATTTTGTTGCAGTGACGCGGCTCCTGCAAATAACTTCCCATTGAGCTCGAGCAGCAAATATAATGCTCAATGGGTGTTTGATCTTGTTGGAAAGGAATGGGCAGTAAGCTGCTTGATTTGTTTCATCACCAGCCAAAGAAATCATCAACAGCACTGGACCGACATTTCTGCTGCTAGAGAGGTTAAGCATTTCTCTGGAAGCTATTCTGTCGAGGTCCCTGGGACGAATCTTCGTATCATATCAATCAACACAGTGTACTGGTATAAACAAAAGTACGCATCCACCTCTCAGGAGATCTACCAGCTAACGAGTCGAAGCTTTTGGTTATATGCCTCAGAAACCCCACCGTAGAGACCAAGTCCCAACCGTCATCATTGGATCTGATTTATGATCAGATATGATCCGCACGAAATTTTGGCGTTTTTGGTGGAGGAACTACGCGAGGCTGATAAGGCGGGTAAGCGTGTTTGGATCATCGGACATATGCCACCTGGGAATCAAGACACATTCAGCGACCAGGCAAGTGCAAGTTTCGTGTGTCTGCCATGCTCACAATGACATGGTTGCAGTCGAATTACTACGACCAAGTGATCAAGCATTACTACGGCATTATAGCTGGGCAGTTTTTTGGCCATACTCACTACGTGCGTCCTTAGTTTGTGTCCCTACTCGCTGCGCCGTTCCTAACTAGGCAAGGACAGGATGAATTTCAAGTCGCCTACTCCAATTACGCAGATCAGAATGTTGAAACGGCGATCAGCGTAGCCTGGATAGGACCAGCGTTGACACCAAGAAGTATGTTCCAGGCTCTATGCAGGAACAAACTCGAACTTTGCAGGTGGAAATCCGGCCTTCAAGGTTTATGATGTCGATCCAGAGACATATGAGATAATGGATGCTAAGGTGTACATCGGTGAGTATTTACGCTGGGAGGAACCTATTACTTAAGCCATCTCCTCAGCTGATATGGCAAACCCTAATTATCAGGTTGAGCGTGAGTTGACTTGAGCAGCCCGTATAGCAAGGCTAATACTCTGAAGCCGAGTGGGGCTTGTATTATAGTGCACGAGAAGAATATGGGCAACTCTTGAACGCTCTTGATTCAAGTACACCTCTCGATGCTAAATTTTGGCACGCGGTGACGGAAGCATTCGAGAAGAACGATACTGCCTTCCAGCGTTATAACGAGTTCAAAACTCGGGGAGCGCATATTCAACCGTGTAACGATACGGTTTGTAAAAAGACAGCGATTTGTGGGATGAGGGGTGCTAGGGCGGAAGACAACTGTGTAAGTCAGTTGAAGAGCGGTATATTATTGACTGAGGTTATCGAACAGCATGTTGTGACGCCCACAACAACCTTTGGCGATACGGAGCGACAAGACGTTTCGAGTCAGCAGTGCGAAGGGGCAGGAATTGGCCATCTTCTCCGTCTCCTGCCCAATCGGCTTGGAAATTTTTCTGTAGGTGGTATACCTTCGTAGATTTGTCTTCCGACGATTTCGCAAAGACAACGGAACTGAAGAAGACATTGCAAAGTTTGAAAGGCCATTTCAAAGAGTTGATCCCAGTCGATATTGGGTCCGTCGATGACTTATAGATTCGGTTTGTACCACTGTGTGTAGTAAGGCTTGAAAAGGAACTGGATTAGAGCGGCATTGTGAAGCTCGTTTCGAGTCATACAAGTAATACTTCCTGATCGTAGTTGCATGCTGATGGTTGTCAGTGGACAGTAAAATCTCAAGATCTGAGTCTCCCACAAGCGACCGAGTAGGTTGCTTTTGGAACATAGTAGTGGAGGGCTCGAGGAATCATCATTGCATATGGTGTGAATTTTGCATGAAGACTTGTGTGGGGCGAGAACAGAGATTCGAATCCAGGGTCAACGGTCCACGTGACTTCGGAGTTCGGCTGCGAAAACTTTGACTTATCTTGCGCGATGAAACCAAATTTACGCTCGTTTCTCTTCTTCTCTCTTCACCTCCATGCTTTACCAGCTTGAGATTGCGTCAGCTCTCACCGGCTGCGCAGTCATCAGCGCCGCTTGCTTGTACCTCAACTGGCCGACCGAGGGCAAGATTCAGCTGCCAGTTCATGTGGACGATGATGACGGTGGCGAAGACCCTTTCGATGTGACGAGAGCAGAGGATGTCATTGACGGTTATCCCATAGAGGCAGAAGCATTCTGGCGAAAGGTCCGTTAATTTTGACCTATCCCATGCGGGACACTCAAAAGACATACAGTCCAAACGGCGCAAATTTTTTCTCGCCCTGCTCTTCGCGGCCGTGACTGGGCTTCAAGCTGCCAGCTTGGGGCTTTCCGTCTTTCACAAAGAGGAGAACAGCCAAATCATTACCTACGCCCTATATCTCGCATATGCGCTTTATTCATTTGGATTCGCTGTGTTTGCGGTCAAGGGGAACGATGTACAGTCCAATTCGGAGCGAATTTGGCACTTGTGTGCGCTCTCGACGATTCCTGCACTCTCCCTGGCTTTCATAGCTATTCTACCCAGCAACACTATTGTGATTTCCAGTAACACGATTGACCAACTATGGTATGGCGTTTTGGCGGTGTACATTCTCGCCTCCGTAGTCTCATGGACAACGCCCCTCGGACCAGCGCTTCACTACCCACCCGACGACATTTATTCACCCAAGACGGTGGCCACGTTAACCAATACCGACCAGGAGAACGTTACAGGCGTTGTGGGCTGCTCACCCTGGGACATGCTTTTCTTCTCTTATACCACCAAAGTGGTCATGCTAGGCAACACCGCCGAGAGCCTCGAAATTGCGGACCTTCCTATCGTACCTGGGAGGTCCGTGTCTTGTCGTTCAAATGATTGATCTTTGTTGATTTACTGCCCAACCAGCATGAGAGCCACATACAACTACTCGCTCATGAAGACGGCCATGCGCACGATCAAACTACGAATTGCCTCATGGAAGCCAGCTGCAGGATCTGGTGCGCTGTTGGCCTATCGCCTGCTGCGCCTCAATGCCTGGGGTCTCTTTGCCCAATTTACACTCGCAGCCACCGCGGCGGTTCTCTTCTATGCTCCACCATTCTTCTTGCGAATGCTTCTCGCATATCTCGAAACGGATCCTAATCGGGAAGACCCAGCATGGGGCTGGGTATGGGTCGCCTCGCTCTTTGCCACGAATGTAATTTCTTATCTACGTGCGTTCCACCCTCCAGTTTGTCTTTTCTTTCTACTGAATTGTCTGCCCTTCAGTTACCGGTCAGCTGTGGTCTCTTTCCACGACTACTTTGCAAGTTCGCTTCCGCATACAACTCAACAGCATCCTATACGCCAAGACGCTGGTCCGCAAGGACGTTGCGTCTTCTGCATCTACCCAAGCGAAGGACAAGGATGAAGAGACAAAGGAAAGCGACAAAAAGGACGAGGACGACTTTTCTTCAAAAGCCCAAATCATGACACTGATGTATGCGTCGGCTGATTGTCTAACCCGTCGAGTTGACACCCCGATTTAGGACCACCGACGTCGATCGAGTCAGCGAATTTGCCTGGCACTTGTTTACCCTGATTGGTGGGTTCAAGCCTAATTTGCTGCAACAGTGGCTTACGATAATTAGATTCGCCCATCGAAATCGTTGTTGGTTCTATATTCCTCTACAAACTACTAGGTATCTCGTGCCTGTTTGGTCTCGCGGTAACCTGCTTGTTCCTGCCAATGAATCACTTCGCCGGGAAAGTTGTGAGTGGTAATAGACAAAACCAAAGGACGTCACTTACCGTTTTATTAGGTAGTTAGTGAGTATCACATTTCTTGTTCTTCAATGTCGCCGAACCTCTTCAGATGCTCAGGACAATCTAATGAAGGCACGGGACGAACGAGTTGCGTTGATGAACGAAATTCTCGGCGCTATTCGCATGCTCAAGTTCATGGCATGGGAGCGAAGTTTTGAAGCCAGAGTGTTGAAGATCCGCGCAAAGGAGCTTAAATATCAGAAGCTCAACTACACTATCGAGGTAAGACAACCTTGATTCGGCTTCCGTCTTATCCTTAATGCATTCACAGGTCCTGTGGAACGCGATTTGGAATGGATCACCCATGTTGGTGACATTGGTGTCATTCTGGCACTATGCGGTCGTGAGGAAGGAGGTTTTGACCCCATCCGTTGCTTTCACTTCGGTATCTTCATTATTTCTTTCCCATGGGAAACTTTTTGACACTATTTTAGATCATCAGTAGGTCCAACCAGCAACTTTTTCGACCGGCATTCATTCGATCCAGTCTTCAACGAGATGAAATTTGCCCTCAATGCTCTTCCAGAAACCTTGATCAACATGCTTCAATCACTAGTCTCCTTGCGTCGTATCGAGAAAGTGAGTACATCCTTCTCACGTACACCATTTTTAACATTTTGCAGTACCTTAATACTGCAGAAGTTACCCCTGTCCCGCCACTCTCTGAGCAGTCTTCGACAATCGCTTTCCAGTCATGCACGGTCACGTGGCCTCAAGATCGTAATGCTGCCAGTGCAAGTGCGACACCTTCCGCCGCATCGACGCCTCGTCACAAGTTCATTCTCGTGGATCTCTCTTTGCAATTCCCCCCTGGCCAGCTTTCACTCGTTTGTGGCAAACTCGGGTCCGGAAAAACTCTGCTGCTCTTAGCACTTCTCGGGGAAGCGGATATCCTCAGCGGCCAGATGCTCTGTCCTCGATCGCCGCCCAATGCGCTTGCGGAGTTCGCCGGAAAGACGATATCGAAGGAGCAATGGATTGTCTCTGGCATGTGCGCATTCGTTCCACAGGTGAATCGTATCAAGCTTTATCAGTTTCGTCTGCTCATTTCTCTCTAAGGCTGCGTGGCTACGAAATGCATCAATCAAAGGTAATAATGATCTTGATCTTTTCCGCACAACTCAGTGCACTCTTCACAGAAAACATCCTTTTCAATCTGCCTTACGACGAAGAGCGTTATCATCTCACGCTTGAGGTCGTTCTACTTTCCAGGGTTGGCCATCCAGTTGCTGATCAAAATTAGGTCTGTGCTCTGGTCAGTGACCTAGAGATTATTGAGGATGGCGACGAAGCGGAAATTGGCGAACGAGGGGTATGTTTCGATACTACGTCCTAGCATCCCGCTGACCCGACTCGCAGGTAAATTTGAGTGGTGGCCAGAAGGCAAGGGTATCGCTAGCCCGCGCAGTTTGTTAGTTTGGCATGTCTTGGCATCTTCACTGCTAATGATTTCGTATAGACTCTCGCGCATCCATCCTCCTCTTAGATGATGTTCTCTCTGCTGGTGAGCTGTCCGATGTATTGGCTCGGCGCTACTGAGTTGATTGATTTCTAGTCGATGCGCATACCGCTCAGCATCTCTACAATAACTGCCTTCGAGGGGAGCTGATGAAGAATCGGACGGTCATCCTCGTGTCGCATCACGTGCAACTCTGTGCACCAGGTGCCGCCTACATCGTTGCACTTGACAATGGACGAGTCCAGTTCAAAGGGGACAAAGACGCATTCCAAAGTTCGGGAGTCATGAGTAGCTTGGTGCAGTCGACGACTGCAAACGAAGAAGATCAAACTGAAGCTGCGATCGAGACTTCCATCGAGGGCAAACCTGAAACCGAAGCCACCACCTCCACGATCCAAAACGCCATCAACAAAAAGGATGCCAAGGCCCCACGGAAGCTCATCGAGGAGGAGAAACGAGCCGTCGGACGTGTGGCACGGGATGTTTGGGCAACCTACATCCAAGCTTGTGGCGCCAGCGGCTATTGGGCAATCTTTGTGTTGGTTTTCGTTGTCGCGGCCCTTGGACCGGTGGTGGAAAACGGCTGGGTCTCTTATTGGTCACGAGATGACGGGTCAAACTCCGCTGTTTACTATATCTCCATCTACGCTATCGTGAGCAGTGAACGGTTCCTTGAATGTCTTCATCGGTGCTGATGTACCTCTAGCTCAGCACGTTAGGTCCGGGATAGACCCCTCTACACTGACCAAACTCATATTGACATTTTTCAAGGTTTGATTCTGACCACCGTGAGATGGTTTGTGCTATGTGAGTTGTGTTGTTCACCATTGAGCCAGGCTAATCATGATCAGACCGGGGATCTATTCATGCCTCCACTGTGTTGTACAAACGACTACTTGAAGGGGTGCTGTTTGCGAAGATTCGTTTCCACGATACTGTCTCGCGTGGACGCGTTTTGAATCGCTTCGGGAAAGATTTTGAAGGTATAATCATGTGCTCTCCATAATTTCCATCTCATTTCTCTAGGCATCGATAGCAACCTGTCCGACAATTTTGGTCGTTCCACTGCCTACTTGATTTCTTCGATTGTGAGCTATTTCTTAGTGTCTTTTCTCTCCTGCTGATTCAGCATCAGACCACCATCATTGCCATCAGTGTTGTTGGCGGTGTTCCGTTCATTATTGCGTCGATCCTCACTGGCATCTTTTATTACAACGGTAGATCATTTCATCCAGACCCGGAACCGAACCTGATTATCTTCCTAGCTGCGAAGGTCTATGGTCAGACATCACGCGATATGCGACGACTAGATTCCGTCGTAAGCCTCTCCATTAATTCGCACGACAATTATTGATAAACTTCAAAGACCCGTTCGCCATTGTACTCGATGTACTCGGAGACGATTGCTGGAGTTGCTATTCTCCGAGCATTCGGGGCATCGTCCAAATTCCTGCGCGACATGCTCCGTTGTGTTGATACCGTATGCACCATTCGTCATGTCGCGCCACCACATCCTCTGATTTGCATAGAATTCCAACCCATACTACTGGATGTGGGGTGTCAACCGGTGGCTCAGTGTAGGCTTCTTACCCGTGCCTCATCATCCACCACCTCATCAACCATAGATTCGCTTCAACATTCTCTCGAGTGGCATCATGGGTGCCATTGCATTTGTTGCTGTTTTTAACGGAGGGATTTCGGCCGCTTTGGCTGGCTTTGCCCTTGCCTTTGCTAACACAATTACCAATGACCTGTTCGTTCCCCCATCTACGGGCGTTGGGTTTCGTAGCTCATGTTGTCCGACAGGCTGTTTTTGGTTCGCCGGTTTGTTGGCCTGGAGCAATCAATGGTAACTCCGATGTCCCGAACCTCATCGCCCGCGTTAAACATCTCGCAGGTCGCACTTGAGCGTGTCAAAGAGTACTCAGAGCTTGATCGGGAAGCACCAGAGTTTGTGGAGCCCAGACCAGACCCAACATGGCCGTCCACAGGGGCTATCCGTTGCGAAGATCTCGTCATTCGCTACGCGGTAGGCTGCCATTTCAGCCCACATCACCGTCGTTTATTCCAGATATAGCCGGAGTTGCCGCCTGTTCTTCATAACCTCAACTTTGAAATCAAACCAGGAGAAAAGGTATATCAATTGTTATACTGTTTTTTTAAAAAACCCATCCATCATTGAATAGGTGGGCATTCTAGGAAGGTATGATTGTCCTAATTTGGTTGCATGCCGCTAAAAAACCAATTTACATAGAACCGGTTCCGGCAAGAGCACATTGGCGCTATCTTTCTTCCGCTTCGTCGAACCAACTGAGGGAAGAATTGTTGTTGATGGCCTAGATATTTCCAAAATTGGACTGAGTGATCTGCGTAGTAGGATCACGATCATTCCTCGTGAGTTCAGCGTCTCTGGTAGGCAGGAGAGAGCTAATTATGAACAGAGGACCCAACAATTCTGAGCGGCACTCTCCGCTCAACTCTCGATGTTTTCGACGAATATCAAGACGCCGACATCTTCGAGGCGCTTCGAAGAGTGCACCTTATCCCCTCGTCGACTTCTGAGCTGCCGGAAAATGAGGAGGACCCAACAACGGTCAATGTTAACATGTTCCGCAATCTGGACTCGGCCGTTTCGGAGGGTGGCGAGAATTTCTCAACGGGAGAGAAACAGTTGCTCTGCATGGCTCGCGCAATTCTTAAACGCTCGAGAATCCTCGTCATGGATGAAGTACGTACCCGCCAAGCTCAGGGCTATTTTCGCTGCAGGCTAACCGCTTGTGTCTGTCAGGCCACGGCAAGTGTGGACTACGCAACAGACGAGCTGATTGGGCGGACCATACGGCAAGAATTCGCGGAGAGTACAATTCTCACGATTGCCCACCGTCTTCGGACTGTTATTGACTACGATCGGGTGGGTGCCATCGCGTGGTCGTGTTTGCGGCGTCTGACCCAACAATACCAGGTGATGCTTCTCGACCAAGGGAAGATCGTGGAGTTTGACTCGTAGGTCGTCGGTGTTTCTTGGCGGGGTGGATGCTGATGGGTTTTTTTTTGCAGTCCGGGTGTTCTTTTGAAAAATTCCCACTCCAAATTCCACGCACTGTGCAAAGCTACGGGCAAGCAGGAGTTTGCGACACTGAAAAAACTAGCCGGGATATGAAGGATAGATCTAATAGAGATGACGCGGTTAGCAACCAGCGTTGGCCAGCAAAGACTCTCAGGCACTGGCACCTGTCTTCAACTATTGACACCGTGGTCCGTTCGTTTGGGTAGCACCAGCTGATGACTGACGAGTAATAATATCGACTGCTTTTGCGCCGGAACCCCGGTTATTTTGGAGGCTACTTGGAGAGGCCGGCGAGCGGTGCCATGCAGGTCTGCTCCCAGAAACGGTGCCAAGACAAAGGTAAAAGTTGTTATAAGACCCTTTAGATCGTGCGCAAGGCCGAACGCCACGAGCCTTGCTATAACCTCCGCGGATGCTGATCAAGCTGGGATCAAGCAAGTCAGGCTCTGGGAATGTAGGAGTTAAAAGGTACCCAGGCCCGTCGAAACCGCTTCTGAGTGTTCGCATTCTTGCCCCCTTCATTCTTCACCAGGTCGACGTATGTGCTCTTGCGTCTGGGTGTGGGCTTCTTTCTGAACTCCGTTGTTCGCTAGGTCGACGCGTCTGACATGCCGCCTGGGCTGGTCCTCAGAGGTGCGGTTTTTCGTTGCACGATTTTTTGAGGTAACTTGCGCAGGTCAAGGAGATGCTGGTTTTTCGTCCTTTATGGCGCGGCTTTCGGGTTGGTGGTGGTCGAGACGCGACAACGACGACGACAGCAACAGCGACAAGAAAGGCCCTGGCTTCCGTAAATTCAGGAATAACAACAGTGGGAATGGCGGGGGCGGCGACAACGGGGGAGGCAAAAACTCGGACAATGACCGTGGGGATAACAGGTCGAAATCTGGCGGCGGCGGTGGCGGGTCAGATGACGGACCGGACGCTAAGGACCCAGAAAAATCGCCAACGCCATCGCCAACACCCAGCCCTCAGAGTCAAAGTCCGAGCCTGCCCGTTTCTTCTGCAACTGTGAATGGCGCCAAACCAGGGCCCACTGGCGGTCCTTTCCCGGGGCCATTTGGCTGCTTCCCGGGCCAGTGCATCCCGGATAACGACCCCCGGGTGCACTACTCGCCGAACTGGTCAATCGAGAGTCTGCCCTTCTTCCAAACCGCCCACCAAACAGAGACTGTGGGCTCTACGTTAACGCTGACATTCAACGGGAGCAGCATTACCGTCTTTGGGTCTATACCGTCCAGCAACTCGACCCACCCGCCGCCCACTGCTGCATACGCTATCGACTCCGCATCGCCACTCGCCACTGCAGAGCCTATGGCGGCCCAGCAGGTCCCCAACCAGCCCCTCTTTTCCGCCACCCATCTCTCCGCTGACCAAGAACACACCCTGTTCTTGAATGTGACCTCCGTTCAGGCAGCTTCGCCCTTTTCTATCGACTACTTCATCGTCACTCCTTTCGGCTTCCCTAGCGCATCCTCCTCTGGCACTTTGGGCTCCTCTGGCGCTGGCGCAACCGCGGTTGGCGGTAACCGGGCTACTTCGAATAGGGCAGTTGGCGTACTAGCCGGTGTCCTGAGCGCCATTATATTCGTGCTGATTGGGGTACTCGGCTTTCTCGTCTTTGTCCTGCGCGCCCGTCGAAAGCGGCAGCAAGAAACACGCAGTCTCGCAAGTTCGTCGTTTTACCTTATCTCTCTTGATCTAATCGCTGATCTAACTTACGTAATCCCAGGCTCTCTTTTCACTCGCACGGAATCCATCCTCGGGTGGTCGCGCGTCCCCTCTTTTCGTTCGAATTCGCTGTATCCCTTCCAGCACGCCGAGCCAGGCACCAGTATATCCCAAAAGTCCCTTCGCGCCGAGTAGACACTAGGACGCTCGTCTTTTCGTCGTTGTACCCATTTGTTCCCTCTGTGTATTATTATACGCGTTGTACCAGTTCCAAAGCAGGGAATAGAAAGTCTACTGTAGAATAGTTGGCCAACATCATATCGCCCAAACTGGAGCCTTGTTCATCATTATTATGCAAGCTATATGGTTCTAATGGAAAGCAAGAATCGAGAGTCTACTGTAGAAGAGGTATATATAAAGTACTCAGGGATTCCACATCTTGCTCGTGACAAAAGCAAGCAGCTCGCTGTCGCTCATGCGACGCAGGTCGGCATTGCGATCCACACCAGCAGTTTGGGCAGCCCGGATGACTTGCATAGCAATGAACGCACTGATTTCGCGAACTGCAAAGGAATCAGAGAGAGCAGCTGGAACGAAGGAAAAAAGAAACGCACTGCGCTCGATTTGGGGGTAAAGCAGGTTCATGTCCTCCTCCTCTGGGGTGAGCGAGTTCGCCAGACCAAGTGACGAAGCCTCCACCATCGAGTCCGTCACGCTTGAGCAGCGGGCAAGAATCGCGCCGAGGCCCAGACCCGGGAAAATATACATATTGTCTGAAAAAAAGGGCCGTCAATCGCGGGACAAACTCGGGGACTTGTATGGCTTACTGCCTTGGCCCGGATAGAGCATTTGACCGCGGTGCTCAAGCTCGTGGAACGGCGACCCGCTGGCAAAAAGAACTTTGCCGTTCGTAAAGCGGACGGCATCTTCAAATGTGCACTCTGAAAGTTTCACTGGGTTGCTGAGCGGGAAAATGATGGGCAGGGGGTTGAGTGCGGCCATAGTCTGGATAACATCTGGCGAAAAGGCACCCGACGTAGTCGAAAGACCCATCAGGGCCGTTGGCCTAACATATTCAACGACATCGAGCAGGTTTTTGATTGGTGGTCCAGTATAGTCCGTTCGGGCAAAGTCTAAAGCAAAAGTCAGGTCACCAAAAGTGGATGTGGAGAATACTTACATTGCTTGTGCTCTGCGAGCTCGCCGCGAGAAGCATACACTAAGCCCTGCGTGTCGACGAGGTAGATGCGGTTACGCGCCTCCTCCTCTGAAAGACCTTCCAGCGTGAAGAAACTCATGAGTTGCATAGCAACACCGACACCCGCGGAGCCAGCCCCAAAGAACAGAATACGATGGTCTGTGAGGGGTTGTCCAGAGGCAGCGGATGCCAAACGTGCCGCATTGATGAAGCCGGACAGAACAACAGCGCCAGTGCCTTGGATGTCATCGTTGAACACAGGGTATTGGTTTCGGTATCTGGGTTGCCATAGATTAGTACTTGAAAACAAGAATATTTGTGTTTGAACGTACCTCTCGAGATAGAGGAATGCATGATCGGTTGAGAAGTCTTCGAATTGAACTAGCAGTCTAGGAGGGGTGTTAGTATCAATATCTAATATCTACGATGGCCATAGCAACGCACTTTGGAAATTGCACGCTCATTTCGTGCATGAACTCGTCCATAAATTCCGTCATTTCGTTGGTGGGGACTCTTCGCTTCCGCATGCCCAGGTACAAAGGGTCATCCAAGTACTTCTGGGTGTTGGTCCCAAGGTCCAGACAGATCGGGATGGTGGACTGGGGACGGATGCTAGTGCCAAGTTAATTGTCCGAATGTAGCATGGACAATGTCAACATACCCTGCGCCAGCGACATACAAACTGAGCTTTCCAATCGAGATGGGCATCCCGTTGATTCCGAGGTCACCGAGACCAAGGATGCGAGAACCTAGGTAACTGGAATCGATACCTAAAAATAGGATTGACGACCAACGCACCATCTGTTACCACGCTGATGCGCGCATCGTCGATCTTTGGCCATGCACGGAGGACCGACTTGATTTTGCCCTTGTCTTTGATGGAGGCAAACTACAACAAGATGAGGGGGGGTTGGATGGAGGTGGAATTATGTACGAGGCCTTCAGGACGGCGGTAGTTGTGGCTGTATTCCTGGCAAGCCTGGCCAACTGTCGGGGTATATATGATAGGGGTAAATTCGGCCATATGTTTCAGGCAGAGGCGATAGAACATATGAGGATCGTGTTGCTACAGTGATTCAGCAAATGTTCGAACCATTTGAAAAGCATGCTACCTTCAGTGCGCTCAAGTAGATGTAACGTTCCTTGATGAGCTTCAGTACATGAGAAGAAGAGGTAAAACGTTGCGCACAATATCAGACACTTTGCCGCGAAGCTGGGTCATGCAACGAGTTTCGTGCACCTCGTCATCGAGTTCTGGGGGAGTAAGACCGTGTTGGGGCCTGGGCGGCGCTGAGAGACATTAATTTTTATAACTCGCACAAGCAATCGCGTACGTTGAGGAGCCATTTTGAGTTTTTGGACACCATTTTGCCTGAAGAATCATCAGAATAAGTAAGAGTGGATCGGAACAACGAACCAGACGGGAGTAAGAACAATAGTCATAACGAGAAGAATCTGGAGGAAAGGCGGTCTATGTAGTACACAGTGGGGGCAGAGGACAAATGAGATTGGTTAAAAGGAAAATTTTCTTAACCGAGTCGTATATATGTGGGTTGCTAGTGACGGGTGATGGTGAAACCGGATTCGTTGCTGCTTCCGCTTCCGCCCGCGGGATCAAAGGAAATCGCCATGATGTGGGGGGGAACGTTTCAGTCATGAATGGCCAGAGTCAAAACATCAGCTGTCTAGACACATCCGGCTGGCATCGTCTCTGTCGGCTAGCAGCAAGCTCCGGGGTCGACCCTGTTGACCAAAAACGCGGAGATGTGACTCTGAGTGACGGCAGGACGCGGTGAAAGGAGGGAGTCGTGGGGAGAGGTAGACGGGAGACCGAGAGCGCTCATGATTGCGTAGAAACATGATATCTTACCGGCTATGATTGTGGCTATCGCTATGGGCCAATAATGGGGACCAATGGTGGGCGGGACAAAGTTGGATCGAGCGGTCGTGGCCGTTCGGGAACAAGCCGAAAACACGGACCAACGATGTGACAGATGTGACAGTGTGTAGATTAGATTATGATACACAACATTTCCTCTTTGTGTGGCACAATCTGGGTCCGCAGAATCCTCATGTGCGCGGCCAGAACTTAGAAGCCGATATATGTAAGCATCAGTAAACAAAACTGTCGTAGTGTTCACGATAACTCTTCCTCTCTTGAAGAAGCTTGTGAATAACTCGTGCTAACGCACTGGATGGCCATAGATAGTCATAGTGGATTACCGCAGACTAGTAGACCAAGACGGAGATGAACACTGAGCAACCTTCGAGGTAATCGGACTACTAGCAGATTTCGTTGGGCTCACTGGTTCGCCCGGGAGATCGTTTGAAGAAGCGGACTAGCAGCCTGAAATCTGGGCCTTGAAGCATACCAAGCTTGTCGGATGGTTGCTGCCATTGACAGAAGAGTTGAAATACATTGCGCTTTGTGGAGAACAAACCATACTGACTGCCAGTGTGTGCGCGCCGAGACTACTCAGAGCAAAGATTCAAGACGAGGTAATGTGCAGTGCTTGAGACAGAAAGCCCATTTCAATGAGTCTGTGTCAGTGCTAAACTCAAGTGAGGGAGGTGGAAACTTTCGAACTTTGGCTTATCACGTCACGTTTCGTTGACCTCATTCATCACAGCACCATCAACTTGACTTCTACTTTCACCCTCGGCTTTGGCTGCAGGCCTCACCACGCTATTTTGTGCGGAATTATGCGACTACAACCCCGGGCAAGCTCATCCCGCCGTTTCCCTCACGTAGATATCAGTATTAGTGTCCGTGGTTATGACTCATCATCCATTCATGGTATCGGCCGCAAGCAACGTAGACTTGGTGTTTTTCGGTCGAAGAAGGCGTGTTCGTTTGGTGGCCGATCAAAGCTAGCTTCTGCCTTGTCGACCCTGCTTGGCCCATCTGGTCGCAGGGTAAACAAGACGGATGACGAACGACACACCCATCGGTGAATCAACGATGAGGCCCACAATTGGTTCAAAGCCTAACACAGGTTCCTCGTTAATTGCGCGGTTTTGCCTTCCGCTGCCTACGGCTATATGTATCCTTCGATTCCAAGACAAGACCGGCTGCAGATTTCTGTGATCAAGAAAGAGGGTCACTTCCATGAACCTGAACTTGAGAAGCCTCTTTTGTGGCTTCCGCGACGGCTCTACTTATGGGAATTACCGTCGACGGCGAATGTTTCGGTTGTTGAACACGCGCTCTCGGCTTTGCTTGTTCTGATGGAGCAACGACCTGGGCGCGTCAGGCGGTTGTCGCTGAACGGACCGACTCATCCCGGATGACAGTTGGGAGGGAAGATCAGTCGTCCACAAAAAAAAACAAATCACATCCCAGCCGTGCGATACTTACTGGTCGGAAACGTCACTTGCGATGTCATTTGGGAACGAAGCTGAGCGACGACGGTGCCAATGCGGTGAGAAATGAGCATTCGAACGAATGTCTCGTGGTGTGGTGCTGTTCGACTGTACCGAAACTTGTTTTATGGCTGACAATGCTACATCCGCATCACCGGTCCGAAGCTCCGTGCCCCCTCTGCAATAAAATGCACCTTGGATTTCCGGCTCAAGTCACCAATCCCCCCACCACTCCCGGTTCCAATGTCGCCAGTCGCACTCTCCTCGCAATTAGCCGCCGTTCTTCATGGAAAACGAGACCTCCGCCTTGAACAACGAACATTGTGGCCTCCTCAACACGGTTTCGCCCAAGTCAAAGTGCTCGCGACTGGCCTCTGTGGAAGTGATCGTGGGTCACTCCTCGCTGTCGCTACCGCACATTAATGCCTTTATTTACAGTGCATTACTACGCTCATGGACGAAATGGCGACTTTGTGCTCCGGTCACCCCTCATACTCGGGCATGAAGCGGCTGGTGTCGTGACTGCTGTCGGGCCTGGTGTGAAGGGGCTGAGCGTTGGAGCCCGTGTTGCGATTGAGGCGGGTATCATGTGCAACAAATGCTCGTTTTGTTCCTCTGGGAGATACAACCTTTGCAAGGACCTTCGTTTCTGCAGCTCAGCCAAGACATTCCCCCACCTCGATGGCACTCTCCAATCATACATTAATCACCCTGCCCATCTTCTCCACCCGTCAGTCGCCGTTTCTTCTCGTTTGCCTTTTTTGGCTCACGTTCCCCTAGTTTACCAGAAGCATGCTCGTTCGACGATGGAGCCCTCGCCGAACCGCTATCTGTCCTATTGCATGCCTCTCGCCGCTGTCAACTCTCCCAAGGTCAAACCGTTTTGGTATTTGGTGTTGGAGCCATAGGTCTGCTGGCATGCTCCGTGGCCAAATCCAAAGGTGCATCGCGGGTTGTCGCGGTCGACATCAATCAAGCTCGCCTGGACTTTGCCACATCCAACGGTTTCGCTGACGATTCATTCTGTTTACCTATGGGCGACAAGACAGACGACGCTCTGGGACGCGCCAAAGAAAATATTCAGGCAGCTCTCGACAAGTTCGGCGCCACCGATGGCTTCCACGTCGTGTTCGAATGCACCGGCGCCGAGCCGTGTATCCAGATGTCTGTCCATGTAAAATTTCCTCTCCAAGTGGCGGTCCTCTCTAACACCTTTTCAGGCCGCAGCAATCGGTGGGAAGGTCATGCTAATCGGCATGGGGTCTCGCAATGTCCTTCTCCCGCTCTCAGCTGCAGCTACTCGTGAGGTGGACCTCATTGGCTCATTCCGATATGCCAACACATACCCCGAAGCACTCGATCTCCTCGCAAGCGGCAAACTCGGTCCGATCAATAGACTCATCACCCATCGCTTCACTCTGAACGAAACTCGCTCTGCGTTCGACCTCCTAATACGGGGATTAGACGAAGAGAATCGCATAGTCATCAAGGTGGTCATTGGCCCCAGCGACGAGTCAACATCATGACCCTTGCCCCTCGGCCCAAAAAGTCGCCTTCCATCGAAGCGCGACATATAGAGTTTCTTCATTTCACGGACATCCATTGAATCCTTGTTGTATGTATACCACACGTCACAAAAATATATAGCTACCCTCAACTTTTTTGGTGCTTTCCGGTCCGGTCCCGCGTTGAGGTCTTGTCATTTTTAGCATCTCGAGTTCGCCGTTTCTGCTCTTGGGGCCAATATTGATGGCGTTCGAACGCGGTCCGCGACTTTCCGCAAACTAACAACCAGATCTACATGCACCAATTGACCGGCGGAGACTGGACAATGGGCAATGCAGGCAGACGGTAAGGAATCCGACTGGACAAGCACCTTCCCCAAATGACCGGACCAGGCACAGGATATGTGAAAGAACCAAGAATCGAAAGATATAGTATCCACGCGTATTCGGAGCTCGAATAGAATGCCCATTAGCCGAGACATGATAAGACTCCGCACACGAAGCGCCAGAGACCGCTTCCCAGTTGGCAACCGAGGTCACCGTCCGTCGCACAGAACAAGTTACAGTGCTAAGTGCGATCGCAAACAGGTTCAATGTGAGAGGAAGTTGGATCCTTCCGTTCATGCAGCCGAAAGATGGACATGGGAACGAGGGACGCTGTGAAGGAGGTAACTCTTCCCGCCTATAACTGGCGGTAAACTGACGAGTCATTGCAACAGGTCGAAGCCAGAGCATTAACGTCGCAACCAGCTATCTCCACGACTTGAGGAAAGTAAGCCTGGACCATAATCAAGGGGATTGCGAGACTCTTCAGGGCCCACGTTGGCAGACTGACGGGCACTCGAAATTGACCGTCAGAATTCGATCCGAGATAGTAATCTGCAAATTTAGGCGGTGGGGATCCGCTTCGGAAATCTGGGGAATGGGGAAGCACTTTGAAGGAGTGGTGCCATATTTCTTTTCGATTTTTTGAGAACCAGCCGACTATTTTGAACAAGAGCCCAGACCGGTCTTGCAGGTTTTGACTTGTGTGCCGATGGCGGAGAGTTCTGATGGCGAAAAAGTTGTATCTGCGACGGTTTTCGACGGACAGCAGGATGATGCGACTCTGCATACCAACAACGGGACCGCAGCATTGACACCTTCATCCAGAAATAACCCACCGAAAAAGATAAGCACCAAACGTTGATAAACCAACAAGCTACGAACACAAAATTAGCTGGAGAAGTTGCATATGTGACGAGACTGCGTTTTCGGCCAGTGGATGTTGGATGCATTCGATGAGAGTTTCGATGGCGAAAGTCGATGGATGAAAAGATGAGAGGCACATTGAGCACAGACATGTGGTCTGGCTGTTGGATTCTTCCTGTTCAAGTCTGTTCATCTATTAAGCTACTAAACTTGCGTTGACAGACAGTTGCAGACTTCGCCAGCGCGCCGGCCACTTGGGGCGGACCGGTCCACAGCACAACTCTGTGAGATTGAAGAACGTTCTAGACGCAGCGATTACATCCAAAATCCAGTGGATCTTCGTTGATGACTTTCTGTAGCCTGAGGATTCGTCAAGCCCCGCATATAAGCTTTGCTTACCAGACCTAACTTTTCGAAGGCCCATCGGAGCCCGGCTCGAGGACTACCGATATTCTTTGGTCCGACAACAAGACAGTACAGCCAGATGACTCTGATGAGTCGACTGTGTTGACACCGAAGGGTGGATGAGCCTGAACTTGTCACCAAGATTGTGGAACGCGTCGTGTCCTCCAGAATTCGCCATGGGCCCTGCCAGTCTGGAACCGATAAACATAGTCAGCGGGATACATCAATGTTGATAAGTTTCATGAAAACCCCTAAGAGAACCTTGCGGACATCATATTGTCAATGTGGATGCACCGGTAAGCAGCTAAAAACCGAAATGAAACCGTTACATAGGTATATGTGAGTATTTGAGTGGTCTGAGAAGGGTAGATGAACCAACGGAGTCGGTTCATTCCGCGTGGTTGACAATTAGCCTCGTTAGATGCATATGACAATCTACACCTACACGTGTATATGGCAGAGCGAGCTTGAGCGCATTGCACTTGTCCCAGTGCTTGTTTGGTATGGTGCAGAGAGGCTTCAACAAGTTGAAGTTGAACAAAACTTGAGTCAAGAGTCACGTGTGACAGTGATGCATAGTGTGATCGCATCACAGTATTCCTTCTTCAACCTTTCTTTGACCAACATTCAGCAACAGAATTATCGTGACAGTATTAGGCATCATCGAGAATAATGGAGCCCGGAAAACTATCCAGGATCTGCGCGCCAATGGTGAACCAGTCCGACCAGCCATTCAGGGAACTCGTTCACAGATACGGCGCAACACTTGCCTATACGCAAATGCTGAAGCCCGAGCTGCTGCTGGACGATCAAGACTACCTCGAACTCTGCTTGCGAGACTTGACTGCCAAACCACTCTCAGCAGACCAGCCCGTCGTCGTCCAGCTCTGCGGAAACGATCCAGAAACACTCGTGAAAGGTGGTCGGAAACTGCAGCAATATTGCCATGCGATTGGTACCATTTTTCTGAATCCCCTCTTATTCGTGAATCGACGGAATCAATCCGTGCAGACCTCAATCTTGGCTGTCCTCAGCAAGCTGCATTGGACAATCACTTCGGGGCTTATTTGTTGGGACAGAGAGACTGGCCGCTCGTTGAGGAAATAGGTAGGTAGCACGAGGTCAATAATGTTTTCTCGTCTAATAGGCTGCGTTCAGTTGCAGCGATGTCTAAATCGTTCGTTGTCCCTACTTCAGCGAAACTCCGTCTGTGCCAGCCCGCATTCAAGACGCTTGAGTTGGCAGAAAGGCTGGAGGCATGTGGTGTCTCGTGGATTACTCTACACGCACGCACCGTCTCCGCCCAGCGCAGAAGACACGGGCCTGCCGATTTGTCCCAGGTGAAGCGCCTGAAAGACAATTTAGGAGTCCCCATAATCAGCAACGGCAACGTTCGGACATGGGATGATTTGGAGGCAAATCTCAAGACCACTGGCGCAGACGGGCTTATGGTGGGCGAGTCCTTACTTGGAAACCCTTGGTGAGTATTTTTGTTGGCGACGGAGTCGTTTGTCAAGACGACCAAGCCTCTTCGCAAACTACACACCCGACCCGGTCGCCATCTCCCTCGAATACCTCTCCATCTGCAGGATGTATCCAGATGTAGCGACCGTTTCGACAATGGCAACACATGTCCGCCATTTCGTTGATTCTCAGTGGTCAGCTTTTACTTCGCGCGTACACACATGTTCTGATTTGCTATATATCAGCCATCGTCGTCCGTGGTACACCAAGTTTCGAACCACATTGGCCAATTGCCGGTCACTGGAAGAAATAGAGGTGCTCTTGCAGAACAAAGTTCAGAGATGGCGCGGACTGCGCCCGGAGGACGATGAGGAACAGCCCCCCGAGAGGGTTGCTGAAGCGGTTGAAGAAATTGGCGACATTTTTGCTCAGCCGTGATTTTGGGGAATACAAGAAACATACAATACTTTTGGCGAGTTTGAACAACTCAAACGCTAGCTCTTTTCCTCCCAACGTTCGTAGTCGCCTCCGTTGAGATCATCGACGTATTTTGTTTCGATGGTTGAGAAGAGTGAGTCGAGGTTGGAGAGAGCTTCGATAAGTGCTGTGAGGGACGATAGATTGTCTGTTTGGTGCACTTAAGAAAACAATGGGTACCATGAAAAAGCTCAGATACTCACCGTACATTTGGATTCGGACTTGAATGAGGTTTTCTGAAGGATGGGGGACGCTTGCAACACACTGAGCCGAAAAGCCAATGGTATGATATGAGCTCACCTATATCCACAGAACTCTACTTTCGGGCTGAGCTTGGCGTCAATGAGGCTGCATATGGAGGACAAGACAAGACGTGGTCGCACTTCTTCATGAGCATCCAACGAAGCGGGTTGCCGATAGTATGGGATTCGTCAAAAATTTGATAAGTTGCAGCAGAGAGATCTGGCGCTGCGCCCTTCATCTATTTGGGCACTGAGACAGAGGCTTGGCAAGGAAGCGAGTTGGCGCACAATGGTTACTTTTTGGGGGAGGTTGGCGGTGGACATAATTAGCAGATGTGGTGGCTGTGTCGTGCTTTTCTGTTCCTCACCTGCAACATCATGGCTCATCATGGCCAGCTTTTGTCTCTCCTTCACGTGGAACACCCTGTCTGAAGCCTCGAGATGCATACGAATACGATTTATTGTTCTGTCGGCTAATCGCAAGCTCAAGTCGGTTCGACAATGTGGGATCAACGGACAATGACTGTCACTCAAACAAACTTCGAATGGTCAATGCTTTCTTTTGCGTATAAAGCAACTCCACGATTCTACGACTTCCCACTCACTCCTCCTCCTATACCCCCTCATCTTCTACTCCACGACCAAATACTAAAAGGGCAGGCCCTCCACCCCGGCGGATAACGAACTACCAACGAATCATGTCTTCTTACGCCGCTCGCCCAACGCTTCCCTCTCTTCGCGCTCTCAATCTTCTGCCCGAGTCTCATCCTACTTGCTACGATTCATACGAACACATGGTATGTCTCCGACTCCTTCCTATACTCTCCCTGACCAGCATTATCAGACCCAACGCACATGGCAATCCCATCGACGCGTTTCGATGTCCTCTTCTACACGAACTCCGTCCCCTTCTCCTTCCGACGCGAGTACCCAATCGAGTCCTACGAAACTCACCTTGGTTCCCTGCGCTTTCGAGGAAGCTGAGGCGGTAATCGTCCTCCCACCAACCACCAAGCCCGGCAAGGGCTTCCTCTTGACTGGTCAATCGCTTGCTCAGTTACGGCTTCCGCAAAGGCAGTTGGCCAAGGAAGTCCGAGACAGAATGCATCCATATCGATTCTCTGGACCTCGTCGTCCTTCGCCTTGACCTCGAAGCGAACTCTCTACCGCTACTGTATTCAACCGCCAACGCCCTTGTATCAACCATACCTTTTGTATCATGTAGACATACTTCGAAGACACCTGTTTCATTAGAATAACAATCTGGGTTAATGAAATATTATGACGAAGGCAAGATGATACCCTGGAGGCTTCACTATTAGCAGTTGCGCATCTAGTCAGCTCCCCGGAAACTGATAGCCCAGAGTGAGGCTATCGTCGGCTTGGGTTAAAGCGATAAGATTGATGACATGATCGATGCCATCATATTCTGCTCTTAACCTTCATGGCGGAAATTGAGGTCAACCCTTACGATCTGCTGAGCCTTAACGACCAATGCACTGAGCAAGATATTCGGACAGCGTATCGACAAACGTCTCGCAAGGTCCATCCTGACCGTGTAAGTATGGATACCATATGACCAGTCATACTCTGACAATGTGTAGAACAGGAATGACCCAGACGCAGCAAAAAAGTTCCACGAGCTGACGCAGGCGTATGAACTGCTGCTAGATCCGTTGCGTCGTCTTGCGCTCGATGCCAAACTCCGTGCAAAGCATGCTCGCGAAGCTCGCTTCAAAACGTATGACACCAAACGGAAGACTATGGTGACGGAACTGGAAGAACGTGAACGGGCGTTCAAAAAGACGAAGATGGATCAGGAGGTCGATGAAGTGCGCAGACGAGAGGATAACGATAAGATCAAGGATGCTGGACGGAGGATGCGAGAGGAACGAGAGAATGCTCTTCGGCAAAAGGAAGTTGAGGCCAAACAGCCTCATCCGAATGATGAAGATGAGGCGCCGTCTCTCGGTACGTGTGCCACTTGCAGCTGGGGAAGGATTTGACCAAATGACTACTCGTAGACTTGCATGATACCACAGTCCGCCTCAAATTCAAGTTGTCTGCACATCCGAACCTTGCCGCGCCTGATGTGCTCTCCAACCTTCTGGCGCAGTTCGGCGCTACTGACTCTGAAGCTATTGTTGTCTCGTCGAAAGCGCCGAAAAAATCTCCTGACAAACCGCCAAAATACGTCACTGCTCTCGTGCCGTTCAAGCAGATTGGAGATGCTTTTGCGGCTGTGTGTGCCAGTGGACGTGCTGATCGAGGGTTAGATGGTGTTGAAATCGGCTGGGTTGGAGGGAAAGAGCCCGCGATTTTGGGGTGGCTGAAGAAGATGGGCAAGCTCTCTGCACAACCGCTCCCCAATACCACCTCTCCGCAAGCCCGAAAAATGGAAGCACAACTCCCCCAGACTGCGCCAAGTGCAAGAGGATCCGGGTTTTCGTCGTTCCCAGCTTCTTTCGTGAGTCAGACTCGGCTTCCATTGCTTCAGCAGAACTCATGGTTTTGTTGCAGCCAGAACTACCTGCTGAGCCTGCCCACGTGGCATCAGGTGTAGACTATGAGGCTCTGACGCTCATGCGACTTCGCCAGGCGGAACGCGAACGACTAGAGCGAGAAATAATGGAGCAAGAGGCTGCTGAGGGACAGTGAACTTGCGTTTGCATGTATGGACACAACGAATGTGCAACGAAGCTCTTGCTGACATTTTAACAAGTTCCTTATACGATGCCAAACGGACGTTGTTTGCCACGAGTTTGTGATGATGTTGGCCGCTGTGCCGACCAGGATTCGGAATGATCCAGTTTCGAACCCAGATAGAACCGCCCTCGCTCTTGCCTCGTGGCTGAATGGCCCAAATTAACATCTCAATGGAAGGTTGAAAAACGCAGGTTGTTTGTCTGTCTGTGGGCTGCTTTATTTTCTACATGAACTTTCAATCTCTTCCATCACCCCTTCCGCGGCTCAAACCTACACAACCGCCCGACGTCGTTGCACCTGGGCGAGCGCATTTATGCGGGTGTCGGTGTGTCGACTCGTGCTCTTGTGCTTGTGCATGTGCCTCCCGCGAACATTGTTCGTGTCGAGTTCCTTGTGGCGGCGAGTGCGGTAGAGGCTCCCGAAATCTTGTGGTTTCCCTCGACAGCGTGTCCAAAGCGGCCAAAAAAGAGGTCACTTTCATTGCCATTGCAGGGCCCACAAAATATTGATCCTTTATTGTAGAATTCAACGGTTCTGGAACTGCATACGCAGATATTAGTAGAGCCCAACGACAACCAGCTCGCTTATTACGACTCTGGTGTTGGCCATGGTCCGTCGCTCATGAAGGATGTGCTCTTCGCTTGGTCCGTATTCCCAGCGATATCCAAAATTTTGACTCAAAAAGTCCTCCAGGCGCCACAGAAAGACTATCATGAATGCATACCGCTGGCTGTGTGAGCATTATCGCAAGGGAGACCGGATATATTTGTTTGGTGAGAGGGTTTTTCCTTACCCTTTTTTTTCTCACCGTCGAGCAGGTTTTTCGCATGGCGCATACACCGTTCAAACCCTTGCTTCAATGATTGATATGGTACCAAAATTATTCCATGTTACCTATGGTGGACTGAGCCACAATTCTGCTTTAGGTCGGCTTGGTCGATATGGGAAACCAGCGCTTCATGAAAAGGTTGGTGTCTTAGGCCATTTCGTTCATGCCTGTTGTCAACACGATATCAGTGCATACGACATATTCAATCGAGCTCGAGATGGCCGAGGTTCGTGACAAGGGAAAAGATGACCATATGACCGGCTGATTTTCTTGGTAGGAGACGTCAAAGCAGCAGCAAAATTTCGATCAACATTTGCGCGCAAAGTTCAAGTGCATTTTGTCGGGGTTTGGTAAAACTACGGTTAATTCGATGCTGCGTTCATTTGACCTTTCTTTTTAGGGAAACTTCCCAGCCCACGATTGTCTTCGGCCAATGCCCGAAACCTTCAATGAAGTTGGCCGAACGTGTATGCATATTTCGACAGGCGCTTGCGTTGGACGAGGTTGGAGTAAAGTGCTCCTCGGTGATCACCCAGTCGCCAAACACTGCTCCGTTGTCAGCCCCGGTCGACAAAGGCGACACTGGAAGCGTGGAGACTAAAATAGGCTCGGAGGCAAGGAATTCCCCCACTCCCGGATCAAGAGTTCCTCGCAGGAGAGCTTCATCGTTGGCCTCCTCTCGTATGTCACGAACTGGCTCGACGGCGACGGATGTGAGAGAGGTCTGGTTCGCAGGAAGCCACAAAGAAATGTGCGCAGATCATCTCTCGGAGCCTTCATATTTGTGTGGCTAATGCAAAAGTAGGGGCGCTGGACTGAAACCAGATGCTGCATCCAACTTATCGTCAGTTCCGTTGTCTTGGATGGAGAATGAGGCGACGTCTGCAGGTCTCCGCCTTCGCTCTCGATTACGTGATTTTAAATCACAGTGGGATGCGTTACAAGAAGAAAAGCATCCTTTCAGCTCTCTGCGTCGGATGCTCCAGCCACGCAAGAGGCGAAAGCTACGGTAATCATTGTGTCACGTGACACATAATGCATCAAGCTCATTTTCCTCCTTTGTAGTGCTCAGCCAAGGACGATTTACACTGGACAGCTGTTACACGCTTCTATAGCATTTCAGAACAAAGACTATCGACCGCAAGCAGTGTTGGATGAAACCATTGCTCCGATCGACTGGGAGCTACTTGTTGGACAGCATCCACTCAGCTCGCCAGGCTCTTTCCAATGGGCCCTCACCTTTGGCGATCGACTAGACTTCAGCTTTTTCGACAGGCGTGCGATTCTTCAGGCCATGCAAGACCTCAGCTACCTTTGGAAAAGCAAGCCCAGTAAACGAGCTGGCAACGAAGACCGAGCGTCGTTTTTAATTGAACGATTATCATTCATGGCACTTTCCGGCCACTTGTGCGAGACATACCTTACTCTGCAGTCTCCGATCTGGAATGACGACCGAGAAACAGAGCTGGAACTCGCGGTCAAGTTCTTCCAACGATTAGCGGACAACCAACCGGCAGTATTCATCGGAGATCTTGCGGAAATCCTGGAAACCCAATGCCGCTTTGTCATCTCTCAGAACCGGAAGGCAAATCGCCATATCGATGTCGAGAGGCAGCTGGAGGAGGCCCTACGCTTGCGCCGCCTCGATACATCGTTCCCTGTCAATCGGCCGTTGCGCGCCTACAAACTTGCCGCATCTCTGGTTGCTAGCGGCTCTTTCATCGCCTCCCAAAAACCACAAAAAGCGCTCTTCTTTTTCGACGAGAGCGTGGAGGTACTGCGGCCGTTGCTCGACACCGACTTTTCGCTGTTGTTGCCACATCTTGTTCTGCTTCAGCAAAAGCTAGGAACGTGTGTCCAGAGTCTGGGTCACGATACCTCGGCTGTAAGAGTATGCGAAGCCGTCGTAGCGTTAAGTCGGGAATTGATGGAGCTCCATCCGCAATGTGGCCATGTTCTTGCGGCCGCTTTGCATGATTTGGCGTTCGGGTTTAATAGGATCCAATCGGCGCAGGAGCCTCATGCTGCCGATGAATGTGTGGGCCTTTATCGCTCGTTGGCTGATGATGATCCTCCTCGATATGCCCGATCATTGGCGGACGCGCTTCACAACTACTCCCGCCATCTTCTCCTCACCAATCAGATTGAGCAAGCACATGCTGCCTCTTTGGAAGAGCTACACCTCCGTCGCAAGTGGAAGGAATCCGACGGACTTGATGACTGTTTGGAGCAGCTGGCGCGATGTCTGATCGACATGGGGAAAGTCGATGCGGCTTTGGAGACCGCAGATGAAGTGGTCCAATTACGGCGGAGAACCATTCAGGACGAATCAAAACTCTCAGATGCCCTGCATGTCCAGAGTTATTGTCTGGCTTTGGCGTCAGGAAGGACCAATGATGCGTTGAATTTTGCTCGGCAGGCAGTGAGCACTCAACGCGGGCTGGCAAATAGCCCAACTAAATTAGCCATCTTGCTCATGAACTTGTCCGTGGGTCTTTCAGAAACCGGCAATCATGCCGAGTCCTTGCGGGCCGCTCAGGAAGCTGTCAAGATTCGGGCCGAAGGCTGGGGTGATGATGCGGACTGTGCATTATCTCTCGGTCGCATGGCAGTCTGTCTTCGGAATGTCGGCCAACTTGAAGAAACTCTTGCCGTTGCAGACAAATGTCTGGAACTTGTGGACACCCTTGTTATCAACGAGAACAACCCACAATGGGAAGCACCGCGAACGGAGGGCCAGTTGGCCGAGACTTTGTGTGCTCTCTCATTCTGTTTTGCAGATAGCCCTGGCCGGTCTGCTCTGGCACTTCAGGTTGCCTCCCAATCAGCTTCACGATTCCGAAAACTCCTTGCGAAAAGCCATTCGATGATGCTGGAAACATCGTTGCTCCGGGCTTTGGTTCAATGGAGTTTGCTGCTTGTTCTCAATGACCAGCAAGATGCGGCTCTGCGTATTGCTGTTGAAGCAGCACAGATAGGAGCCGGGTCCGTTCCGAAAGAGCTTTACGCCCACAGTCTCCTTCATTTGTCCACGTCTTTGTACGCCGTTGGGAAGGCCCAGCAGGCATCGGCGCCAGCGCAGAAGGCTGTCGACATTCTCCGGGAGCTAGTAGCGGAACATTCAGACTCTTGGCACTTGAAGGAGCAACTTGTGGATGCGCTTTTCAATGCGTCTCTGTATCCGTCACATCCTCCGTCCTTTACCGCGCTGCAGGCGATTAGGGAAGGTGTCGGACTACATAAAGTACTCAAGGCACATATCCCTAATCAGCGGTTCGAAAAGCGACTGGCAGATGGATTGCAGAATCTGGCGGCACGGGCTCTGTTGGCTGGTGAATATGATGAGGCTTTGTCGGCGAGTGAAGAGGCTGTTGGGATGGCCCGAGGGCTTGCGAATTCAAACCTCGTAAACGTGCTTTATACGCATGCGAATGTGTTGTGCGAGCAGGGAAGGTACGACGAGGCGTATAAGCTTGTGCAGGAATGTGATAGCATGGAGGGTGATTCCACCGTCGAGGCCGCAGCAGCATATATGTCGTCACGTGCACGATGTCTGCTTGGTTTGGCCAGACGTGCTGAAGGTGTGCGGGCCCTGATGGAAGGTATGCGACTGTATCGCTCGGCGCTAGAAAGCCCGCTGCACAGGTCTATGTTCGAGTCATTCCCTTGGTCTGCTTCTTTTTCCCCCTCCTATTTCCTGTCCTCACGATTTACCTAGGTTCCTCAATAATATGTTTGCCTGCATATCGGCGCTGGGTCGTACGAATGCTGATGCGTTGAACGCAACATCCGACCTCGTTGAACTGGCGCGTCTGTTGACGGAGAGCTGCTCCGGGGATGTGGACCATTACTTGAAGCTGGTGCTGGAATACCAGGTCGGCAGTTTGACTGGACATTAAATCATCTTTTTCCGACTCGTCCATGTGGCAATAATGTTGCATCTATGTATGTCCTGACCTCTGCACCCAATACATTTTTTGCATCACTGAAGGTGACTAGTGTGTTCAAAGTTGTCAATAGGGCAGCAAGGTTCTTTGATTCTGAATCTCTGAGGACACAAGATGATAATGCGCGGCATTATACCATACTCTAGTCGTTTTTCAAGTCGACACTGTGGACTCCATCTGGGTTCAACAACAAATCCACCTGAAACCGGTCATGCTCATGTTGCATCGCACTGCCCCCCTTGACACCCTTGTGCCAGACCAGAGTCTCGTTGAGATTCAACGGATAATAGGATGTACCATCAGCGCCCGCCCAATCAAAATCAATAATTTTGACTCCGTCGGTGGAAAAGAGGATGTTTTGGGGCCGCAGATCACCATGGACAAGACCACTCAGTCGCAAAATCTCCAAAAGTCGGGTCAGCTGCTGCCGACGCTCCCCGTTCACATTGCTTCCGGTAGTTTCGCAGATTGCGTCGATTTTGTCCATGACTACTAAGCGGAAATTGAGAGGGGTTGGAAGTGGGTTCAGATGTAGCAGCGATGGAGCAAGCTGATGTTTCGCAAGATGAGTATGAAGTGCCGAACCATACCTTGATGAAATGAGTTTGCACACTACGACACGGGGTTGTAGGTGATCGTCTGAAGTTGGCTTATACATCGCGTAGAACGTCCGCGGGTCTTTGGGGTTAATACGGGATTGATAGACGAGAGAGAATGCATCGTTAGAGCACATAGCTTCCTTGCACAAAGGCCAATATGTCGTGCTTGTTGCGGCGGTGGCGGTTCGATAATGTCTGCTGATCAGAACATTCAACGCATTTATACGTGTAAAAAAGAGGGCCAAGCGAAGGGAATGTTGGTCGTTGAGTTTGGTGCTTGTACCCGGAGGGCGAAGGTTAATGGACGCGACTCGATCATAAGACCATTCATATCTGTCCGTTGCCTCAGATGCACCGGGTTCAGTGATTCGGATGAAAAACGAGACTGTGAGGACGTGTCGCCGGATAGTGGTGATCACGGCTGGGTAGCTGAGCCCCCGTCGTTGAGGTAGCGATCCTTGCTGTAAGTCATCAAGTCAACGGTCATGAGATTGAATTGGCACATACACGCAGAAAATATTCTATGAATTTTTGGGCGCCTTGGGCCGCTTGATGTACTTCGTCCCCCTCACTCACGAGTTTGTCTTGATCATATTGGGTAACAAATGTGTCGTAAGTCATGTACCCATCGACTCGGCCTTCATGAAGGTTGAGGGGAGCGTTCACAAGCACTCGTCTGAGGGATGTTTTACACTCTGCAGAGTGAATTCCATCACTTTGGAGAGCGGCGATCTTGGGACGTATTGCCTTCTTCATGAGATTGTCATCAGCATGAAACGTCGTAGCTTCGATAGTGATAGCGTCTGCAAGTTTCTGTACCTTCATGAAATCTTCGGACTGTACGATTCGACATGGACATGAGAAGGAGAGCTTAGAAGAATTTTGGAGAAACCAGTAGGACACACCTCAGGAAAGAATGCGGCAAGCTGTTTATTGACTTCCGCGTACGATAAAGTTGATACTGGTTCAATGAGCGCGCGGGCCGACCAAAATGGCCCAAAATAGAAATCGGGGGGGGGGGAGCCCTTCACGTTGTGGTGTGCGAGAATATTGTTCGCCGTTCAAAAAGCCTACGGATTTGCGTTGCTCGCTTGAATAGCCAGGTCCCAGCTTCGCAGCAGCGCTCGGCGTGCTTTTGATGGCAATAGCGCGCGATTGAGGGGAAGGGAGGAATATACGAGGGACAATCGCCAAACTGACGCTACCACGATCTGGTGCGAGTGTTTCTATGTAGCCGGGTCTTGCGCAGCTTTGAACTTGCGTAACCGTTGCGATGAACTGGTCGTGCGACATATTTACGTCGAAACTCGGGCTCCAAGGGAACCCGTAGTATATTCGATACTCTGTTGGTTCCGCCCTCCACCAAAGAGGTAGCAGCGGGGAGACATAGGAGCCTGGTGGGAGTCCCTCCAAGCCCTGGAGGTCACAACCAAGGTTCCCGCTCTTTTCAGACCAGAAGATCAGAAGAAGGATACGTAGTGTTGCGAGGATGCCGAGGACCCCTGATTACCAAGAGGGACAGTTTTTTGAAAGTTTCGACCAAGGTTGGACCAGAATCCGGACAAAAATGTTGGATGACGGCACGTGCCCGGTCGGCGTCGCGCTCACCGACGCGGACTGCGGCGGACCCCGGCGCGCCGGTCCGCCGCTACATCGCCGAGGCTCCGTGTTGTGATCACAACAACTAACTAAGTAAACCCATCCACTGAAGTACTTAGCGAAAGAATCCAACCTTGAGCGTTTTCGCTATCGTCAGCACAAATACTATGATGGACATTATAAGTTAACGGTTTTTCCAACCATTTTTTGGCACAAGGGTTTTTGCAATGAACGCGGCTTAAACCTCCGTCGATCTCCCGATCAACCGGGGGCAACGCGGTTCTATGCACGTGCACGTCATCTACAGTCGACTCCAAAGGCGTCAACGAAGTACTAGTAAAATCCTTGGTAGATTGAATGAATCGAAAGCCTCGGGCCCATCTCTGAGTACTGTCTACCAGCACTGGGCTTACATATCCAAGCCAAAATCTGGCGCTTATGAGCCAATCAATATTTTAAAAACCTTCCGCTCATCTCCCGATCAACTCAAGATCAACTGTGGGCCAACGCGGGGTACTTAATCACTGGAGTCGTGACGTGACTCGGCATTGGGTCTCTCTGCAATGTACACCCAACTGCTCGTCTCGCTGGCCGCAATTAGCGCTGCGCGCGCCGTGTCCTACGCGAGTTTTCCAACTCGCCGAATTTTACCAGCCGACTAATTTGGTTATTTGTTTGTTCTCTTATAGCCCTTCAACACGCATACGATTACCTCGCCAGACAAATCCATTACCGCCAAATTCGTCCCATTTGGATCCACGTTGACTGAGTTGTGGGTCAAGGACAAGCACGGCGTCCCCATGGACGTGGTCCCGGGATACGACGACAATTCGCGGCTGCTGAGCGATCCGGGGCATCCAGTAATGATAAGTTTTGTTTTTTCTCGCCGTGTTGAATCAGACTAACATTTGTTTACGGGCCAGTGGTGGGCCGCTACGCGAATCGCATCAAGAATTGCACGTTTTCGATACCAATCACGAAGGACCCACAACCTGCGGGGCCGGGGGTGTACCGCATGGCGTGTAACGCTTATGGCGGACAGGTCAGTTCAATTTGGATACCGTTTAGAACGTTCGCTGACGGGGCGAGGAAGTCGACCATCCATGGCGGGATATACGGTTGGGACCGACGAAATTGGACTGTGGCAGAGGTGTCAGCGACGAGTATCGTTTACCGGTCAGTTGTTTTAACGCACCTTTTGCATGCTTGACACGATATTCAGGCATGTCGACAATGCGGACGAAGGATTCCCGGGGGTCGTCACTACTATCGTAAGTTTACCCGCCGGAAGTAGACGTTGCTGACATGGATTTCATAGGCAACACATACCGTGTCAAATGGTGGTATCTTGCGCACATCAATCCAAGCAAGAGCGACGGAGAAAACACCAATTATGCTCACCCAACATATCTATTGGAACCTTTGCGGATTCCGTGCTGGGTGCGACGATATGCTTGACCATACGCTCAAGATTCCAGCATCCCGCGTCATCGATGTCGACAATAATAGGATCCCGACTGGCCAGTTAATCAATGTCACCAACACAAACTTTGACTTCAAGAAGGCAAGAACCATTCGTTCATCATTCGACAGCGATCCAGCGTTCATTGGGTACGACAACGCGTGGATATATGACGAGAAAGCTGGAGTGAATATGGAGGTTTATAGCGCGGCATCTGGCGTAAAGTAAGCCTTAACAGCTTGTTTACAGGGTCTGACCATTGGCTAGGTTGACAATCAAGACCGACCAACCGGCGGTGCAGGTCTATACGGCTTCGCTCAATATGCCACGAAAGAATGTTCATGGTGGACCAGAAAAGCAGTATGGGTATATGTCTACCGTCGCAATAGAACAAGAGGGATGGCTGGATGCGATAAACACGCCAGAATGGGGCATTGATCAGATTTGTGGGTCCTGTTCCCTAATTTTATAATTTTTCGCTGATTATTTGCCACAGATGACGCAAAGAGAGAGTTTACGTGGAATACGGAGTATCGGTTTGGTGTAGTCAACTAGTCGTTCACGGTGTTGAAGTGTTGTTCAACTTGTTGAAAGAAAGAAAAGTGTGATGGCTTGTCACGAGGTCGTGAGAAGACATTTTGGGGAGTTGCCAACCTTTACGCTTTGCTCGGGCCACAAAGCGTACTAACGCTCAGCCCTTGCCCACCACCATGGCGTCCACATCGGATGGCCTCGACGGCCTTATTACGACTCCTTTCTCCTCTGCAGCCGACATGAAGTACCATTTGCAGACACTCCTCGATGCGAAAGAGAAGCAACTCCAACAAGCAGGGACGCTTGGCCAGCGTGTCCTGGCACAACAGATGGAGCTCGAGGAGCGAATCAGACAGCTCCAAGAACTAGATGGTGACAAGTTAGACGACGAGCAGATTGATGAGGAAGGACGGGAGCGGTATCGGGAGTTGGCTGAGACGTTGCGAGGCTGGGATCAAGAGAATGCTGAGCTCTCGAGTGGCTTTGGGGCTAGGGTGGGTGGCATACCTTCCATTACAACGAGTTTAACACACAACAGCGGCCTCCCTCACCACCTCCACAACCGTTGGCCCAGTTGGCTGCTGACGCAAGCCGCGCTAACGTCAAGACACCTGGTCCGGCCGCAAGTTCTGCTGCTGCCCAATCTCGTCGTGCAAAGAATGCCGCCCATCGCGCGGACGATGTCGGTTAGTGCTCGTTTGCCCTAGCTCATCGGTTGCTTCTTGGTTGCCTAATATCGAACTACAGAGTTTGCCTTCGAGATTGGTTCGGGCCTTCTTACAGAGGTTCGCCGCTTACAGAGCCTACTGGGTGAGCGGGATAAGGCGATTCAAGATATGAAAGAGGAGAAGGACGATCTTGAGAAAACCTTGGAGGGAATGCGGACAGCGCTGCGGCAACAAGAAGCTAGTGCTGGTATGTTCTTATCGTTAGACCCTTTTTCTGGTCACTGCTAACCAAATTACGTAGACAAGTACAAGGAGGAAAACTGGAATCTCGAAGTAACTCTGCAAGAACTCCGGTCGCAGCTCTCTGTCGTAACTTCCGCCGAAGCGGCCTCAGCGCTCAAGGCTGACAGGCTTGCTGCGCAACTGGCAGCTTCCCTTCAGGCATCGGAAACGGCGAAACATGAAGCAGAACGGCTTACGGGTGTTCTTGATGAAATGAAAGCCAAGCACGAGGCAGATGTTGCTACTCATCGCAAAACTGCTGCGGGTCTTGTCCGTGACAAGAGCGACCTCCAAAGCACAGTCGACAAACTCAAGTCGGAGGCAGCTCGTGCGGGTCGTCGTGGGCTGCTTTCCTCACAATTCGGTTCACCTGTCACGCCGAACGGGGTAAATGGTGATTTCCTCACACCTGCAAATGGGGATGACGATCTTTTTGCCACTGGTGGTGCTTCCACTCGCCGGCGCGCTGCATTTGACGACTACGACAATGAAGGCGCGCTCGACTCTCCCGATGCCAGTCCTATACCTGTCAAGAATGGCGAAACCGAAGTCGAATTGCTTAGACAGAAATTGGCCCATGCCCAACGCCAGATATCGACGCTGAAAAGCACTCTTCATCGCGAGAAGGAAGGTCGGAGGGGTAGTCCTATGCCCAGCCCTATGGCCAGTCGACTTGCTGATGACTGGAACGACGAACAAGATGAAGAGGAAGCAGATGCTACCATTGCGGAAAAGGACAAGAGCAATCGACGATTGACTCCCTTCAAAGTCGGAGGCAGTCGCAACGGCCGTGGCCGCGGCGGAAGGGCAAGAGGTGGAATGTCTCTTGTTCAACGACTTGGGATGGCTGCTGCTTCACCAGCCGCGTCGGAAGCCGCGTTTTCTGTTGACTCTGATGCACCTCCGGTACCCGCAATGCGCCTCACAGATGCTGACGATGAGGAGTCGATGTTCTTCCAGGGTCACAGTGTCGATGCTGATGACCAAGACGAGGAGGAAGAGGTGGAATTGCCTGAACTGGATCGCAGGGCAAGTGTGGATGGCAACGGGATGGACCCTGCGTTTACATACGGCACCGAACTTTCACGCACACCATCAATTTCCTCCCCTCTCCGCAATTCAGTGTCACCAGCATCAATTCCGCGTGCTAGGCCAAGAAGAGGTCGCGGTCGTGCTTTTGCAAATGGAACTGGCCGACCAGATAGCCTCATCAAGGCGGCTGGTGTTCTTGCTGCTGAATTGGGCGAGTTTGAAGAACAGGACGAAACGAAGCCCGATCTTGTCGAAATTGGCTGCCAGACCGACTTTGATGATGTTCCTGTGCGGGAGGTCATTGTCGAGAAGGAGGTTCCTGTTCCAGTCCCTGTGGAGAAGATTGTGGAAGTCCCTGTTGAAAAGGTTGTCGAGAAAATTGTCGAGGTCCCCGTTGAGAAGATTGTTGAAAAGGTCGTGGAGAAGAGGGTCGAGGTTCCGGTGGAAAAAATTGTGGAGAAGATTGTGCAAGTTCCGATCGAAAAAATCGTCGAGAAAAGAGTCGAGGTTCCAGTGGAGAAAATCGTCGAGGTCACAGTGGAAAAAATCGTCGAAGTCCCGGTCGAGAGGATCGTCGAAGTCCCTGTGGAGAAAATCGTCGAGGTTCCGGTTGAGAGAATTGTCGAAGTTCCAGTCGAGAAAATCGTGGAAAAGATTGTTGAGAGGATTGTGGAGGTTGAGCGGCCGCGGACTGGTGTTGAAGGCACAACACAAACAACACCACAACCTGTGCGAGAGCGTCGAACAACCCTTACTCCTCGCACGGTGGGTCGCCAACCTTCCAGAAATACTTTCCTCGCCGCGGCTTCTGACGGTGAAGAAACAGAGACCGAGGGTGGCCTTGAGACAGAGACAGAGACTGAAGGCGAAACAGATATGGACGACTATCATGATGCGCCTCAAAGTATCCGTCTTGTTTCTCGCGAAAATCTCCATTCACCAACTTCTGCCCGGTCGGCTTCAGCTGCGGAGTTCTCGTCCTCAAGAGAAGATTTCCACTCGTCGCATGAAGACTTCCACTCTGTAATGACGATGACTGACGGCGGGAGTGATGCGGAGGAAAGTATCAAAGCTCCGCAAGGAATTCGGCCCCGACCTTCATCCTATTACGCAAACAGCGCACCCCCGAGGCAGTACTCTGAGCAAGGAACAGACCCCAAAACACCCATCTTGGAATCTCCGCCGCCGCCCCCTCCTATTGTCGTCGAAGAAGCTATTCAAGCGGACCCACCGCCGAAACCCACAAAGGAAATGTCAATTCAAACAGAAGAATGGGTTCCGCCGCCTCCACCGCCACCGCCGCCGGTATCGGTACCTTCTTCTCCGACACCAAATCTCTATCGCGTTGGCGCCGCCCCAGGGCCAGGGTTCCAGTTTATTTCGCCAACGCCTTCTGTTACATCGTCGCCGATTCCTACGAGGGAACGTGAACCAACTTCCATGTACAAAGTTCGCGCTGTCCGCAGCTCAATCGACGACCGTAGGCAGTCGATTGATTCTGCCATTTCATCGGTCCATGACGAGCCGCGGTCACGTGTTCCTTCGACAGATGCGCCCCCGCCTGTTATCGACAGATCACGACCACCGACCATGGCACTACCACCCCCTCCGAGACTTCCACCGCCACCTGGCAGTATGCCCCCGCCCAACTTTATCCCTCGTCACGATATTCCACCTCCCCGTCCTTCATCCCCTCCACCGGCAGAACTTATTCAGCGTGCAACCACGCCCACGTTTGGTTCGGCCCTAATGCTTCCAGGAAGCGCCGGCAGAAGTAGCTATGTCCGACAACATGGATCGAGTATGCCGCCAGGTAGCTTACGTCAGCCACCATCAACAAGCAGTTTCCGTTCCGCAGTGTATGCCAATGCACAAAGGAGAGAACAATCACAAGTCTCCTTGGTGTCTGAACGGAGTGGGCGGTCTTCTATGTCGTCTGAACACAACCCCTTCTTGTTGACTCGGTCTCAAACTGGCCCCCCCAATCGGACTGGGTCGACACCCATGACACCGACCCGCGGTGCAAATACGACAGCGGATGCAGATAAAACTATCAATGGGAATGCTGCTGCTGCGACCGATCCAACCATCATCCATGCGATCACTCAAACAATGATTGGCGAGTTCCTGTACAAGTACACACGGAAGGCTATTGGCAAGGGTTATGGCGAACGACGGCATAAACGGTTCTTCTGGGTTCATCCGTATACCAAAACGCTATACTGGAGCTCGGCAGACCCAGGATCGACGAACGTTTCTGAATCTAGCGCCAAGAGTGGTAAGTGGCTTGTTTTTTTTCCTTCGCAAATAGGATGATTGATTGTCTTGCCAGCCTACATCGAGGGTGTTCGGTCTGTACTAGACCCGAATCCAATGCCACCTGGTCTGTACCAATACAGTGTCGTTGTGTCCACGCCACAAAGGGAAATGAAGATTACTGCACCAACCAAAGAGAGGCACGATATCTGGCTTGACGTGATTACTTTTGTCCCTTATTTAGATCTTCACTGATTACGAGTCAACAGGCCTTAAAATATCTTCTTGCTCGACCGAGTGCTCCTGGGGTTTCGACACCCCCAAGCGGTGGTCTACAGGTTCCTCCAAGCCCTATGTCTGATTTTACAGATGACGAGCAACATGGTGATCGACGACCAGCTCTCAACACAAGTCCCCAGAGTCAACGCAGTGCCCGAAGTGCCCGTAGAGGGGACACTTGGAATACCACTCCCCGCGGCCAACGAAGTCGATCTCAGCTATCTGTTGGAGGGTCGCTTGGAAAGCGGTCGGGTACACCGGCAATGGAATACCTTCGCTGGACTGGAAATGGACCAGAGAGTCCATACAGCCCGTCCAAATCGTTTGTTGATGTCCCTGGCGCCGGCGACGAAGACGATCTCGACTTCGAATTGCACGGTGATTCGATGGAAGATCCCGGGTTTGAGGGCCTCGAGAATGTCCGTGCGTGCTGTGATGGGAAGCATACCGTTGGCCATCACCACCACCACCACCCACCTGTTGAGCACCTCGAGGGCCATGACGGGATGCCTGCCCGGCCTGTGTCCCCGTCCGCCTGGTCGTTCCGGTCACGTGCCGGAAGCACGAATGAGCGCGAGGGCGGAGGCGGGATATTTACCTGGGGCCGGTCGGAGGGCAAGATGCGCTTTGGCTCGCGGCGGTCGACCAAAACCCAGGCGACGGTTTCATAGATGGTTGGACGGTTTTTCTTCCCCTCCCCTTTTCACCTTTCTTGCATTGCGTTCGCTATCTGCTTACAATACCACTCTCCCTTGCTTACCCTCTCTCTAATGACCAAACCCTTTATGATGATACTACAGCTCGTTTATTCTCTCTCTCTCCCTGCATTTTTTGTATGATTGTTGTTTGCTGCCCTCAAAAGGTTATTACATTCATTTCTCATCCTATTAGATTGGCTTTCAAGTTGTGTGGGGTTTAGTTTGTTTGGGCCGTCAATCCGCTTGCGCCTCAAATGACGCCATCTGCGCCTACGCAGCAAGGTGGGGACGAAGTTTCGGTCGTGAGCCCAATCAATTCATCAAGATCATCATCATTTTTCGTTCTTCCCACTTTCTTCCATGACATGACTCCTCCCAACTTCTTGGCTCGCTTTTCCTGGTCCTCGTGTCGCTTTTAAACACCTATATCGGATGATATACGAGGAAGTCAACGATTAGCCAACGAAACTCTTCCATGGTTTGGATGGAACTTGAAGTGGACGTGCCGTTGATTTGAAGCATGCTCGAAAAGTCTATTCGCTGCCGCGGCAGCGAAACAGAGCGTTTCAGTGGTCGCCAAGGGACATTATGCATATTCGCTGTCGCCTCTCCCAGCCAGTCAACGACGACGATCTACTCTTCTCTTTGGTCGCCGACAGCACTTAACGTCCAACGATGGCACGAGTACCTGAGTTCATTACCGCGACATGACGTGGCGGCTTCTCTGTCTTCTGCTGCATGTTGCTCAGGTTGGCCGAAGGTATTCTTGTTCGGCTTGATCGATTCGAGTTGTTTGTCAGCTCAGTGCAAACACTGTTTCTTTGGGAATGTGCGCCGTTGTCCAAGTGGATTGCGAATACGCGAATCTCCTTCTAACCCTCGCCAAAACCTTCGATGAATGGTCTCTTTTTTGTATTTGAAAATGGCTCACTCTATGGTAGGCTGAGGTGTATCACCACACATTCTCCGTCGACAAATGTCTATCAAGAAAATGGACTTGCTGCTTGTCCCTGGCTGCCCCTTGATTTTATCTACGATGCACATTGGAAAACAAACGTTGTGCCGCTGCTGTTACAGTATGGTCGCGAGTCATGCCGAGCCGCTTTACAGCCCTTCCGAAGTGCATTTCTGCTGTTGGTGTCGTCCTCGGAAAGATCTTGCCGTCCGTCCATCTATCTTTTTCCGCCTGTGCTCTTCTTATTCCTACGAAGTGCCGTTTCACCCGGCATCCGCTGCCAGCCACATGTCAGGCCACAGTGACGCTCGCGCGCGTTTTTTTCTCTGTTTGCAACAGATGCGAACACAGAGAAAGACATATAAAAGCATGGACTGGCAGGCCTCTGGAAAACCGTGGGCTCTACCAACTCGACAGACACTCACAGTTTCTTCACACTCGGAAAAATGCGCTTCACGACTGCCTTTGCTGCTCTCACCGTTCTTGCGACGGGTGCTTCTGTCTCCGCACAAAACGCGACCTTCACGGTCACGAGCAACTCGATCTCCAACGCGTTGTTGTTGACTGCGCCACACTACGGTGCCCCGAATCCGCCATGGGTCGTCGGCGCCAACCCTGGCTGGTATTACGGCAGTGGTACTCCCCCTGTTGGGCTTGGCTGCATCCTCGAAGGGGTCAGCAACTTTCACTAAACTTCAGGGAATATTTCACTAATGTGTTTGATCCAGCTCTTCTGTGATCTGTTGAAGCTCTTCCCCTTCTGCCTCCAGTGCCCACCCAAGCACCCCCACACCCCGCCCCCAGAGTACACCCCCCACCTTCTCCAACCTGACCTGCGCAGCTCAGGATGATAGCTACATGACCTATGGCCTCGTCGATACCGTTGCGGGTTCGTTCTTCTATATATTCCAAGGACAAACTGAACTGATCGATGTGTCTGCAGACTGCCAGGCCATGTGCGACACCGTCAGCGGCTGCACCTTTGCCAATGCATACCACGACAACAACGCCGACGTCAAAGGCGACAGCACGCAGCTTACCTGTTCGCTCTTCAGCAAGTGCCTCCCCGCGAGCTCGGCAGACAACTGCGGTGGCCAGACCCAGTCCAACGGCCAGCCCAACTTCATCACCCAGTCGTACGGCTACTGCAAGAAAAAGCCCACCGCCTAGATACTCGAATCATACCACGGACAATCTGTCGACGTATTTGGCAGCTGTTGGGCATTTTCAGCTCCCGAGTACATACAACTTAGTTACTCTCTTCCTTTGGGATCTGTTGGGACATTTAATGCGAACCATTTAATTTTCTTCACAATTTTCTTGAGGATTGCGAGTGGATCGCGGTTTCCGGCAAATCCGGGCCGACTGATGATCGAACATTATGATGTCACGGTCGTCACAGATGCTCGATGTTCCCTCGGACACTCTTCACTGTCCTCCTCGCGCTCAGTATTCTCTGCATTCTCGTGTCGAACAACCCAATTCTTCTCTTCGCAAACAGCCGACATCAAAAGCAACTCCTCCCCATTCCTTCGCAAACACTCGTTATCAACCTCGCCAGGCGATACGACCGTCGTCGACAAATGGAAATCCTTCGTTCCGGTCTCAGGCTTGCCTACTGGACATACCTTCCCGCCGAAGATCACACAAGCTCACTCTCTGTCCAGCTTCTCCAAACAGTGCAAGCGATCCGCGCGGCTGCATTCAAGGACTTTTACTACGACAGCGACAGCACGGTGGCGCTCCCATTTTCCTGGCCTACGCAACTCGAGTCCAGTCCATTCGACGACATCAGTCCCGTGTTCAGTCTACCTGACCCCGCCCCGCCACTCACTTGCGCCACTGAAGACTTTACTGTCGAGCCCTACTCGCCCGCCCTCAAGCACTACCGCGTCCTCACTCGCAACCGTGTCGCCTGCTGGCACTCACATCTCTCTGCCATCAAGCGTGCTGTTTCACAACCCACTCTCATCCTCGAAGACGACGTTGACATGGAAGTTGATATTTCAGAGCGGTTGCGTTCTGTGTGGAGCTCGTTGCCTTTGGATTGGGACATACTGTACCTCGGTGTGTTAGTCTCCGATCTCGAGTTTATATGGGCTGACATGCGATAAACAGGGCATTGCTGGTCAAATGAATCGTATTTCCCACCCCTCCCTTCTCAAGAACCATCTCTCGTCCGTCTACACCCCTCAAACGCGCCACTATGCACCCACGCATATGCTGTCTCCCCCACTGGCGCACTGCGACTCCTGCTCTACCTCACCCATCCGCCATTTGCTTATTCCCGCGCAATCGACCACGCTCTCGCTTGGCTCGTCCAGAACAGGCTGGTCCGGGCGTACTCGGTGGTCCCCAGCATTGTCGTGCAGAGGAAGATCAGCAACAGCGACGTCACCATCGACGGGCGGGCAAGCACCTGGCGAGACGATCTGACCAAGGGGTTCTTTGCTTGAGGTTTCGCGCAAGATTCTGTCAGACATGACTTCACTCGCAGAGTCCTCGGGCACTCGACTTTCTGCGCATTTTGACCCGCTTTTGAAAGCCGTTGGCATTTTGCGAAGGCGGTTGGCTGGTCGTCAGTCTGCTGGTGTGGGTGGCAGCGTAGCAGTCATGCTCTCTGGGAGTTGTTGGTGTGCGACGGCGGGTAGGGTATCTTGGTTAAATAATTGTAATGGCAAAAGATGGTGCACAGCCCAGAGTCTCGATGAATTTATTTTACTATGCGCAGTCTGGATTGCATGAAGAAGGTCGTACATAATACACTCAGACTTGAATATGAGCAGCATGAGAGGCCGTCACATCTTCTGCAGCACTATCTCCCGATGCAATGTCCGATGATGCTTGTGTATGATTGGACCCCGAAGACGACGATGAGGACATGTGTGCCTGGGCCACCTCGAGGCTGGTGACCCTTTGGGCCAATATGTGTTGCTGGGTTTCAAGCCCTTGAACCCTGCGCCAGAGAGGTTGGTAACGTTGTCCTCGAGTCAAGTCACGATGCACACTCACTGGTGTTGGAGGTCGCTAACATCCTTGCGTAATGCAGCCATGTCGGTTTTGATCTCAGCAATTTCATTCTTCAGTTCTGCACGCAAAGTGTCCACCGTCGAGACTAGCTGGAGTATGGCTGTTTGGAGGCCAGCCAGACTCGGAGATCTGGTATTTGAGTGTCAGCAGCAGCGGCACATTGTGGAAACTGAGGGACGACGTACAAGGGAGTGATATTGGGTGTGGTTGTGGGGAGGGCGTCAGTCTTGGTTGGAGACAATGGTGCTCCATAGTGACCCATTTCTTATATGAGTTTTTGAGCTGACTTCTTTTCGGGCCCCAATGGAAGCTTCGCTTTTAAGCTTCTACCCTTTGAGACTCCTGAGGAGAAGGAGGAGTAAAGCTGTGTAGTATAGAGGAGGCTTACTTCTTTATTTTTGTTTTTGTACTGTAGCCATTCAAGTTGATTAGAATTTCCTTTTTGATTTTCAAGACGCAAGTTGCGGACACCTTCCGCAAATGGGCTAAGGTAAATCAAGAAGCCTCTTCGCGGCCATCTTTTGCTTCTGCTCAGCGACCACTACGATGTAGGCCCGGCGGTGTGTCGGCCTGCGTCCGGACCTGCACCATCTACCTCACAACTGGGCAACAGCGCTGCCCCGGGCTCACGACCGCCAACTCTCGCCGCCACGCTGCCGCTCGCGGCTCGACACTCTTGCTGCCGCCACCACGGTGCACGCTCAACACGACTGCTGCCGCCCGCAAACTACCAGCCCAGTCAACGTCGTGCCTTGGGACCACATCTTGGGATGGTGCACAGCCCAGAGTCTTGTTGTATTTTATTTTACTATTAGTTACTTCAAGCCGTTTATCGTGTCAGTGCTTGAAAGAATCTGTAGAGTCAACAGGAAAAGTTGAAAAGCAGGTATCTTGAAGAATAGGGTGACGGTTAGCATTTGAATGCGTTGAGAAGATGTCCTGAGCATTCGAGAGGCAAAGTCCGCAATGTCGGGCCCCGCGGCCGGGTACAATTTCAGCCGAGTGAGCATAGAGTCCGCGAGTGAATGAAAACTCGAGGGCAATAGCTTGCTGCGGTTTACAGTTATGCAGCCTTCCACGGGAAACTGTTCTTTGGAGATGAGCGCTAGCAATTTCTGAATGGTGAGTTGTAGATTGGTTGTAGAAAGTTGTGCGATTAGCGGGTCACGTTTTTGACTTTTCTTGTCCCTGCACCACTACATCGTACGCTGGTGGCTCAGTCAGTGGCACCGTCCACTGCCCAAGGCGACAAGGACACTACCCTGCCGAACCCGGTCCTTTGAGGGTACGATTGGCCTTTGGTAGCGTGCCAACTCTCTTGGGATTGAAGCGCGTGTAATGCGAATACCGACTTGTACAATGTCGGGCCGACCAGTACGTGTCGGGAAGCGACCAGTCTAGAGTCGCGAGCCAATCCAGGCTCAAGTCGTCAGTACAGCGACTGTCCTATGCAGTACGCAAGACAAAGCGGGAAAAATCATACCGCTAGCACAACAAGTGCTTCGCACGACCAGTGCGCCTCGCAATCCCGAGGAAGCAGACGAATAATCCGTTCTGCACCGCCAGACCATGCGGCACCACGGTCAAAGTTACGCCCCCGTGAAGGATCCTATACGATCATAATCTCAGCTATCGCTGCTCTTGCTATTTGCAACTTCCCTCGGTCTGTAGGGGCGCTTGGGACTACTCGAGGATGACCGGGACGACGAGGACGGTTCCTCGCCACTGGCTTCTTTGTTGCTTCGGCTCAAAGGAGCACGGGCGATGTCGATCGTGCCAACTCTCCGGCAGGGCCCATCGAGTCAGAAGATGGAAGGCTGATTAAGCGTTTGGCGGAGGCTCACCACCTTTGCGGCATCGCTGGTGGGTGGTTCCCATCTCAGAGTCTCACCAACTCTGGATTCTTCTTTCGGTTGCGGGTGGTTCCCGTTTTCCCTTCTTCTTTTTTGTTTTTGTTTTGGTACTGTGTCAGGTAAGTTTCAATTGTTTTCAAGTGTCCGAGTCGATGTTCACTCTTGTCAGGTGGTTCCGGTAAGTCTCCATCTGCTTGAATTGGCTTGTTTACCTGACCTGTGCCAATACCTTAACGAATGCTATACTTGTTTAATTCAACAACTATGTCAATCCAAACCGTCAAAGATTATTGTGGTAGTTGGAAAGGTATTTCGGCGAGATATCCAAATTATTAAATCGTTCTTGCTCATGACGACTGCGATGTTAGCTTTAGATGGCTGACCGGACATTACCAGGCATTGCTAGTCGAACGAACTGCAGCTGTCGTCTCAAGAAAGCATCGCTCATCCATCGACTAGGGTTATGTGCTCTACCTCAACTTGAACCCCTCCACTGTTTGCTTCCTCCCGCGCAATCGACCACGCCCTCGCCTGGCTCGTTCAGAATACTTCAGCTGGTTTGAGCATCATTGTGCAGAGGAAGATTAGCAACAGCCACCATTGGCAGACGGGCCGATCAAAAGGTTCTTTACTTGCAAGATTCTGGCACAACGACGAGAGTCTTGGAGTAGACTTTTCGCATCTTTCAACTTTTGAAGACCTTTGAGAAAAGTTGCCAGTGATCGACGGCCGCTCCTCGTGCCTGAATATGGTGGGGAAGGGAATAGAATTACCGCAGTAGTCTCGAATCGGAAAGCGTGCGGGTTCGCGCTGATTAAGGAGTTTTTTTTTTGAATCCCGTTATTTGGCCTTTACTTATATGTATGGTAACCATTATCTACTCCAATATAACTGCATTTTAGTTGGCGTGCCCCGCGTGGGACCTTTGCCATTATTATTGTTATTATATCGTCTGTGCTTGTGCTTTCCTTTAGTATATTGCCCTCCCAGCCGGTGGTGCTCAGGGCGGCGGCGTAGAGTCGGGTTCAACTATGTTTCCTGTAGGGATTATAAGTATTGAATGTGTTTTTTGCAACAACATACCATAGCCTGGATCAAAAAATGGATGAATTGATTGCCCCTTGATCGCTACAATAGGAGGACCCAAATGTCAAAGCTTAAATAGCGCAAATTGGGAGCTGAAAAGAAGAAAGGAAGTAATCCAAGGAATGGGTCGATATGGTGCGGCAGCATCGTCCTTCGCTCTTGCCATAAGCACCCCCACCACCAACTCCTTGTGCATATGCATGTCCTGCCAAACACTCTCTGTCGCTGATGAGATAAAAGGTCGTTTGCTGTTACCCCGACGATCCCAGCTGCAGACGTGACGAGACATTGGCAAAAGTCAATAATGCACTTACAAGCCTGACCGACGAAGTCCGGGGGATGCGCCACGACATCGACGCATTGAAGACTCAACAGAAAAATTTGGGGGGCCAAGTGCAGAAGCTTGAGGCAAGGGTCCGCCATCTCGAAACAAATATACCCCTTCCCCATCCATGAACTCCAACTCGACAAAATCATCATCTGAACTCGAGCCAGATGGGTCAGGACAACAAAGTGATGATAATGGAACAGCAGCTGTCGTCGCTACTCACGCTGACCTGCAGTTTGTATGATCTTGATTTGGAGGAGGGCAAGCTTAAGGGGTACTGTGGTGATCGTTACCGACACAAATTTTCATAGCTACTAGTAGTCCCGAGTCCAAGCTCAGTTATGTCGTTGACAGGCGAATCCGGTTTCATTGTGTAACAAAAAAGTGAAGAACCTCGAGCGTCAGTGTAAGGTAAGCACTACATTCAAGAACATTGACTGATTATGGCGCCGAACATGCTTAGAATGCTGTCAGGCTGTAACATGGATCTATTGAATTTGAGAGTGTTCCCGAAAGCCCTTGTTAAGAATAGGCTCGAGTTAACGATGTAGTACAAAATATTGGTTGTTGAAGAGAATATTGAGCGATCAAGGAGTTTGTAGAGGTCGAGTAGCCTAAGAAGGTCGTGCAACTGCTGCGCTGGCAGAAGCAGGGGAGCATCCGAGTCAAAGGTTGAATAAAAAATGGCCGTTGAGAGTTTCTTTGCGTTTTTATGCGTTCCAACTTCGAACGCCGCGCATCAGCTGGATGCTTGTGATTGCAGTGACTTGTGATTAGCCTGAGCCGAGATACTTCAGCCTTTGTTGCGGTTGTTCAGAGTCGTAGGCTCCTTGATGCAGAGGTTTTGACGGTCGGAAAGCAGTCAATTGAAGTGTGAGAAGAAGATCTAGCGTGAAAGCAGGTCAAGCCAGCGAATGGATATAGTCAAGGAATTCGGCGCAGTGGATGGAAAATACTGAGCAAATAGACTCGGAGAGACAATCCCAGGTCCGTTGAATGCAACTCAAGAAGGTCACCAACGAGGACATTAGCATCTAGCTCGGGTGTGTGTAAACCCCTTGACTCACCTGGTACTTCCACAAAGAAAGTTTCGGCCGAAAAATCTGTCTCAAGAAGCTCCAGCTGTCTTGGATGCATCCGCCATATCCGAACTAATACCCGCTCCGCGATCACATGCGGCTTGTTTGAGACGAAAAGTATAAAGGCCCAGCAAGCTCTATGGTAAAATTATGGGGGCCCCCAGAGAGACGACTAACCTTCCACAGGTTTTGTCATCATTTTCGTCACAAGGGACCGGCCGCGGCACAACGAGATTAAGGCGTTATACTTCATTAGGCGTTGCGAACGTCTCTTGTTGTGAGCGAACGGGTTCTCGTTGTCAACCTCGGGGACTGGGCCTTTGCTTTAACCGTGGGTTAGGAAATTCCGACTCCGGGTCTAGCGTCGAGCCCTCGTCCAACCGGCTCGCAGACTCCCATTCGTCGGTGTCTAGTCCCAGTATCGCGTGTAGAACCGGCTGCCGCGAGAACCAGAATAGCCCGACCAGTGGTGGGTGGCGATACTGCCCGAGCGACAAGAACGTAGGCCATTGCAAGTTGGCAGCGTTGGGTTGGGTTTCTGTTCTCTTTTCAGGTACGCGACAACGGTCAGATTTCGGGACGGACCGGCCAACACCCGTGAGCTCGGGACTTGCGGTCTATGCTTTGGCGGCGTGGATGCGTCACTCATTGCAAGCGGATGGGTACTCGGGCCATGGTCAATGTTGGGGACTGGGTCCTTGCTTTAACCGTGGGTTAGGAAATTCCGATTCCGGGTATAGCACTGAGCCCTCGTCCAACCGGATCGTCAATCTCCACCTGTTTACGATCCTGACCGAGTATCCTGTGTAGCCGGCTGCCTGGAGAAAAGCTTGGTTGTGCGGGTGGTTGGTTGGCGAAATTGCCTACCGGAGTCTGAGCGACACCGTCTGGTCGTTTGCAAGTCGTGTATGTCCCCTTTCATTTCGATGTTCGTTTTGTTCTGACTTGATTTATTCGCAGACCGGGCCAGGAGGTGATTCTTGACGTCGGGAATGTCCCCTGGGGGCCTCACGGTCGCTCGGGGCACACGGCGGACCCGGCGTTCTCGAGTACTCCAGTACACAGCGAGTTGGCACTCCCCTCTGGTAAGCTTCATCGTTCTCGTCCTTTCAACTGCTGACGATTTGAGTCTAGTTAGCCGCGGACAATGTGAGCCGTCGTTGCTGTTCCTGAGGAAGGGTTACCAGCCCTCGTGCACCCTTGTCGTGGGCCTTGGGCTTAAGACCTTCGGGTCGACCAATCGCACGTTAATTGGATTTAGAGACTTCAATGAATGTATTAGTTCCAGCGATTTATAGACTGAGAGATTGTGAGCTCGACTTCGATGTTGTGGGCAAACGGAAGAGGAGTAAACTCACGGATTGACCACCAACCGTCCCTTCACAGGTGCGTTGTTTACTTCCTTGCAGCGATTCGATCGAGTTGAAGACGAATCGAGCCACTCTGACTTTGGAGGAGATATGGTAGAGAATTCAACGGGAGAGTGTGTGTGGACAGGTGTGTCGTTAAGCACCAGGCGGTATATATACTGCAGACTGAGAAGTGTGTATTGCACTTGAACGAGGTTTTTGGCAAGCTTTTGAGCTTACATAATCTGTTGTCGGTCGCCACTCTCACTTAACTATCACCATCTCAGGCCAATTTTACAGTCCGACTCCAACTGAATAGTTGCTGGAACGGACCTCAGCGCACTTCATCACTCCTTGGTTCGCATTGTGGGATTACCAACTCCGACTTGCTTTTGACTCCCGACTTTTCTCTCGTTCTCTACTTTAACATACTGAACCCATCCAGATCAGCGACAATTCAGCCTCTGAATCTCCAGAGACCTTTCCGTGCCGAGGTTGTGCTTCTTCGAGTTTTTTTCCTAAAATTACTTCCCTCATTCAAGCACGGCCGTCGACGTCAATGCCTCTGAATCCGTCCTATAATCACGTATCTCCTTCTTGGCGCTCTCCATCCTTTTGCTCATCAAATGCACAGAAATTAACCCTGAAGTACATGCGACAGAACCAACCCTTCGATGAGCTCCCGACCGAATATTATCCTTGTTCGCAGCAGATGAAAGGCTACCCCCTGCCGAACTTCGTCTACGGCTTTGCATTCCGCCACAAGAGCGACGACGCCAAACCCACACTCGACAAACTCGACGAAATGCAGTCCAAGATTCCTTATGCTGAACTCCGCGATAAAACTATCTGGCGTCCAATTGGCGCTGTCCTGAAATATATAGCCGACTCTGTTGACGCGGATGTTTTCCGAGAGAGTCCCCATTATAACGACTTGGGGATTTCGCGCGTTGACCACGATTATTCGTGCAACATTTTTCAGATTTTCCGCGTGTATTCGTCGAAGAGGGCACGGACTCCCCAGAAGCCGCTGTGGGTGGATGATATCGCACGCATAGCAGCCGAGATTTACAAGGAGCTTGGGTGGGAAGATGTACCGAAGCCGCAGTGGTACCTCGACACAAGTACCCTCTTGTCTGACGCAGACACCGACTATAATATCGCTCCTAGGTTTCAATAGGAAGACTCGAATTGTTGACTACATACATTTCACTCGTGACCGTGACGCAACGCGTTTGTCCTTGAGGTCATACCACCACAGACTCTCCGCTCTTTCTTGCAGCCAAATCAGCCCTCGAGGATCTTGAGCTTGACGCGGAGTCGACAAAGCTGACTCTGAACCCACAAAATACAATTGCAAGTCGTCAACTTCGCAATTGCTTACACTGTCCCCGTCCCAAAGCCTGAGCCTACATACCCAACCTGTGAAGGAGCGCAAAGCTGAGCTCTATAATCCTAACTTTGACTACTTTTTTTGCCTGTCTTTGAGCTCGCTATGACTATGAACGCCCCACCACCAATTCGCTGTGTGTTTGCGCTTTCTGGACACTTCCCGTGTCGCCGAGAACTTGAAAATGCTAGGTTCTCCGTTGTCACCTCCGCAAATTCGGCAGAAACAGTCAAACGAAAGTGGATTAGAAACTTGATCACTTAATTGACAAATTGTGCAAAACAAATGGGTAAAGGCAACAACCTCGCCATGTTATTGAAACGCTCATGACTCGGTGAAGGGACTGGAGTGAGTCCAAACTCGAGGAGAAGGTTGACAGGCTTGAAACCAATATCTCACCCTCCACAACATTGAATACGACGAGATCGTTGCCGGAGATTGCGCCAGACTCGAGGGGATGGAGGGCAAGCCCGAGATGGTGATGATGCTCCAGCTGGAAGGTACATCACACGAATTTCAAGTTCTGCAGCTACTAGTCTGAGTCCAAGCTCAGTTGTCGTTGACGTGCAAATCCAGTTTCATCGTGCAACATACTCGATAAAGTGAAGAACGTCGAGTGTTCGTATAAGCTAAATTTCCCCAAGCACTAGTGTAATCATGCCAACTTGCAAGTTCTCGATAGCGATGCTGTTGCAGTACCAGGTTGAGTAAACAGAGCCGTTCGCGTGTATGCGCATTTCACAGATCCACTGAATCGAAGGGTGTTCCGAAAGCCCCAACAAGCGACTCGCGAGATTGCTTTGGGCTTATTGAGCGATCTCGAGGAGATTGTGGCAGCCTGTGATTGCTGCTAAGGCGAGAGCAGGGGAATAAATCGAAGCAAAATGGTCGCTGAGATCTGCTTTCTTGTTTGTATGCAGCATGCGTTCCAAGGTCGCGCATCACTGGTTAGATGCTTGCGATTGCGGTAGCTTGTGATTAGCCGAGGTACTTGGGCCTTTTTTGAGGCTAAGTACTTGAAGCAGAGTTTTTAACGTTTGAAAAGCGACCAGGCCCCGGGAAGCTCCACCAAAGCCTTGTCCGAGAAAATCAGCAATTTTGGCCTCAAAAACCTTACGATTTGGGCCTCAAAAACCTGAAATTGGACAAGGGTCATCACGTGCTTTCCAAAAGGGGAAATTTTGCGGGAAAATGGCACCAACCAAATTCGATACTTGGGTCAGAATTTCGACTTTACTTTGCGATGATAGGCACAGATTGCGCAGTTTACATTGTGCCTGCCTTCATCTAAGAATATTTTCCTGTGAGCCGAGTGAACCAAGGAATGAACTGACCAGTCTGACCAGAAAGAAGCCTGAAAAACCTCAAAACCGGACAAGGATTTCAAAATTTCCGCCTGAAAAACCTTGAATTCGGACAAGGAAATCGCCATTTTCCGCCCTCAAAAACCTCAAATTTCGGACAAGCCTTGAGTGGAGCTTCCCGGGGCCTAAGCGACCATTGCTCTCGTCGAGGAGCCCGCAGACAATGATCGCAAAGTAAGTGGCCCCAAAGAACAACGGCTCGAGCTTTGGCACTTTGCTTCCGCATATCCAGACAGATTGACTGATTTACATGAAAATTAATATGCGGTCGGAGCTGAAGAGGTCCGCCCATCGATTGACGTTAACGCCGCCCTAATTCCGCCAACGATGGTAGCCTTCTCATCAGTGGCGTAGAAAATGCCCCAGGACACATTGTCGGAAAACTCAGAAATAGCTAATAAGTCCGTATTGGACCGAATCAGGTCATATAAGCTCATCAGGTTTTGGGTAGCATATCAGGTTTGAAAAAATCCTGATATGTACAGATCGGGTCTTACCCACCTTTTAAGAGCTTATCTGACCTTACGAGGCTTATCAGAGCTTATAAGTAACCGCCCCAGAGAATAAAATATTCAAAAAAATATCCATTTCTCACTCATCCTGTACCTTGTACTATGGTTCTTATTAAGTCACAATTGCATTGTCTATGAAGTCTTCGACTTGAGAGGACAGTAAGAATTGAACAGAGCACAATAGAATGAGAAACTGGGAACACTACTAGTACACTACGCGGGCATGGATTGAGATGTGCTCAAGCTCCATATACCATCATCCTTGTGGGGCTTATATGACCGCATATGACCTTATTCGGCCCAATTCCTACTGACAAGCTGAACAGAATGTAAAGGAAGACACAGAATTGGATTACAATTATATTACTGGTAGTCAAGATGTCTGCTCCAGTGAACCGCCCTCAAAAGGCAATGTCTCCGCCATCAGTGCTGCGAGAGCTGCCTGATTCCCCGTGCTATGTTTTCCACGGCGGCCGTATCCTGATTGAGGGAATATAGTCGCATTCCAGACCTTGAATATGTTGAGGATACTGGGGCTTCGCTCGCGCTGTCCAGTGACAAGGATTTCAAGATACTCCTCGAAGCGTTTGCCGTAGTCGATCCCCGTCTGTCGCCCAATTTCAGAGAAGGTTTCGTCAGGGGAGAGAGCCCAAATAGCCTGTCGAATCTGTCAGCGTGCTGTGAGATGGAAAGCAAACGACACACCATAACAGCCGAAAGTGCGATCCCACCAGGAGTGATTTCCTGTAAGTCAAGCATTGCAGCAATGTCGAAGTCATCGTTGGGTGGCGGAATAACAACGAGAGGGGTTTCGTCAGGCTTGTCTGCACTTGCCGACTTATACTGGTCATTCATTGCACCAGCTGTCGAGGGGCCATGAATCAAAGCTGCATAGAGCTGAAAAAAGTCAATGAAAGAGCAGATGAGATAGGCAATGCAGACGCCACACGAAGGAGACATGGATGTAGCAGGAAAGTCTTGAGATTAAACTGAGCTGATTCGTCTTCGTGCAAGATCGGAGCGTTGAGGCTGCTGTAGCAGGGGTGTTGGTTATCACTACCCACCCGCCCGCCAATCTTCTCTTGCCACATGTTGATTCGTGCCTGTTGCGTTCGAAGGTCGATATCCCGACAGTCGAAGATATCGGTGGCAGCAACGCCGTCGGACACGATGACTGAGGTTGGGTCGCCACTTATTCAAGGCATATAGAAACTGAAAACAATGAGCTACTGAGAAGAGGAATGTAGGCCACGCACCATCTCTGAGACTCTATCTTGCGTCTTCATATCATCGAGGTCGTACTTCTGTGGTAGAAGCTGGAGAATTTCGTGGAGTTGGGCTTGCCGCTTCGTTTCCCGATCCTTGAACCGCTGCTTGGGATCGAACTCCTCGTCAAACGGGGTCATGAATAGTGTCTTCTTTCCCTCTACTTTCTTTCCCTCGACCCAAAGCCCCTTCGTGTACAAGAACTTCTGCGCAGCACGCATGAAGCCCCCGGTACTCATCCATCTCCCCATTCCACCCAGACTCATCATTACTCTCGTCGTAGTCCTCCTCATCGTACTCGGGGTCCTTCTTTCCCTCCCCCTTGTGTTGCTCTTCATTGAACTGCTCAGGTGGAGGAGAGCCAGCACAGTGGACGGCGTTGACGCTTGCACGATTTGGACAACATATCGGTTTGTAGATGTTTTGTGGCTGTCGAGGGACGGTTTGGAATGTTGCTGACGTTTCCCAGTTCCTTTCGCTGGAGCAGTTCGGCTTGAAACTCCTCCTCCTGGTCTGAGGCCATCGCTGGGTGGAGAGCAAGTTGTGGTGTATCGAAAGAGTGGTGACGACTAAGCGTGTGGAGCCAACGCGTCATCGACAACTAGGCACCATGGAGCCGTGGCTTGGGGGAGATGCCAACGACAGCGAGGCCGCCAGCAAGCATTGATACGGCGAGCATTCGAGTGAGGGGGGAAACGAAAAGGTGAGGCCAGGGTCAGACGGTCTCCTACGGTCTCAGACCGAAATTGAGTCACGGTCACAAAATGACACGACCACGGATGCCATCTCATTCGTTGCTCATTCGTGTCAGGGGAACCTCCCTTTCGGCCCCTCGGAGACGCCTCCGATTCCGGTCCGACTCCGGTTCCGTCTCCGGTCCGGCCCTCCATCTCGCCCGCACAATCACCGATCCGTCAACGCCCTCCCGACGGTCGCCCTGGGACCTCGCCTGCGACGCCGCCCAGGCCTTCTGTGCCCGACAGCGGCAGCTACGGACAAGCAGTATATAGTCAGCTACCTAGCAGGCGGACCCTTAGAGTTTCTTCTCTTTGGATCCTCCCCTGCTAGGTCAGCTTCATTTGTATTCGCTTACCAATGTTCACGCTTTGGATCCTCCCCTGCTAGGACCTTGATCTCAGGCCTCCGGGGTTGCCCTTACAGCAGAAGAAACTCTCTACGGGATCAACCGGACAAGATTGCCAGGTTCGGCGCTGACTCAGGCTCGGAGTACGAGTCCGTTCCGCCCTCGTCACCGCCCCTGCCACTTGTCCCCTCCTCCTCTACTCCTGTGGTCCCCGCACCCGTCATGCCGTCCGGAGTCACTCCTACCGCAGACGCCCGGCTGGACTCACTCGAGGCGAAAATCGATAGCCTAACTGAGGCCCTTGCTTTACTCACCAACCAGGCTTCCGCTGCCGCTGCCGCCGCTAATAATGCTGGCGGACCCCAAACACCATCGCCGGAGACGTCGATTCCGACTCCGACTCCGGTCCAGGGCGACTCCGAAGCCCTTTTTGGCGACATCAACCTCGCCTCAAAATTGGTCTTGCGACCAAACCCCCCGTTCACCTTCAACGGCGACCGGAAACGCGGCCGCGCGTTCCTCTCTACTGGTCCGCACCTACGCCCGCCTTGCCCCTGAGGCCTT